TCACTGGTAACGCGCGGAGCGGAGCAGCTGGCACGTCCGACCTGCACCGCTGCCGGCTTGGAACTCATCATTATTTTCCCCTATATTTTTGCGCGCTAATAGACACACGATGGAAATATCTGATCTGTACTTTGTATGTAACGCGGTAGTGTGAAATTAAATGATTACACGTTCAAGGCCTATGTTTTAGAACTTCTCTGGACTCGTGCCCCTTAATGAGGGAAAATAATTCTTCCACCAACTAAGTTACGGTTGAGGTCGCATTACATCATGATGGGTACCTTTTTAAATAACTCTAGTCACGGCGAAAAAAGAAAGTAGTGAAGCTAGAGCAGCACGTACTCTCTCGAATTATTTGTAACGGTTACTTCATGTAATACTTCTTGAACATACATTTGTTCAGTTTTGAAAAATTACAATGTTGCATCTAATTAACGTTAATGTCGTGATTAGTGCATTTAGCTTTCATTGAAAAATGTTAAAGAAAAAAATAGTAGCAGCTAAGAAAATATTGCAATTGTATTGTAATATTACAGAAATCTTTTGAAAATCTCTCTTCAAACAAAATGCAGGAGATTCGAAAAATTTTCGAAAATTTATGTTTAATGTAAATGACACTTGTGTGATCAAATTTTTCTCTATGACAGAATAGTGTGGGGTTGGTTTACGCCAAAACTTTTACCTTTGGTGACAAAATATAATTTCAGAAGTACCGTATTTATCTGAAGTAACGGAGGAAAAAATGGAGACCTTGAGAGAAAAATGACTGTAAACAAGTGGAACATGGATATTGTCTTCGCCAGCATTGTTGTCAATGTCACAACAATGTAAGGTTCTTCTGGATAATCTAGTGCTTCTAAACCAAACATTTAAATTTATTTTAAAATTTGTTAGATGCTCTCAAAATATCTTTACAAAAAACGTGTCTAAGCCACGAAGTTACACAAAGTATACCAAATCAGTTAAGTGTTATCAAGAAAATAATGGACCCCTTTTACATCACTGTTACTAATTAATTACTTACCACGAACTAAAATCAAACAGCATATATCTGTCAAATCTGGATATCAAATTTACTGTTTTTACAAGAAAGTAAAAATATTCAAGTCCTTTTAATATAGATCGATCTTTCCAAGTTTGTTTCAGAAATGAATTTATTTCAAAAAAACATCAAAAGAATACAACCTATGAAACTTTAAGTATTTCTGTTTTAAACTGCATCATCATATTTACATGTATTTGTCAACAACAACAAATCCTGTACTTTTAGTGCACTAACAAAGTAAATTTGCAATTCAACAGTATTACACAATATTTATAAGAAAATTAAATATTTGCATCCATGGACTGTCATGGTTTCAGTCAATGAAATTTAGGATAAAGTAACTTCCTCAAAACTTACTACTGTAGGAGAGATTTATTTTAATAAAATTTACGGTTGTATAAAAATGAAACTTATTGGCAAGTTTCTGAAACCAAAAATTGTCTATTTATTGTTGCAAATGTTTTGAGTTTCTCATTCAATATTAAAAGCATATTGTGCTCATGATCACTACAATTTATGTCAATTATCACTTCCTTTGTGATCATGAATAATCGTATAACAGCTCAAATTTATTTATTAAAAATTAATAATTTATATAAGATTATTTTTGTGACTGATTAAATTTTGTCGATTATTGTATCTTCAGATTATAAACAGTCAAATTTGTAATGCAATAATGTAATAAAAATAGTACAAATTTGACTTCTATAATTAAAATATACTATAATCCGCATATATTAAATAATTTATGGTAGAATAATGAATAGGGAGAAATTATGAATTAAACCAGTCCTACCAATAGTTTAAGTCGTATGACGTAGCATAGTATCAATCAACATGTGTTCCAGGATGCATTATCTTATCACTAAAATAAATCATGGCTTGTCTCCAGTGTCATTCGTATCACAACTCCGTAGAGGGCTCGGCGGGTCGCTGAAACGAGAAGTTGGCATTGCCAGGAGCCTGCTCGGCGCCCACGTCCCCGTCCACATCGACCTCCACCGAGTCGAGTTCGGAGTCGAAACCTGCGGCGAGCGGGTTGAGGCTGATTTTCCGCGGAAGTCCGATGTCATCCAGAGAAAGCGGCCCGGGGTCCGACAACGCCTCGAACCCGCGGTCCTCCGCGGCCGCCGCCGCCGCCAGAGGGTTGATGCTGGTTCGGCGCGGGAGGTCGTCGTATCTGGGCTGAGTCTCTATTTGGCCGAACGTTTCCTCGAATTGGTCTGCGCTCGCCCTCGGCTCGTACGCGCGGTTCTGCACACCGCCTTCCTGGTCGTTGAATTCCGGGCTGTCCTCGATGCCGATGAGATCCGAGTCACCGCTGCTCTCACTGGAAAATTAATTTTTTTTAAAATTACAATAAGAATTCAATTCATCTTCTGTTACGCAAAAGTGGGAGAATGTGGGTTTCTATGTGCTACACAAACATCAGAACCATTCAAGCGATTGCTTCCAAATTTGGTACAAATATTTTTTATCCACCAATGATAAAAAATAGCGTTGTTGGGACACAAAAGTTACCGCAAGTGTTTTTTTTTTCAATATTCAGTTCAATGCAAATGGGCGTTGTTGCCGGGGGTTGCTGGGTGACACAGGACGGGATCGGGCGGGGCCGGATGGAAAGGGCAGAGCGGGCGGAATTGTGACTGGTGAGGGGAACGGGAGAAGAGCAAGGACCGAGGAGCACAATAATCGGAAGGATCGGAAGAAGCAGAATGGGCGGGTGGAGCTACAATGGCTAGAACACGAAAAGAGGGGGACGAGGGGAACGCGCTGAAGAGTTGGATGGGCGAGGCGTGAATGCTGGACTGGCGAGACTGCTGAATCTGTGATTGGGATAAATAAATACATACACGTCGAGTAAACAGCTACTTAATTATAAAATGCATCTTCTACTTATAACAGTTTAAGGGGAGTTACAATAATTTTATACAACTTATAAAAGGTCATCGACATAACCCCCTAAACGGGCAATTGGCGGATATGGAATTACGCCCCACGGGTAATTACATGAAACTGATAAGAGAGAAAAGGTAGAATTTTGTACATTATTCTACGAAGAAACAAGAAGGTCTACATGCAACCCGCAACAGTAAGGTGCAGTCGACAATACCATTGAGCGGAACTCGAGCCTAAGACAAACTCACTAGATGTGACGAGATAACAACTTGAGGGAGGATTACTACATATTTATTTATATACGATCTATGCCAAAGAAGAGCAAAAGACGTGTTGCGAAAAAAAGGCAATTATTATTTAAAATCTCGAAATCAACACGTGTAGACTTCTTTTTAAAGATTTCGACTCCTCTAAAGAAAATCGAGATACGTTTCTTAGATTGTATTGTTTGGATATTAAAATAATTATTGTACCGAGTGTTCCACCAACTACGAACCATAACTGTTTAACGGTTCACCACATCGAAACCCAGTTTTCGTGGGAAATCATTGGAAAAGTAATATGCAGTATACTTTGTAATATTTTTAGTTTTCGTTAGATTAAATTTAGATTTAAAATTAGATTAAAATTAATCATCTTCGCCCTTGGAGCTGTCGTTTTAGGGACGACTGTCTTCGTGGCGATAAGGCTGTTACAGAGGGAGGGGAAACAGTGTAGGGTGGCAGTGTGAGGATAGATGGGTGAATACAGCAATCCAATACTAATACGAAGGAAACCGCAAGAAACAATATTAACGATCAGAATGATTCATGAGATTCGTAAGATTTTTCCTATGGTTCATCCGAATTGAACATTCTGGTACTGAAATTCTGAAGATTCGATTTACTTGCAACATCTTAATCGTCTGAGAGTGACAGATACACCATGGACATCCCATTGACCGGTTTTTCTTATGAGATATGATAGTGTTTCTCAACAACAAAAATATCAATTTAATAACAAGACATCCGACTTACACGTTCACAACTTCCAATCAACTTCTCCAAACACTAAGAAGTTAACACTGCTAATATCAGCGTAATCCTGCTTAAAATCCAGTATCCGTGGGACCGAGAAGCCCTCAATGTAGTCTCCTCGACTTTAACATGCGTTCTGCTCGTTTATCCAGGGTCGTCTTACATGATATCCGCTAGGCAGAGACAATGCGACAACAACCCGCTACGTTACAACTGCAGACAGTTCGTTGGCTCATGCACACAAGACTGTTGATGAACATTGCTGCTGATGGGGGCTTACCAGATGAGAATGAGGAGTGAAAATGTATTAATCAAATGGAAAACATGCGCAATCGCGGTAGATACAAAAATTGCGATCGATCTGGATCCCAGTCAACTAATCCGGAAGTTTGTTGTCGCGCTGTAGCTAGTAAAGCGCTGCTGTAATCGGTGTGCATTGACCCTTAGCCTTGACCTCCACCGCTCGTGAAGGTCCTCCACCAACCTGAAGTTGGGAGAAATGTTAATGAAATTTATATCAATTTTACAATTTCATCGACATTAGCTTCTTGTGCGATTTAAATAAATTGTTACTTTTTTAAATTGACATTTTATAAATAAACTCACTTGAAATTTTTAAGGGATTTTATCGGAATAATTTCAACTTGTTAATGCATAACCGTCAATACCTCAAATGAATCATGAGCAGTAATAGAAATTTATAAAATGTTTCTGAGAAAGTTTAATAATAATTACCATTTCTTCCATGAAATAGTGTAAACATTATTTACTTAGTCCTGAACCATACTCGGGTACATATTGTGATTCACGCTAATTACAGCGCGCCAGTGCGCGGTCTCTCTTTTTATCGCTGAGGTCACTGAATGTCATTGCAAAGCATTGAACAGTTGCTCCGACGAGGGACCTTTTCGCAACCTTCAGAAGGTAGATCAAGGTAGACGCTTATGGCTGAACTCGCGACCGGCGGTAGAAAAAGATGTTAGCCAACGCCCAGCCTTGGCATGTTAGCCATTTGGTACCGCGCCGACCAGTATAGACGTGCAGGCTTTCCCCTCAGCTCATAGGGATCCGCACGCCCACAATGGTCAAGCGCGTAGGTGGCGAATCACTGTTGCTCATTTAGCGTTACCCAGGGGACACGTGTGGTAGACCACGGACGCGAGCAACTTTGTTCCCGCTGTGTTGTCGTTGTAGTTGTTGTTAATAATAATAATAATAATAGTATTAATAGATGATGAGGGTAATAGGATAATGGTGAGAGGTGATCTTGGACTTTTTTTGAACCATTCCACCATTCGCGTTATAACCGAGGGAAACCACGAAAACCCCGCTCAGGCCGGCCGGCCCGGGAATCGAACCCGGACCTCCTGATTGCGAAGTCAGCGCGCTACGCACTGGGCCACATCGCTCGGTACGGTAGAAAAAGAAAGATAAATATTTAAGCGACGCGCAGCAAGTGTCAAGTATATTATATAAATTTTGAATTCAATGGTATGGGCCCAAACAAATTCCTTCCCCAGGAATGATGGCTTCCAAATTTGGCATGAATACTTTTGAGAGACAAAAAGTCAAACAAAGCGTATATTCCACTCAAATGCGTCTTTTTACAAAACACTGACATTGTTTTGGAGTATATGCAGCCTAACTATGGTACATTACCCACTGTTAAAATCGAAATATCCAAGAGAACAAAAAGTGAACCAAGAGTAGAGAACTGTAATATCTACTGATGCATTAAGTAGATGTATAACGCTTAATAGAAGGATTAATTAATGAAGAATATCACTGCAAATGGGATTGAAAGAACTACCGAAACATATATTATATCTATATATTATATTACCGTGGGTGGTTGTTTATTTTACTTGAAATTGCGTAATGTACACTGCTTCAATTTGAGAATGATAACCTTTGTCAGGAAATCTTCTAAATATAAACTTCAGTTCTTTATAAAGTTAAGTGGGAAGTTGATCTTCATTGTATCTAGATGAGAATGTCTTATAGACAAGAGATATGAAATTAATGGAAATAAAATAATAAATCACGATCATGAAAATATTTATGTTGATGCCAAAACTCTGACAGTTTGGATTATTATTGTAGAGAAGTGCGATGTACTGTATTGTTATGATAATTTTATAAAACTCTACAGTAAACACAGATGTGAAAAAGGTATCTTATTATCCTTTTACTATAGATTTCATAATTATAGTAAGAAAATAAGGAAGAGGACTGAGGTTTTAGGAGTGGGAAGGGTGTAAGATCACGCAAGGCCAAATGGGGGGAAGGGATGCACTAAAATGGATAGAAATGAGCGAACGAGGCTGGAATAGCTTGAATTCCTGCCTAATAGGGAGTGAAAACTGAATACTGGAGAAACACGGAGAACTTCAGTTTAAAACTAACAGAGTAAAATATAGCATCTTCAATAAAAATTGTGAATTTTCCCGTGTTCAAACCTCATCCAAGCAGTGGATATTTAAGAGCGGAAAAATCCATCGTGCGCCTTTCTTCGGAGGAGAAGTAAAGCTGGTTGGCCATGTAGATTTACTGTAAGTAAAATATCCTCACGCCTAAAATTGAGCTAAATTCAAATCACCTGTTTTGCGCCCGAGTGGTACCGTCTTTCTCCTCTACATGTCAAAAGAAGCATCGCGAAATTTGTTTGGCCAGACGGAAAAGCAGAATTGATGGCCTGAGTCGCGGCCACGTAAAATAAGGCATCAAAGGATTGAAATGAATTGAACTGAAACTCGGGAAGGAAATGCAATTTTTGGTATTACTGTGAAGCATTTTTATGCAAAACACCAAGTAGTCTAGCCATCTAATACACTATTGTGTATTAGTAAATGTCTGACGAATGCGGGGTTGCATACGCTGCTTTGCTTCTAATTTCCGAGCGCTTTAAAGTTTTCAAGAGCGTAATAAGAAACGGATGCCTCTTGTAAAATGTATTGAAGCAAGTTTGTGTAGCAGCCTTAAACATGAGCAATTGCAACTCAGTCTCGCATGTCGAATGTTAAAATATTTTGTGACGTCGTCGTTTGTGCTCGTCACAACGTAATTTTCAATTTGATGCGAGTAATTCTGGACACTGTATATGCATACTCATAATAATGCAGCGTTCCGATGTACTCTGTACAACGGCTCTCTGACCCGTTCCTTGACTCCGTTTATGTTAAATGACCGTGCGGCAAGGTCACATTTTCTCATCGGGCTGAGATACACTAACTTCAGCTCTGTTCATTAATGCTTCCCTCTTTTCCAATGTAGTACAAGCCAAGTGTAGAGAAAAGGAAAACCTACATTATCTGCATACAGTTGACTTTTAACTTTTGAAGGTAACAAACCAAGTACTGGTGTACTTTAAATTTACTCTATGTACCAAAAACATGGTTAAGGTTGCTGTATTGTTGAAAGTTAAAACACGCATTACCTCATATTGTCAAAGGATCTGTCAATGTCGTGATTCCATACTGGATTGGATCCTTCGAGTGCATGAACGTTGGTGCCAGGTACAGCCATACTGTCCCGGTTCAGTCCAGAATCTTGTGATCCAAATTTCTTGTTTGTCAACTTCTCAAGGCGGTTTTTCAACCTGTTGTAAAAACAAAAAATACATAATTTTGTTAAAACTGTTCAACTACAAAGATCTTTTGTTTAGGTCTAGGTACAGTAGTTTGGGGGCGTTACGTTTGTCAGCAGAGTGCACGCTTCCCAACTCTTCAAATCTGATTCATACCTCTATCGATTTTAGTTACAATCTGCTCAAAGGTAGCTACTGTTACGTCGCCAGTTTGGCAGAAAGGCGTCCGAACGTGCTAGCGGGCATTGGAAGGCTGGTTGCCACACGGGAACAAAAGGCGGCGCATAGCACAGCCAGCTGAGGGGGAGTCGTGACCTCCCACGAGTCAGGGCAAGGGCGAGCAGGGCAGCGGGGAGTGACCTCTCCGAGGATTGGTCGAGCGGCCACTCTCACGTAATTTTAAGGCGTAGAATTTAGAGATATATGCATTTGTATTTTTATGGACCACACGCATTCACGGAGCGATGTTCCTACAGAGAATCACGACGTTTGCGAATCGTATTATATCTCATCATAGCGACTTTCGAGTTGCATTCATTTTTCATGCCGTTTATTTTTGAACTTGAAATTTTGTTTATGAAATTATTTTGTGTTGTAATAATAATTTTCATGAAGGAGAGAATATTTTAATGTGAAATAAAGTTACTTGTTTCCACTATAGTATGGATTAACTGCGTGAGCGGAAGACAAACACCGCTATCATAAGCATCATATCACGCTTATCTGACAAACAATTCCATATATTTTTCACCACGAATGTAATTGTTCGTATAACCCTAGCATTTAACTTATTAACCCGGAGCCCGGAAATTACATTTGAAACCCGGAGTCGCCGGGTACAAACCCGAAGCGGTGGTAAGCCTATTCCGAAAGTATATTGGCTAATGTGATTGTCTTTGTGTGATCTGCCCTGTTTGTACGCAGAAAGTATTTCGGCATAAAAACGTGATGGAATTTGTGTGGTTACAGACTCAAAGTTGTACATTGCGGAAGCTCACAACAATCCACGACGCAACCACTCGGAAATGAAAAGCGAACCGTCAACTCAGGTGCACAGCGAGGTTCTGTTGTTACAGTAGGTGGTATCGTTTGAAGAGAAATGTAAGAGTAGCATGGTAGAAAGAGATGGGTGGGCGACTTCGGTGCACCGATTTTTGCTCGTTGTGCGCAGCACCAGTTTGCGTCAAGAGTCACAACACGGGAACTCCTTTGAACAGCCAGTCCTATTGGCTATTTTCAAATAAAAATAACACGATGAAAGTGAAATAGAAGATGCAATATTTTTTTTAAAAAATGCTTCATATACGTTTCATAGACTTGTAACGACGTGATACTTTTGGTATCTGACTGCATTTAAAATTCCAGCAATTACTGTGAGTAGTAGCACACTGGAACTTGAAACTACACACCTTATCGTTCACTACCCTTTTAACTTTCCCAACTCTATGATCCGTATTTTTCAATTATCTGCTATTTTTATTCACCATAAATCACTGCACGCAACATTCAGATCAAACCTTTTTATTACAAAATATTGAGAGGCACGAAGTGAGATGCCGTAATCCATTTCTGGCCGGTAAGGGACAAGTGCGTAGGACTAGAATGCGTAAGTCTACCCCGGTCCCCGTGGGGACTAATGTGCACTTCATTCGTCTGAAGTCCTAAGTACGCTTCGAAGCAGTTTCTACTTCTGCCTTTATACTTCACAATTCGCGAATCAGTCAGATTCGCGAACATTAGCTGACATATGCTATAAGAAAAATCAAAATTGTGAACATTATAGTCCTCTGCATTGAGACCGAGCAAGTGAAATGATAGAGCGAGCGAATGAGTAAGCGCTCTGTGCTCTCGTTTGCTGCAACTCACGTGCGCGTGCGGACGACGAAGGCCAACGAAAAGACCACGACGAGGACGGCCAGCACCGCGCACACGGCTGCCAGCACGATTGTCATGTAGCTTCCCCGCTCTTTTTCCGAGTCCGCGTTGTTGTAGCCTCGGAAAGACAGCGACAGGTCCTGCATCGCTTGGTACAGCTCGCTGTTGGTGTTCGTCTTCAGAAACTCCCTGAGAAGCAAAATCGTAATTTTTAGATAAAAACCTATTTCATTTCAAACAACCGACCATCGCTATGCGAGATATATTACAGGCCTGAGCAACTTTTAACTCGTATGAGATCTACTTTTACAAATAAAAGACAAGGTGATTGACCACTGATGATTTGAATGTTAATGAGAAAGGATGAAGGACTTAAGTTTTTACAAAATAAAGGTGCTGGTGATGATGAAGTGAATCACTCCCTTGTATAGATCTAAAATACCAATGGATGATTATTAGAACACACTAGTCCATTGTAGTTAATCAACTACTTTTAAACACTTCGCATTTATAACAATATGAATTTTATAAAATGGTGAAATGTGAATAGCGTATCATTTTACTAATTATAAAAGAGATCGACACAAAAATATTCTGCGATCGATTCGTCAATTGCGTTCGACTTGTTGCCCAGGCTTGATCTCTCTCCTTATATTTTTGCAATATGTTTCAGGTCGGTAAGGGTTAAACGTGTAGGAAAATTGCTTGGAATACTTACTCTTCAATTTTTTCACGTGGCACAGGAGAATTATCTTTTTCATTGAGAAAGTATGACACCACTTCTGAAGTTTCAATAACATTATCTGCGGAAGCTCTTCGTACTTTATCAACGGTGCAGGTGTAACCAAGTACCCGCGAAAATTCCTTCTCCATCTGCACATACCAATAACATTTAAAATGGAATGTTGTAATAAATAAATAAATTTAACTGATCTCTTGCTTTATAAAGTTAAAATTATTTGTACTATATATAAACATCTCAAAAGAAAAACATTATCCAGTCTTTACAACAAATATGCCCTAGACTTTTTACAACAAACGGCACTGTTTTAACAACAAATCTCCAAATAAATGTGAAACCCGTATTGAGAGGCACCCAATTGTTCCGGCAAAAACTGACTGTTAGTTGAGGTGGTCGCTTAATAAAGATTATGTGGCTTTTGAAAACGTAAATGAAATGGGTCAGGATTTCTTGAAAGAAAATATATCAATACATTGAGAATACTCGTACAAATTGTAGAATAGAATAAAAATCGCATTAATATTGGGATTTAAATATTAAATTACAATTAAAATAAAATTAATTATTTTTCATATTTTTTTAAATTATTACTGTTCGCCGAGAATTTTTCTCATTGCCCATAGTTGATGGGACACCTCTACATATTTCATTAATTTCAAGCAGATATTTCTTGAAAACTACTAGTTTTTTCAAAGTAAAGTATACGACATTTTTTGTAATGAATTTATTGTTTAGAACATAGTTTGTTTAAGACAAAAATATCTTATCTTCCATTTTGTAGATTCCAATTAAAGTTCTAAAATTTTTGAAAATACGGATTATTTAACGGAAATGAGACATGAGCGTCCCTTTTATCCAAGGGAAACAATTTGGGACGGTTTTTGAGAAAATAATTTTTTAAAAGCGAAAATTTCAAGCGTAAATTAAACGAAAATACTCTTTTTTTTCAAAACATTGTACATAAAATTTTTTTAGTAGCTTATATTTAACAGACTTCCTCTGACAAAAATTCCTGTCTTCAATTCTGTAGTTTTGAAATGTTAACTTTTCGCAAGTTTCGAAAAAAACAACAACGGAGAGATCGACTCATATTACATATGAGGGAAAATTGTAAAGAAAAAAATGGAGGCTTGAGTATTGAGAAATTGTTAATTTAAAAAAATTGCCAATATTACCCGCAAAATTACACGAAAACTACTCATATCTTCGAAAAATTGTTCATAACCTCAATTCAAGATCTGTATTTATAGAACAGATTTCATTGAGGAAGAAATCTTTATCATCAAAATTATAGCTATAGGAAGAAGACCCAAAAATTGCACTTTTTAAATTTCCAAAAAATAGGAATTTTAACGAAAAATAGATCTGCCCTATTCTCCTAAACGTCCATTACATTATCAGTCATCAAAATAATTTTATAAAAAAAGTACTCATTATTTTTTAAGTTTGTAGGGGCTTCATGTAAACTACACCCCAAAATTAAAATATCGGTTTCAAATTCATGGATCCGCGATATCAACCAGATCGATGAGAGAATATCAATTTTGGAGAAAATTGGCTGAAAAAACGACTGTATCTCTCTCTTTGTATCTGTCTCTCTCTGCATCTCTCTTTCTCTCTCTCTCTCTCTCTCTCTCTCTCTCTCTGCACCTTCTCTCTGTCTGCATCCGTCTCTCTTTGCATCTGTCTCTCTCCGTATCCGCTGTCTTTCTCTGTGAGTGGATTTCTAAGACGTGGTCTGAGCCGCGGTTTTGAAACAGTGGCTTTGAAGGCACGACTTCATTCGCGGCGCCAATCAGGTTGATAAAACGATGATTCAACGACGTCGGGTGAGGCCGCGGACTCAAGCCGGGGTTCTGGAAAATCGGTTTGGCAGCATTGCCTTTGCATGTGCGAACGACGATCATCGTGTGTTTTTGAAGTAGAAACTGACTAGTAGTTCGCGGCAAACTGGCAGCAGTGGATATATGTTGATAGCGTAGGTACGAGTTGTATTTGAATTCTTATTTTGCACGATAATGTAATGAATGACGAATTGTACTTTTATAATAATTACACAGCTTCTAATAGTAAACCTAATTGTAAATGTTAAAATTGTTTTGTAATTCTAATTCTAATTGTTATCATTTTTGCCTCCGAGCATTAGCAATCTATCTATCAGCCATGCAAAAATTTGGTTCGGTATTAATACAGATCGTTTGGTTTGAAAAAGAAAGGGGGATCCTGGCAGAAATTTGTCAGAAATACGCAGTTTAGGGATGAATCTGAAATGACATCATATAATTATTAAGAGAAGGCAAGTCTGGACGAAAATAGGCGAGGAGGGAACATTGAAACAGGGCAAAGTATTTTCACTGGCCGGAGTGAGCCTGAATTAGACGAACCTCTAACCTGGAATGAAGTAAATAGGGCTATCTAACAGGGATTTATAAGAAGGGCAGGCGGCGCGGACGGCATTCGACAAAATTTATTCGGAATTGTTACACATAGACCCAGAGAGATATGAAGTATATCTATGCAATTTGGCTGATTCCGGTCCGTATCCCAGAACGATGGAGCTAGGCTATCTCCACCCGATCAGTTAAGAATAAAGGGATGCAAAATTGCCCACAAAACTATCGCGGAATTAGTCTTTTGCCAGCGCCGAGCAAACTGTTCTGTAAACTACTCAACGGGCGACTAAGTGAGTGGGCGAAAAAGTACAATAAAATATCAGAATTGCAAACAGGCTTTAGGAGAGGCTTCGCGGCAACAGACAATATATTTGTGTTAGATATCGTAGTAAAACAGACGCTTGCGCGTAAACGGGACCACTTATATTTCAGTTTCGTGGATTTTGAAAAGGTTTTTGACTCTATCAATAGGGAAGCTTTATGGAGAAAACTAAATGAGCTAGGCGTCTCACGTGAAGATTTAAAAGTGTTGCAGAGCATGTATAGGGAAGTAAATTTGTGCGGCAGGTGCGGTGACAGAAGTACAACGAAAAAAATAAAATCGACTGCAGGAGTAAGTCCTCTTTCACCGCTGCTGTTTATCTTGTTTATAAATGATTTATTGACGTGGGTACAGGAAGCGGATACAGCGACTCTGGAAATTGATGGCCTGAAAATTCCCGGACTACTATACGCTGATGATTTAGTTTTATGTTCGGAGACGATTGAGGACTTACAGAAGAGTAAGAGTTCTAGAAAGGTATAGTGAGACATGGGGAATAAAAGTAAATATTCAAAAAATGAAAGTAGTTGTATTCAAGAATGGGTTTATCTGAGGTAGCAAAGAAAAATGGTACTACGCTAGGGAAGAAATTGACCGCGTCAAAACATTTACATATCTTGGTGCAAAATTTTCTATGAATGAGGGATGGAATAATCACATTCACTATTGACGGCTCACAGCAAAGGAAGAATTGCGTTCAAAGAAATCGTTTGCGCAATGCGCAGAGGTCCGGAATTGCCAGTAAAAGTGTGCGATACAATGTTCAAATCGTTAGTTCTCCCAGCTATGAACTATGGGGCAGAAATCTGGCGAGTGGATAGGATAGATCGACTAGAAAGCATCGAAACAGATTATTTCAAATTAATTCTAGGAGTCTCTAGATGCGCAGCAAATGCCGGAGTCTTAAGAGAGGTCGGTAGAATAGAAATTTGGAGAGATTTTAAAATGAAGTCTATTAAACTTTGGATTAAATTAGCATATGAACAGGCTGACACACTTATACATAGATGTTTTAGAGTGCAATGGCAGGGAAGCGGCCATCGCTACTGGGCGTACAAAATTAAACGGCTACTTGAACGCGCAGGGTTGGGAGACGTCTGTCCAGAAATGGTGGGAGATAGGGGAGCCCGTGAGATAGAACGGCTGATTTCCGATAGACTCGCGGATATTAAAAGGCAAGTCTGGGCATCAACGGCCGAAAAATGTTCGCTAGTAGCTCAAATCCATGCGAGTCCTTTATGGGGTTGTGAAAGTTATGTACATACTCTCTGAAAGGACGCAAGAGGGGGATACGCTTGGTTCAGGATTGAGGGTGGATGCAGCGTAGACTAAAGGACTCAAGTGGTAATGGCATCTGTGTGATTTGCGGTGATAGGGAAGACTGGATCCACATCCTCTTAATTTGCTGTGCAACCGAAACATGGAGAAGAAAATGGATGGAATGGGAAATTACTGCTTCCTAAACAGGAACGTAACACTCGCCAAAAACATTTTAGGTGATAGTAGGTCTAAATTTATGAAAGAATTAGGAACATTTTTAGGAAAGGTTCGGACCATTAGGGAAACTGAAATCAGGGAGTGGAAGAACAACACTGGTTAGCTTGAGCGCAGCCTAGACTGCAGAGAAATAAATAAATAAGTCAATAAGCTAACAATAAGTAAGTTAATCAGTAATTTTATGTTAAGTTAGTAAACAGTTACGAAATAGTCAGAAGTCGTAGTCAATTGGTAAGTAACAGGTCAATAAAATAAAATAAAATATAAAGCTGGCATAGTAATAAGCACATTAGGGGGTGAAGGGAAGGATGGATCGGAAATGTAAGGGCAGAGGCGTTGGTGTAGACGATCTTCTGGGGCGCTGTTTGATTTCAGGTGCTGAGGAGGCCAATCACTGGAAGGAGACGGCGGGACGCCCGGGCCAGAAAAAATTGTTAAAATAAACATCGGATAGATTAGTATGTACTCGGATTCTGACGGCAGGTTTTAGCCCTTCAGGGTTTTTTTTCCTGAGCCGTACCTTATGGTCTCTTTTCCGCGGCTTTGATGCGATGGAGAGACCATTTGGGGTGAATATCAGAATTCGAAAGATTAGAACGCGAAAGGATGTAGGTATTGTAATGGCTTAAAGGCCTTCGGCCTAGCCACATAGAATCAAGTAAGCTAATTTGTTTGTAATAATTGCCTATTAAATAATAAATAATAATAAAATATGCGAGGAATTCAATCAAATCGAATCCGAGCAAACCTCCGCGAGATTGCGGACAACTACAAGGTAAGTTTTTGTGGCCAAATAGCGTGTTTCGTAGTTGCTCTAGTTTTATTAAACAAGAAAAAGCTACCGATATATATATATATATATATATATATATATATATATATATATATATATATATATATCATATGTATGTATATCATAATATATATCCGGATTAGCTGAAAACGTGATTCTATGAGTAAACATTTTAAATATAAATATTGTATATTCATTAAATCAATGATCAATGTCCATACTAGCAGTTCTGTTATTCTGTATCAGTGACATGTTTATCTTTTGTATGTGATGTAATTGGTTTAGAGTAATGGGAATTGATTGGTCATGAGAATAAGATTTTAAAAAATTATTTATTAAAAATACTTGTAACAGAACCAGATTATATCCTGGAACTATTTCAATAATTGTTAAAATTAGTGCGATTTTTGATAACATATACTACAAACTAATTTCTTTTTTAGAGGGCTATGGATTTTCCTTCTGAGTTAATACAACAGAAATAGTTTCTATTGTGAAGGGGTGTTCTGTTAGATTTAACAAATCTTAAAGATATTGTTGTATTACAAAAGGATAGTAGTACATGTTAAACTTATATGTTCTTCAAAAGTAGTGCAGTAAAAAAGTTGCTAATTTAAATATAATAAACATAATAGTTTATATTAAGTCAATATTTGAAAGTTGCATTTGATTATTTCTAATAAATAGTTGCAATTTTCATGTTTTTCTTTTACACAATCGTATCTTGTATTAATGTGTATGTGTATGCCTCTGAAAGCATTTGAAAGATGAAAAAAGAGGACAATTAATGATAATAATTATGGGAATGTAAATGGTAGTCAGAAGAAAAGATGATTTAATGACAACGAATGGTGCTTCCAATTCTTCAGCCACAATTTCTATTCCTGTAACCCCTAAAAAGGTAAAGGGGTAATTGTTTATTACTAACATATTTTATTTAGCACTATTCTGAAAAGTTATTTGCTTGCAGTACTAAAATAGGTCATGTATGTGGTTTAGTATAAGAATTACTTAGCAGTTTTCGTGAAATCAAAGATGAAAGTATTTGATAAAATTTGAATTACCAAATTTTAATTTCTCTTTTTTTCTCAGAAAAAAATTCGAAGAGGATTTAGGGAGATGGCATGGCACGGCAAAAAATGATAGAACATGCCAAAAATTGAAAATAAGAATAAAGAAAAAACAGCTCTACTCGAACATACACTCCAAAAACATTATAATGTAGCAAGTCATAATAAAAATGTTAATTTGTATCTTTTGTTTTCATAATAAATAATTATGAAAAATGGGTTTGATTGAAGTGAGCTTTGAGTTACGTGTGAATCTGTTCTCTCCCGTCCATGTGATTGAGGTTAGGTCGCAAAATTTCGGCCAAATATCGTATCTTTTGAAAATCTGCAATCTTTCCACACTCTTGTTATCTCGGATTCAGAGTCCTGATCCGATGAACATTGGCTCGAAATTCTTCCATACGTCTAAAGAACTCCATTTTCTACTATATGAGTGGATGAGCCATGGCTTTAAACCACCCTTCGCCGAGGTCTGGAGTTTTCAAACCGCCGCGCCGCTCGAAAATTCGACAAGTCCGCGTCTTATCAAGGGAAACCGGGATTTCGAGCCTTGGCTCGAATAAACCGCGGCTCAAACCTTCTGTTAGAAATCCATCCTGTGGGTCTGTCTCTCCATCTCTCTCTGTCTGTCCCTCTCTATCTCTGTATCTTTCTGCCTCTGTCTCTTGACTCTCTCTCTCTCTCTCTCTCTCTCTCTCTCTCTCTCTCTCTCTCTGTAGATCTCTGTCTCTCTGCAGATTTACTCTTATAACTTACTGCAACCGAACCTCTACGAGCAGTCAATTATTTCTAATTTCGGAATTTTGTTGAACCGCAGTGTTCCCAGTCCAGATACATTTATGTACCACGCTTGGCCTTAATTTAGTAAATAAAAGCAATATTTTACTCAGTTCGTCATAGTTATAAGTCCGACGTATTTATGAATTACAAACACCGCGTGCAACGAAATCTGCTACTATTACCTACAGTTATCAATACAAGATTGGCATTGTTTGGTGGCGTAGATCCGGCCGGCTGAGCAAAACCTCGCGCCATGGCTACCTGCGTGAGTGAAGAATCTCCTGCGGCCACCCGAGCTGCAGCGAGGAAAACCATTCAGCTCAGAGGATCAATAAACTTTGCTGCCAGCATGATGACGTGTTTAAGAGCTTGGCTGTAAGCTCTCAACTGCCCCTCAGATACGAAAGTAAACGGACTTTAGAATTCAAGCATTTCTCTAATCTAATTTTTTTTTGTTCTTTTAAAGAAAGGAAAGATTCTCAGCCGCGTTTTGGCTCCTAAGAAAGAATCAGCGAAAAATCTTGTAATGTTAAAGATAAGAATTTACTTTGTTTTTTGGTTCTTATTGTGGGGAAAATCCAACGAGCTCGTAGTAAGCTATTATAATTATTATTATTGTTGAAAATTGTCTTGCTTCATTAATTCAACTTTATGTTAACCTCATTTCTAAAACATTCATTTCAATCGAAGCAACGGCCGTCCACCAACACTTGTTTTCAGGCCACCTTTCTACCGTCTGAGCTAGCTGAAAGGTAAGGTGACCCACCTTTTCCGAGGACGAAAAGGAGACGACTTCGTGGCAATGTAGTTCATTACATTCTCGAGTGCAGTCAGAATTCACATTTTGAGTGTTCTGATACTTCACAACCGATAACTAAGTAGTGGCTTTCGGTAAAACGTTTGAAAGTCCGTCAGTCTGTGATTAACATTAAATTAATCGTACATTGGATTTTCACCAAAACTGGCATTCCCCGATAAACGTAGTAAATGTGATACTCCCTGGAATTTTACGGGGATATTTGGATTTGTGAGAGTACTTTCCTTGAAGCCTCAACTTCATTTGGAAACTTTCACACTTGAAATGATACTTATACATTGAAGTATTGTGTTTGTGATAAGCCGTGCATGTTTTGAGAAATGTCTATCATATACAGACGGCCTGCAGAGTAATATTTAAAAATAGCTAGCACAAGGTTCTCTGTACGCCATGTGTGTACAAATAATACATGCATAGAAAATAACGTTTACTAGGAAACTATACACAATTCAGAATAAAAGCACGTTGAAACTGTTATTTTGATACAAAATAGTGATGGAGGATAACAACACTTTAGGTACGAAATGGCTTTTGAGTTAAAATCATCATGAAAAAAAAAGTTTACTGTGATGCTATATATCGTAATTTACAGAAACTAAATACAATACCCAACTCTTGGATACTAAAGTAATACTTAGTGCTATTTGAAAAAGCCAGAAACGCACATAAAAGTTACACATAAATGGAGAATGCTAACAAGTTAACTACACAGTTAATGTGCTTGGCTCCCAAATTTTTCTTTAAAATATTTGCTGTAATAGACAATTGTGCAGTTATAAAAATGATGGAAGTCTAAATTCTATTGAAACCTCTGAAATTTCGAAGAATTAAATTAAAACCAAATTCAAAATGTTTTTATGGCTGCTTCTTTATTTTAGATACTTGAATTATATTACGTCTTTGTTTACAGTAAAATGAACAAATCGTGCATACTTACATCATCTTGCTTGGCTTCCACTACATCCACAGGGTTGAAGAAGAAAAATATCATTTGATGTGTCCCAGAGACAACATATACTTTCACTGATGCGGTGTCCCTATGTCCATGAATATCTCCTGTTGAAAAAATATCACATTAAGTTCAAATGAATACCAGGAACTTGAATATAATGAATACCTGGCATTATAGAGCTGTTATATTTGCGATGAAATAGTTACATCTCCAGTTTCACAACAATTGTCTTAAGCCTTTTAATCAGTGATGCACGGTGCTATAAAGTTAAATATGACAATAGAACCTGGTTTTGTTGTGCGAGTTGTTATGAGATCTTTCAGTCGAGATGTATGGAGAGACCCCACTTCACCGTTCGACCTCATATGTTTTATCTCCACGTCTTGCTGATGTGGAACAAATTGTTGCTGCGAGCATCTCATGCCATGGTGGACTATCTGAGAGTGTGTCTTAGATACTCCATTTCGACCTCATCACTTCTATCTCCACATCTTGCTGTTGATGAAAAAAATGTTGCTGCGAGCGTCTCATCCCGTGGTGGACTATCTGAGAGTGAGTGTCTCAGATACTCGCACTGAGGTACTCGCAGGCAATTCGGCCTCGTCAGTTCTACTTCCCCATCTTGCTGATGATGGACAAATTGTTGTTGCGAGCGTCTCATCTCATGGTGAACTATCTATGATTGGGGGATCTCTCTATTCTCAATGAACGGATCATTTCGACATCTTATATTAATACTGACAAAGTTTGGATAGCAATATGTAACAAGCTCTATAACGTGACGATATCAAATGAAGCTGTGAGAAGAAATGAAGAGTGCAGCTTAGAGAATTGAAAAATTGCAAATTTTGTTGTTAATGCAAACTTAGATTTGATAAATGGCAAGCTTGCTGTATTAGATTCTGTTCCAGTTGCTATCTCCGATCTGAAGAGTTCATTTAATTATCTTAGAGATCAGGTTAAATAATGTATTAATTCGATTTTCAATTAAACTTCAAAAATTTTGAGTTTCAAAGTTCAAAATAATTTTCGTACCTGTCCTGCACCTCCAAAATTAAAATAAAATATTTCTTTATCAAAGTAAATTACAGCAATTTTAGATCTTTCAATAATGTCATGACCGTTTTAAAAATAAATAAGTGGTTATTGATTATTAGCTAGAGATGCTAAGAGGAGAAAAAACCGCCGAGCATTCCTACTAGTTCAGAATTTAAATACAAGCGCAGTGTGCCGCATATATTCCATTCTGTGCAACCTGCAATACTTACCAAGCTTGTCATAAACCTTGACATCGAAGGAAAAGTAACCGTCAAGTTGTCTTCCTCCTGGAGAGAAATTTAGCGTAATGGCTCCAGTCTTAAGATTTACTGAGAAAGCATTATTCTCAAATGGTTTTAGAGATTCTGTAGACGCTTCCATAGTGCCTGGTATAATCACGAAGTTGAGCTCGTCGTTTGTATCAGGGTCTTCGGCCTGAAAATGCACTCGCCTTAATTAAATTGCATTGTGTAACACTTACCTGATTACATACTCAAGAACATACTGGGATTGGATGAGGTGAGATGTGATTTGATTGGATCGGATGGGATCGGGTCGGATCGGATGGGATGGGATCGGATCGGATCGGATCGGATGGGATCGGATCGGATGGGATCGGATCGGATCGGATCGGATGGGATGGGATCGAAGCGGGACGGGACGGGACGGGACGGGAAGGGAAGGGAAGAGAAGGGAGAGTAGGGAAGGGAAGGGAAGGAGAAGGAAGGGAAGGGGAGGAAGGAAGGAAGGAGAAGGAAGAGGAGGAGACAGGAAGGGAAGGGAAGGAAGGGACGGACGAGACGGACGGAACGGGACGAACGGACGACGGACGGACACGGGAGACGGGATGGGCGAGACGGGCGGGACGGGACGGACGACGGGGACGGGACGACGGAAGGCGGACGGGACGGCGGGACGGCGACGGGACGGCGACGGGACGCGGACGGACGGCGGACGGAGGACGGGACGGACGACGGGACGAAACGGACGACGGGGACGGGAGGGTACGGGACGGGACGCGGGACGGGGGAGGGACGGGGACGGGACGGGTGCGGGACGGGAAGGGACGTGGGACGGGGGAGGACGGGAGGACGGGACGGGGACGGGACGGGACGGGACGGGACGGGACGGGACGGGACGGGACGGACGGGACGGGGGACGGGGACGGGACGGGACGGGAGGGACGGCGATTGGGATGGGATGGGATGGGGTTGGATGAGATAGGAATGAGAGGATGCTTGAAAGGATGGGTGGATGGCACGCAGGCAATACTCTTGTCAGATTAAGCTTCTCAGAACACAGAAATAATTATTATTGATATCTTCTTCACAGTTTTTCCTCAAATTATCTACCCAGAAATTTGGTCACACACGACCAAACAATTAAAACAATAGTCATTCATAGTTTAATCTTACCTTTAAGTCCAGAATGTGTGTTCCTTGTTCGTGATCGACCGAAAATACACCAGGAAATACTTCCTGAAGAAAAAAGGGTGGCATGTCGTTTATATCGTCGACCTGCAGAAACAATAATCATAATTTCAATAAACAGTAATTATTATCAGTAGCAGTAGTAACTACGTCTAAAGTATTCACGCCATGTATAAGACATCGATTAATTATCGATTAATATTTTTATCCTACTAAAGGAAAGCACAGAAGGGTAATATGGTTGACTGTGTGTTTGTTCGTTTCCAGCAATGATTCAAAATTCTGTAACGTATTTGATTTGTAAAATTCAGAATTACTCCTTATTGTCTGGGTGCGTCCTAGGCTACATGTTACGTTTCTAATTTCATAAATAATCTTATCTAGCGAAAATTCCAAGTGTACAACGGGTTTATCTACCATAAGGTGCAATTTCATTTACTTCTCGATCTTCAGTGGTAACAAATAAAAAGAATAAATGTTTTTAGTAAATGAAATGGTATAAAATAAATATTCAATAACAAAATGATAAAAAATATAAACTACATATACATCAGAATTTGATGTATTAATGATCAATATGATAAATAATAAATATAATGATAAATATATAAACTACATAAACTAACATCAGAATTTCGGGATGATGTGTATGCTTGAATGAGCTACGAGGAAATGTGAGAAGAAATGAAGAACTAGGACTTAGCTACTCTTATAGTAGACGAAACGAGTGATGTGGCGTCAGTCTCATAACTTGTTATTGTATTTAGAAACTTGTTATATGCAACCCCTGCAAACCTGATGAGAGTTTCTGGGGATTTGTCATTCTTGAAGGACATGCTGATGACTCGTTACCTGAATGTATATTATCTGAGCTGCATCGAGGGATGCTAAAATAAACTCATGGCGCAAACTTACGATGGGGCTTCTGTATGACTGGCTCAAAACATGAAGTGCAAGCCATTATAAAACAAAATTACATAGATGATAAATATGTGCATTGTTATGCACATCAATTAAATTTAGTCTTGTTAAAAGCAGCTTCTGTGACTAAAAGTGTTCGAATATTGTTTTTCTAATTTTCAAGGTCTCTGATCTTTCTTTTCCAATTCCTCGCAAAGAATATCAGTCTTAGAGGAAATGCAAGTAGTCTACAAATACTTGTAGTCCAAAACGTTTACCAAGATCAGCTCCTACTAGATGGAACTTTCATTCAAGATTTGCGATTACTATTTTCGAGTGTATAGGGGAGCTGATAGAGTGCATGAAACAGATTCAACAAGGGAACAGAATAAGCTGAAGCTCTGTGTCTCAAGCTTCTGGATTTATTGGTGTCTTAAATGATAAAAACTTCATATATTGGTTGTCTTTCTTCTATAACATCATGCCACATGTTGACATTTTGTCCAGTGAACTTCAGAGGCGTGATTGTACGATAAAACATAAAGCATTTGAATTGGATATTCTTAAAATCAAAAGCAACATAAATATTAGACCAGCTGATGGAGAAGCACAGAAAAAAGAAAATTAGAAAAGACAGCAAGAAAAAGAGAAGCACTAGAAGACTGTGGGTTATCATACTGACAATTCAAGATCTATTTAGTTATGTTGCACACTTAGGGCAGCAGTATTATTTTTACCGGATACGTTTGCAGAGTATGAATATGAGTTTTCAGAAGATATTTTGATAGCTACTCTTGAAGCATATGCATTTATTGAGAAGAAAGAAATTCACACAGAACTTTCAATATCCTACAGTACACAAGAATTCAGGAATGTATCTGGGACTTTGCCACTAATGGACGGGAATGGAATTATCAGAGACGATAAATTAAGTTCTACTTTCAGTGAATGTGTTAAACTGCTACGAGTAGTTCTCACCATTCCAATTCCATGCGAGACAGAACGATGTTTCTCTAGTCTAAAAAGGATTAAAACTTTTCTGCGCAACACAATGGTAGAAGATAGATTATCTGCTCTTGCAATGCTTTCCATCGAGCGTCACTTCATCACCCAAACTACAGAATTTAATGAAAGAGAGAGTTATAACAAATTTTTCCCACACGCAAGCAAAGGCGCGTGCCGACTCCTTTAACAATTCGGTAAGTACACATATTTTTTATTTATAATTTGAAATAATGATAAATGATGGTGTGGAAATGGGAATGTCTCGAAGAAAACGTGAAATGTTAAGTACAATATATTTCTGAAATGTTTGAGCAATTTCATTGTAACTGGTCTCAGCATCAGAGCCCTCCTCGTAATGCTATTATTCTGTAAACTAGCTACTTTTAAGCGCACGACCAGCCACTGCTCTACTGATGGAACTGTAGTGTAAATAATAGTTGTATACACGGAAATGCGGTTCATATGGTATTCGAAATTTGCCTTTTGGATCATTTGTACTGTCATCGTAATGTTCATAATCGAACATAATTTTCCTTTGTTGCCTGCGTGTAGGTCAAGGAGGACCCCCCCCTCCCCATCTACATCGCACGAATTAGCAAGCTCAGTTGCAGTGCTTAGCATTTCAGCAAAATTATTGTCATGTTTGAATGTTCGTTTCAAGAAGACCGGCCCATTTTTAAAGCCTCTGAAGCCCCTTGTGGATTCAAAAACAATTACAAATTTTGTTTTGTTTTATTCAAAGTTTTGCATAAGCATTCTATTTTTGCCGCCCTGGTTAAATGCAGCAGTGGAATCAAGGCCAGGATGGAGCTGAACAAGCTTTTCCACGTTTTTCCTTCGCATTAGCTCCTTGAATGTTAAATCAACATTACACCATCGGCAAATAAATTTATAACCTCTTGAAAACAATTCATCTCACCTCCAACAGCCTCTCGCATATTTCCACTTACAACGTTCGTGCACCTGCCAACGACAGTTTTCTTCTCACGGCTTCTCACCCGGACCACAGACTTCGACACAGCACGTCTACGAACTTTTCTGCCGAATTCGGCTGCCGCCAACCGCTCCTTAGAGCCTGGGTTCTCTACTTTGCGTCCTCGGTCTCCCACCCGTTTGTGTACAGTTCACTGTGGCCGCGCCACCGGCGAGCCTACTGTATCTTTCATTATGTTTAATAAATGTTTGTCTGAGATCTATTTGGACTCATTTGTCCTAATATACAACAGATCCTATTTACGGAAAACTGCAGATCGGAGCAACCGGCTCGGCCTAGTTATCTAGGTAGTGCCTAAAATCCACGACCGGCGAGGCTCAACCCTAGACCCTTCCAGTCAAAGTCACTGCAGAGACAGCGGCAGTGCTGGGAATGAACTAAATTCAGTCAGTGACAGTTATTGGCAATAGATATTTGGCTACCGCCACATTGTGAAGCAGGTGATTGATCCTTTCCTACCTTACGAATTGGGATGATCGTTAATTCTCGCCATACTTTTGGGATGGTATGCTCGTTGTAGATGTTGTTGAAAAGGCAAAGAGTAGTCGAGACACTTTAGGTTCAAAAAAGAAATGGAGGAAATAATTTTCAAGGTTTTGAAACTTTGCGAAAACACTTTCGGGGAGTGTATTAAAGAAAACAAGTAAAAATGTTTCCTCCTTTGGGGGAAGGTGCGTCATCAATTCAACCTCGTTCCCCAAAAATTCCAAACTATGCGATTTTCTCAAACAGTATAAGCACAATTTTCGAGACTTTTTTTCATAAAGAAGAACTTTTTAGAAACTGCCAAAATTGTTGGATTGCTTTGGCCACAAATGCTGTTGAGAGCGTAGGCTTCCGAGTTAGTACGAACTTGGCTGTAGGGGCATTACACGCGGTGGAAGTTCGTAGAATGACGGCCGAAACGTCGCCACCTATGCCTTGGACGCGGCGCCTCCAGAACAGCGAAGTATATACAAAATGCTGTTGAATTTTGTTGACATAAATAGATTCAGGGTTACTAAGCAAGGTATTGGCCTTGAATTTTGTTGGCATAAATAGATTCAGGGTTACTAAGCAAGGTATTGGCCATGTTTGCAATAAAAAGTTTTTTGCTTATAAAGTGGGTTTGAAATGACGTGGTTACAAACAATTGAATGAAGATGGATTTCCACCAGCAGACACTATTTTTATAGTCATTTTCCTGAGATATGCTTTTTAGATTTGTTTTCTACATACATCTCTATTTGGGGAGAAATTTACGTTTCGAAAGAAGTGTTTTGTTTTCTGACAAGCGTAAAATCAAACCACATACGTGATCTCTAGCCACAATTTAAAACTCTCTCTTTTCCTCAGCACTCTGCTGAGGCTTCCTTCTCAGCACTGTTGTCATAAATACAGAGAAACCCATAATCAAAATTACCTAATATCGGAAATGAAAATGTATAAGCGCCTTTATCAACTGTTTACAAGAAATCTCAATGGATATGTTAATGCTATTCTGAAACTATGCTATGCAACGATTAAATCAATTTAGAATAAAATGATTTTCCTGTCATTTGTCGATCATTTATCGTACTGCCAGTGACTTTTCCACTCTCAAATTATTTCTCTTGCCTGCTGCAGCGGAAACTTCGCGAGGCAGAGCACACGGTGGAACAAGTACGGCTGCCCGAGCGGGTAAAATAGTGCACCTCTGGCTTACACGGTAAAGATGATATGTTACCTCGAAGCTGTCGCGTTCACTTACCTTGACGGTAACTTCAAGAATAGCATTTCCGTAGAAGTTATCAGATGGCGGTTGTTCTTCAGCATGGGTTGCTCCAACTATGATTTTGTGCTGAGTAACATTTTCGTAGTCTAACATTTTCTGAAGTGTCAGAACTCCAGTATTTTTGTCCAAGAGGAAGTACTCGGCCTCTCCCCCTAAAACAATATTATTCTATGCATCAGCACCTATTGCGTAGAATATTATTTCAAGGGTAATACTTATGTGAGTACTTGCTACAAAAAAGCAATATAAGCAGTGGTTGTTCGTGCTAAGGAAACCAGGTGTCCTTCTTCCTCGTACCAAATTAAATACACTACAACAGTAAATATTTTCTCGCATTATTTGAAACGGATCCGCAATGTTATGCTACTAGATTAAACTGAAAAAGCGTTTCCAAACAGCAAATATTTTTTCCACGTAGACTCGAACTACAGACCATAGAATTATGTCGCCATTCGCTTTACCGCAACACCATGCAGTCACTCTGCCCTACCCACATGGGACTGACGCTTAAAAATCTAATTGTTTCTGCCATTATTTTCAATACGCAATTTTCGTAAATTCAGAGCGTTCAGCAAAAAAAAAGACCTGCACCATTTTCTTAAAAGCTCCTTGTTTTAGAAGTAAAAAATTAAAGAAAACTAGTGGTGCTACAGAATGGCACAGGTTCCCGTAGTAAATTTTCAATACTCTTGGTGTGGTCTGGCTATATTGTCTCCCCCCTTCTCTTGTCAGCTGCCATCTATCGCTAACAAAATTACATTATTTTGACATTTTCTCAATTTTTCAGTTTACTAACAGAAGAAAGTATTACTTTAAGAATATTAAATATGAGTAAAACCTCCTTCTAAATGGCGATTTTCTTTGAATAATATGGACCCGTTTTTAAGAAAATGACCTTTAACGGTTACTATAAATGCGAAATTTGCGGCTCTTTTTCACAGAAAATGTTTGAGACTTCGAAAAACTTAATTCAAAGTCATTTCTGGAACTTTAACTCACAAATGCAATAGTGTTTACAAATCGCTAGAAATGTGCAAATGTGCATGGAAACGGCATGAGAGATATTTAAAAAAAATTACATTTGTGTAATGTTTTAAGAAACAAAACAATACCTCAAAATAAAATATATTTCACATTGAAAAGTTCAAGTAGCACTATCCGTTGTAAAAGTTTGCAAAAAAATTACAGCCTTTTTTGAGAAAATTACATTTGAGCGTTTCTAAAAATTCGGAATTTTGAGCTCATTTTCACAGAAATCATAAGTTTTCCAGAAATTTTATATGATATTTCAAGCACATGTATTCATAAATAAAATAATGTGAACAAATCGCGGCTAATGTAAATATTAACGACGTGAGAGACAAATAAAAAAATTACATTTTTTGTAATTCTTGAGAATCAAAACCACACAACAATATGGCGTTTATGTAATCTTCAAGAATATATTTAGCACTATTAATGCGACAATTTTGAAAACAAATTGGGAGTCGTTTTTGAGTAAATTTTGTTTTTGTTATTTTTTAAATTGCACATATTGCGCGAAAACTACTAAAATTTTCAAAAGATGTATAGAACGTTAATGAAAAACTAATTATGGACAACAAATGTCATTTTAAGGAAAAATCTCTATCTTTAATTTTGAAGTTTTAGGAAGTTGCCAAAAATTTTTTTTGTTGTGTTGTGTGTTTTGTTTTGTTGTGTTGAGTTGCCAAAAAAGTTTTGAAATGTTCGAAAATTCATAGTGAACAGTGAAAATAGGACCTTTTCCATCTTCTTAAGAATATTTTACTCTAGTCTTAGGAGAAATTTTAAAGAAATTATGGAACCGTTTTTGAGAAAATTTTGAAAATATCCTAGGGGCTTCATGTAAAGTACCCCCAAATTTTGAAGGACGTTTCCAAAAATCACTAGAGACAAGAATGTCTTGATAAGAAGCTAGTTTTGTGAGGACACAACTTCATGTACGATGATAACACTATCAGTCTTTGTAGCAGTATATTACCGTATTTACTATTGTGGCTCCTCTGACCAGCACTTATAACAGTAAATTGGTACAGTCTTACAATCTCTACAAGGTAAAGTTTGGAAGGCAATTTTTACTTTCATCCCTTACTAACGTAAGAAGAGAAAGAAGAATGGTGCACCGGAAAAAGGCGAATTTTCCACACAAAAACTCTTGTTGCCGCGCCTTGGTAATGAAAAAGTGGATCAATACAATTGCTAAACATAGAAAAAAATCCTCTAACACGTGCTGTAGCCAGAATCCATGTTTTGTGCGTCCTTGATACTGAAATGTCGATTGTGTCGTATCTGCCCGTCCGTTTGTCTGCGCACAACGCTAGCGCATACACCGTTGAACCTATTTTCTCCAAAATTCAGATTCCTTAATCGTTATGGCTGATGTAGCGGTCTCTGCAATTTCAAACCGATATTTTAATTTTAGGGAGGTACATTACATGAAACACAACGCACATTTTCGAAATTAAAAAAAAATGGCTCCCAATATTTTTATTAAACTTTGTTTTAGGATGGGATAATGGACGCTGAAGAGAATGGTGCATGTCGCGTTTTCGTTTAAATCCCTGATTTTTTGAAAGTTACAAAATTTGAAAAATTTTCGAGGCCTACCTACAATTATAAAATTGAAGATACAGATTTTTACTTCCTTGAATACTTACGTATATATGTAGTGCAGAGAAAGTTATGTAATGCTGCTGGAAATCGACTTCGATATTTCAATATTTCAATGGAAATACCGTTTTGGGGCCCCTGAGAGCGAAAAAAGTTGTTTTTACTTTCTTGCTACCGCTATCGGTAGCGCTATCGATACCGCTATCGATAGGAAAAGGTGTGTAATGGTGCACGAAAAAATGGGAATTTTCGGCAGAAAAAATCTTTTTACAGGGCCCTGGTAACAAAAATGTGGATAAACCCGGTTGCTAAATTTAGAAAAAAAATCTTCTAACACGTGGTGTAGTCAGAATCCATACTTGTGAATCCTTGATACCGGAAAGTCGCTTAACGTCAAAACGTCTGTCTCTCCGTCTGTGAACAACTCTAGCCGTTATACCGTTCAGCCGATTTTCTCCAAAATTGATATTCCCCGATCGATATGAATGAACTTTGGGACTTTCAAACGGATATCCGAATTTTGAGGGTACTTATCATCAAGCGAAAACATTTTCAAAATTTTCTTAAAAATAACACCAATTTTTCATCAAACCTTCGGCTTGGCTCTTCTAACGTAGGCAAAAGTTGACAAACCTTATCTCTTCTATCTCAGAAGGTGGTATGAATTCAAAATCGATATTTTAATTTTGGGGGTACTTTACATGAAGCCGCTGAGAAATTTCAAAATGTTTAAAAATGTGGCGCCAACGTTTTTGATTAAATTTTGTTGTTGGATAGTCTGAAGAACATTTAAGAAAATGATGCAAATCTCATGTTGGTTAAAAACTCTGATTTTCGAAAATTGAAAAATATAACCTTTTTGGAGGATTTCCTTCGACTAAATTATTAAAGATAGGGATTTTACCCCAATAAACCTGTTCCTTAAAGATAGGTTTTGAAATAAAGTCATTTACAATTTTTCGAAACTTTATCGTTGATGCGACTCAAAATAAATACATTAAAAAAAGTGAAGACAAAGTATGTTGTAAAAATCAGAACGTATTTATATTTGAAGAAACTAGAACACTACGCGCAAGTTTTCTTGATATTCCGAAACGGGAGGGGAGAGTGAGGAAGGCTCTGGTTATGTCACGGATTAAAAGGGCGTACCAACTGTGGGCATGAAGTTAATACGCTGAAGCGTGCCGCAAGTAATGCTTCGATTGTTTTCAAAGTAAGAAGTGGTTGCTGCCGGCTTTGTAAATCGGTAGTGCCGTAAGCAGTAACTCAACGGGTCATGGTATTCAGCGGTGGGTGAGGAATACGGAGCTCGTGTATCAAGAAAACTTGCGCGAGCAATAGATTTCGCGTAGTTTGTGCTTGAAATTAATGCAATTTATAGGGAAAACACATTTTCACAAAAAACGCTCCAATTTGTTTTCCACGGTTACAAGAAGAGACGCTAGAGTGACGGTCTCATATTCGTTGAATTTTGGATTTTTAAAATTACAAATTTAAAAATATTTCGAGAAAGTATGTGACGCTGAAGCACCACATGATTTTCAAGTTGTTCTAATATGCTAAAGCTATTCACTGATATTTAATATGTATCGAGAAAATTGCGAATAGAAATGATTGTGTAGTACATTAGGTAGTAGTTAAGTTTAGAGAATTACATTTTTATTCAGTTCAAATAGGCACTTTCAGAGGTTTCCTGGACGTACGCCACTAACATAAACTCTGGTAATCACCAATCTTATTTTTATCATATTTCTCTTTAGCTGAAAAAAATAATGTAAAACATTTGCCGATGTGAGATATGTTAAAAAAATTGGGAATATTGGAAAACGTTTAGGCTATGTGTTAAGTACACACAAAAGAAAAGAAACAAAAATCAAATCCACATGACCTTGAATTCGTTCAGATCGGTCAGGAAATATCTGGTTTGGAGAAAAAGTACTGTTTAGGCACTACCACTGACCACAGACAGGCAGGTAGACCTTTTTTGCTTTCAATGAATTTTTCGGTGTCAAGGTGCCAGAAAAAGTTAATTCAGACTACACAATATATTAAAGGAAGCAGAATTGCTACAAATAAGAATTAGTTTTTCCATTTTTTCGATAACAGGGCCCCACTACACTTTTTTCGTGGACAAACCGCCGATTTTTACCACAGCATTGCAATACTTCTCTTTACTACGTGAGTACGTAGTATGGCGATAAAAGGTGTGTCCTGAGGAGGTATACCCGACATAATTCTCTCTCTATCAGAGAAGACCCTCATCGATATCGGTTTAGTCGTTCCCGAGATTATCCCGAATAATCAAACGAACTGGCTAGAGATCAACAAAAAAATTAAAAATAATAAATCTGTTTTAAAATTATGTAAATAATCTTATGAGTTAATGAAATGTAGTTATTTTTAAATCTCAGACGAAAGCTTCAATTCTAAATATTTAAGAGACTATACTCACCAATGATATAATAGTAGATTTGACGTCTTACTTCTAATTCTAGAAGTTCTTCGTCCAAATTTCGCGCCTGGGGGAGAGACCTACTTTCAACGAGGCCAGTTGTGTTCTCTGTAAAATAAGTGTAGAATTTTCTGAGTGCAATATTTACTCTATTTTCTTTTTCACCACATCCTAATTACTTGTCCAATTATTTTTCTTCCTCTTTTATATTTCTCTTCCTCGCTTACCTTTTTACAATAACTTATGTCAAGTTGGTTGTCAGTTGAATATAAATTTTTCATGATAACACAATGTCTTATTCTAAACATAATATTTCACAGGAGAGTGTACATGATAATAATCGTGTTTTTTTAAAAATAAAATACACAACGATATTTATGAAAAATAGTTTCTTTTGAATTAACTGATAAAGTAATTCAAACAGCAATTAATAATAATTTGAAGTTTTAGCATGCTACTCAAGTTTTCCAAATTATATTTTTTAATTTTCCAAGATATTTGGGTAGATAGTAAGCAAATTTTCCAATACTCTTACCAGTGAAAGAGACGATTGCATCTCGTTCAGTGAATGCTGGAGTAGAATCAGCATCGATCACATAGATATTAATAGATGTTGGAGGATTACTACTTCGCTGGCCGTCTGAACCTGGCCTATCGAAGGCTTGCAGAGTTACCTAAAAAACACACAAACTGAACTAAAATATCCTTTCTGCTGACATAGGCTGTAGTGTTGCTCTCCAGTAATTTGGATGTAACTGGACAAAAACGAAATTGTTTTAAAATGAAATTATTTCAGAAAATATTTCTCTTCCAAATTACGAATATTACATTACATTTTGTACCACTGGTCTCATTCACAGCATACAGAAGAATGGTTTACCTTTTACGTACATAAACTGTAGAATAATTTTTTGCACAATCACTGGGGTTTTGCAGGAGAAAAATTAAAATATCATTCGTCTCTTAAAAATTAGTACTTTTGAAATGTAAGTCAGAACGTCTAGCTTTCCGACTTTACCAGTTAAAACCCTGCCCGTAATTGTAAGTCTCTATGTAAACAGATAAACTTAAGTCATACTAACTACATTTTGGTTTAATGTCTGGTATTGTCATCTGCAAAACGAGTACACAAAACTATAGAGATGCTGTTTCTCTTTTAATTGTTTATCGTGACACATAATATGTATATGTAAATGTGCAGGATGCCAGAAATGTGGTCAGTCTTCAACAGACAGAAACAACAGACGAATGCGAATGTAACAATGTTGACATCTCCGTAACTCTAGGTCCGATCCTTTGTGATTTTAAATGAAATAGACATTTAATGAAATATCTTAATGAAACTAACACACTTTAACTTTCTCGCCTTTACTTCGTAAGAAATGAAAGTACCGTAACCATGCGCCAGAAACTGAGAATACGATAGCGACAATAAATTTGATAAATCTTGTTCCTGTACGTAGTAAATTACTTCCTCTAACACATTGTGTAGGCAGAATACATATTTACTGGGTCCTTGATACCTTGATTCCGTCCATCAGTCCGTCCGAGTGGCCGGCCGTCTGGTCATCTGTGAGGTTAGGCTACCGCCAAAACCGTTCAGTCGATTTTCAAAACAATTGATATTCTTCGATCGATTTAAAGAAATTTGAGGCCTTCTGAGTTAGAAACAGAAATTTTGATTTTTACACGTACTTTACATAACACCTCAAAATCATTGAAAAAGGTTTCTCAAAAATGGCTCCAAAAGTTGCGTTTAAATTATGTCCTCCGGTAGCGTAAAGGGGACATAAAAGATAAATATAGATTTCATTTTCGTTGAAATTTTTCTGAAAATTTCTGAAAATTGAAAAGATTCAACATTTTTTCGCCGTTTTCCTACAACTCCAATATTGAAGTCAGAGGCTTGTTTCCTTAATAAAACCTGTTCTTTAAAGAGAGATCTTTAAATTTGATCATTTCGAAATATCCACGTTTTGAAAACATGAATAGTTCTCCGGTAATTTTGCGTGAAATATAACAAATTTTAAAAAAATATTTTTTTCAAAAACGATTCTAATCCTTTTCTTTAAACGTTCTCCTTGTATGAAAAGACAGTAAAAAGTGTTGATGATCTCATTTCCAGTGAGGACTTTGTTATTTCGAAAATGCAAAAAGGTTAACATTTCAAAACCACAAAACTGGAGAGAGAGAGAGAGAGAGAGAGAGAGAGAGAGAGACAGAGAAAGAGAGAGAGACAGAAAGAGAAAGAAAGAGAGAAAGAGAGAGAAAGAAAGAGAAAGGGAAAGAGAAAGGGAAAGAGAAAGGGAAAGAGAAAGGGAAAGAGAAAGAGAGAGATAAAGTTTTTTGCCTTACAATTTTGTAATTTAAGCTAATGGTGCTACAGAATGGTACAGACTTTCTCCTACTACCTAGTTTTCTAACATCTTCGGTCTGGGCGACCTTTACAACTAGGCTTCATCCTCTTGTCGCCCAAAATACATTTTTTTGTCTCACAATACAAGTTTTCTCAATTTTCGTATTCCTATTGGAAGATTCATAATATTACTTTTATAATATTAAAGAAAAGTAAAAGTTTTTTAGAAAAAATCGTTTAAGATGAAGTGTAAATGCGAAATGTGAAGCTCTTTTTCAGACAAATATTTTTAGTTTTCGAAAAACCTGATTGAACGTCATTTGAAGCACTTCCACCCATAAATACAATAATGTATACAAATCACTAGAAATGTGCATATTACGAGCGCGAGAGATATTTAAAACTAATGGTGCTCCAGAATGGCACAAACGTTTTTCTGTCACTCGTTTTTTCGCTATCAAGGACACACACAATATGTCTCTCGGAGTTTTCGAGGGACATAACAATAAATTATTTAAAGTTCTTCTACTCACACATGCAATAATGTATACAAATCGCCCGTAAGACACAAAAAATCTATTAACGACGTGGGAAGTAATCCAAAAAATTACATTTGTAGAATTTTTGGAACGTGAAGTAACATGGAAATTACATTTATGTCATGTTAATCAGTGCATTCAGTTCTATCCGAAAAAATGAATTAAAGAAAAAAATATTTTGAGAACGTGGCACTTAAATGTTTCTGAATGAGTAATCCCCAGCTAAATTTCAAAGAAAAGTTTTAAGTTTTTAAAAACTATATGCGACTAACTTGAACTCAATTATATAACGTATTTGAACGGATCTGAATACAAAAACGCATTAATGTATACGAATCGCCAGCTACGTACTTATTAACGACATGAGAAAAAGGAAATTACTTTTGCCTACTTTCTGAAAGAATATAGCGAAAGATGTTTATATCATCTAAAACAGAACACTTAGCACTATTCACATACAAAAAAAATTGGAGTGATTTTGAGAAAATCTTGTTTAAATTATTTTTATATTGCCAATATTTCACTCGACATTACAACAAGTGATAACATGTTCCAAAAAAATGACATTAATGAAAAACAAATCTAAAAAATACATTTCATTTGAAGAAAAAATGATCAGCATTGTAGATTGAGAATAACGCCGAAAAAATTCAAACGTTTGATATTCCTGAAAATTCAGACCTCAGTCATCGTCATAAATGTATTTCATTCTATTGTTACGAGAAATTTAAAGAAATAATTGGTGCAATTTTTGAGAAACTTTTGAGCATGTCTCAGGGGCTTTATGTACAGTAAATCCAAATATTTAAAGAATATTTATTTCAAAATCGCGGAGCATCGAGTCGGGGAATATACATTTGGGCAAAATACTAATAGTTGAGGGTTGTTCTCAGATGGATGAGTCGACAGATATGAACCCAGCGTTGCCCCAAACAAAATTATTTATGGATATGAATGAGTTTAAATGGCCCCCTTATGTACACATGTAGCAAGAATGGTCGGATGGATGAAAAAGTCTTTGAATGGTTTGAACACTAAGCCTTGCTTCACCATTTGCCCAGGACCCAGTGATGCTGGTCTTGGACAACTTTGGGAGTCACATCACATGTGTTCTACAATTATTGTAAAAAAATAAACAATGTTTGATGTACCAATGCGTTCATTTACTTTCATATTTCTTTTACAACTAATATTGGTTCACGGGATTAGTCATTGTAGGGAAATAAACAATTAGTTTAGCCAAAGTGTCGAAATATTGAATTTATTCATCAGGGATTACTAATAATTATAAAGGTAAAGTCTCATTTCAAGCCACCATACCCAATTCCACATGGAGTTGCTGATTTTGCAGTTAGGGCCTTGGCCCGATTCTCACTTGACGCGCTATGGACCCGCGTGCTTCAGCAAATTTTTCAACGAAAACTTCCATATATGCGAGGTTTTACTCTTCTTTAATATTTTAAAAGTAATATTTCAACTCTACCGTTAGGAAATTGAGAAAACTTCAAAAAATGTATTCTGGGCGACGATTCATGGCAGCAGGCAAGACAAAGGGGCAAGGCCTTAAAGTTAGTGTGGCATTTTGTAACTCTCTTCAGGGAGAGATTTACCGGGAGAAGTGGCTCAGGGCATCCACTGACATCACTGCGGTCCTCTCACTAGGAGGTCGTAGGTTGATGTCCCGACGAGGCGAAATCCAGAGAGGTACTCTAACAAACGGGTCATGGACCAAGTGCGATCTTTCCTTTCTCTTCCTTGTATCCTCACCTCTTACGTACACCCACTTACACTTACATGCACGACACTACCACATATGACGGGAGACCGGTCGGGAGCTTAGAGCATGTCCCGGATGTGGCGATGTCCCGCTGGTGGGAGAAACCAAGTGGGGAAAACCCCGCCGAACGTAGCCGACGGGCAGATCAGTGCCGGATCTCATCATTCAACCGGAATTCATCGCAAACTCCCGAGGGGGAAACGCACTACACTTACGGGAATAATGACCTTAACAGTTGACGCGTCCGGAATCACTAATTAATCAATCAGGGAGAAATTTCGACGAATGTAAGAAATAAATAGCTGCATAAAACACAGTTTTAATTGTCGAATTGGTTTGTTATATTAGTTTTAAAAATATTCGTTTTGGCATGCAATTTTCTACCATAGTGTAAAGACGTAGGTGAGTTCCTCCGGCGGACCGATTTTTGCTCATACTGTGCAACACCAGTTTGCGTCACGAACCACCTGACCACGGCACGGGCACTTATTTAGAAGAGCCAACCAGTCGCTGGCCGCCACGTAGCATGTAGAGCGATAAGTATTGAGAAACATTTTGAAAGTGACACAAAGTGACAATTTCAACGGTAACCACCAAAAATCACACGATGAAGCTGTACAGGATGCAACCTTTAAAATAAATGGTTCATAAATCAGTTTCAATGTCTTGTAACGGGGTGATAATATGGGTGTCTGCCTGCATTTAAAATTCCCGTTAATATTGTGGCACAAAGTGGTGTCTGAAGCTTAATGGCTAAAGTCGGATGTGATGAGCAAGAGCAAGATGTTCTACGATTTGAAATGAGTTTTACAATTGATGGAAGAGATGTGCTAATGAGAACAGAAATTGTGGAATATTATGCAACCGTTCCTTCGTAAGAGCAAGAAAGTACGTGATTTTGTGGCACTACTAGTTTAATTTAAGCCAAAAATTCCTAATTATTTTCGATTTCCTCATTCCTGTCTCTTCTTTTGACGCAAACTCTTTAAAAAAAACTAGGAGAGTCTCCCACTTTTGCTCATTAAATTAATAATAAATTTCGAACATGAACTGTCAAACATTTTCTACAAGAAGTGTACTAAAAGTGAGGAGGGAAATGTTACATGAGTAATTTGATATCCTTCTATTTATATTATTAAGATTAATTTTACTTACCGGAAATTGTTTCTTATCTTCCGGAATTTTCGGAACCTTTAATACGAGCCTGAAGGTATGTTTGAGTACTTCGACCACTCCAAATACTTCTTCTGGATCTGGAAAGTAACATTAGATATTGAATAACACAAGCTTCAAGTGATAGCAGGGCTGAAGGTTGGTTGGTTGATTAGCGGTTGTTATTGATTCCCGGCCCGTCAATTAACGAGATTATTCCCTTAAGTGTAGCGCATGTTTTTTCTCCTCTAGAGGTGGCAGTGATTTTCCCCCACTGGATGGCGAGATCCAGCGCCGGCCTGAGGTCGGCTAGCGGGGTTTCTCCCAACCAGGTATCTCCCACCAGCGGAACAAGCTCTAGCTCCCGACTGGTCTGCCGTATTTTGTCAAATTGTGAGTATTGTGATAATACTGACAGGCATTAACCACTACCATTATAAACTGAATAATTTGCTTGATCTTGTTATAAAAGAAATTGAAGTGATTACAACAGAGGTAAGAAAAGGTGTGGTGTTAATGACGTTACCATCGTAATGGAAATAATTATGAGGTTTTCCTTTTTCTCGAGTTTATTTATACATAAAACGTTTTCGGTTGAATTCATCTTCGGTGCTAAAACACAACGATATATCAAAATTACATTTTGTGTATAATAAACACAATTTATTTATAAGAATTTTACTAATGAAAAACCAATAAAAATGAATTTTAATTTGGATACTTTGTTGTTTTTTAGCATTGGAAATGGCCGCAATGCGACCAAAAACGCTTTATGCACAAATAAACACATATTACGAAACAACGCCTCATAATTCGAACAATGTTTCAAGGACAATTCAATTACTACGGGGTACCGTATTTCGTAACAGAAATACTCTATGTATCAAAGCAATAATCAGTTATTTAAAACAAGAAATGTATCTCAAACAACACGCTTAAGATTTAAAACAAGAGTCTTCGCGTATTAGAGCGACCTAGCTATCTATCCAGGGTCGAAAAGCCTGCCCCCGTCGAGACTCGAATCCTAGGACCTCTGGTCACAGGCACAGCTGTGCCATCAATTGATGGCCTGAGCCACATACGCCGGTTTTTGTAATTCAGAATTCAATTCTTACATTCCCATTGTAACAAATAAAACCAAATTCCTTACTTCCCCAAATACAATGATTAATTTTAGATGAAATTCCACGAATATTCAATAACAGACCTCACAAATGTAAAAAAAAAAATGGAATGCTGATGGTCTTCTTCGTCAACTACATGAATTTAAACACTTTTTATACAGAAAAATCATACATATTAATTGTGTTACAGAAACACATTTAACTTCTAAAAATGTGATATTCCAAATTACATAATGTAGAGAGAACAAAGAACTTCTATCACTACTGGAGGAGATGTAACAATTTTCAAACGTAGAAAAATCAAACACAACCATATGTTTCTAACGCTTCTCACTTGGAACTAATTTCACTTACACTCGCTGAATTATTTTCTGAAGGTCCTATACATATACACCGAATGACAGAAGTCATGGGATCCCCTAATATCGTGATAGGCCTCTTTTTGCCCGGCGATGTGCAGCGAGTCGACGTAACATGGAGTCAATGGTTCTTCTGCAGAAATATTGTGCTAAGTTGCCTCTGTGGTCATGATTACGAAAGCGTTGCTGGTGCAGGATTACGGGCACAAACTGACCTTTTGATTATAAGTCAAAAATGTTCGATGGGATTCATGTCGGGCGATCTGCGTGCCAAATCATTCCTCCAATAGTTCAGAATGTTCCTGGATCGAGTCGTTGGGAATTGTGGCTCAATGACATGGTACAGTCATTCATTAAAAATATCCAGCTTTGTTGGGAAAAATGAAGTCCATGAATGGCTACAAATGGTTTCCATGGTGCTAAACATAATCACATCCAGTTATTGATCGGTTCAGTTGGACCAGAGGTCCCCGAGATCTAGTATGACCAGAGGTCCCATTGCGTGTAAAAACAGCCCACACAATTATGAAGCCACCACCAGCTCGCACAGTGCCTTATTGCCAACTTGGGTCCATGGCTTCTTGGGGTCTGCACTGCACTTGAACCCTGCCTTCAGCTCTTACCAACTGAAATAGAGACTCATCTGATTAAGCCACGGTTTTTCAGTCGTCTTGGGTCCAATCGATATAGTCACCGGCCCAGGAGAGGCGCTGTCTTCTGTTGCCATAGCCCAATAAAGCCAAATTCCGCCGCGCAGTCCTAACGAATGCGTTAATCGTATGTGCCACATTCATTTCTGAAGTCACTTCTCGCAGTAATGCTTGTCCGTACGCACTGACACCTCTACGAAAACGCCATTGCTCTCGGCCATTAAATGATCACCGTAATCACGCCAGAATTAAATGAATCACTTGAGTGCAAAAGAAAGCTTGGCCAATGCTTTGCCCTTTTGTACGCGATACTACTACCATCTGCATATTTGCATACTGCATTCCCATGATTTTTTTTCCATATCAGTGTAATAACAGGATATAAACCACCTAACAAATAATTATATAAATTAACTCATAGACATTTTATTAAATAACTATTCAAAAATTATTTTACTCAGTGATTTAATTGTCAAACACAAACATTGGAAATCTAATGTAAATATTAATGACGTGAGAGATTTGAAAAAATTGCAAATGTGTAACTTTTGAAAGAATCAAAATAATACAGCAAAATGGTATTTGTATTATCTTACACAAATGGAGCTGTTTTAAAATTATTTGATATTTTTGTTTTTGATATTTTTAATACTTTCCTTATTTAATTTAAATAATACCAATATATTACACTTTTCAAAAATATGTACGCGACATTAATAAAAGAGCTAACTGTGCTGAACAAATTTCATTGAAGAAAAATCCCTATCTTTAATGTCGTTAAAAAATTTCGAACTTTGGCTTATATGGAAATTTTAGAGTTAACAGTGAAAATAGAATCTATACCATATTTATATGAGTATTTTGCTCTTTTTATAAAAAAAAATTAAAGAAAAAAATAGACATGTTTGAAAATATCCCAAGGGCTTAATGCAAAGTACACCCCAAAATTAAAAATGTTTTTCAAAATGCAGAGCTTAAAGTGAGTTGAGATCGACAAAGGAGTACTCAAGTTGGGAAAAAAAATAGTAGTTTAGGCACTAATGTTATTCATAGACGTCGGACTGACGAGACGACGGACTGACGAACGAATGAATTGAATTGAATTGATTGAATTTGCTTTATTTTACGTGGGCCGAGCTCGGCCTATCCGCGCGCTCTTACCGTCTTGATCCACTGTGAAATTTCGCTACGCTCCTTACCACTAGGAGAGAAGGAGGTTATTTCTTGGGCGAGAAACAGGCGTCATTTGAAATTTTAGCTCAGAGGCGTCATTTAGGCTTGAGGATACTTTTACAATGCGCGAAGTAAATCTACGAACATGGGACAGCCGGCTTTACTTCCCAATGAACAAACGATTTGAAGAAAAACAACACTTTTTTGTGTGTTAGGGACACCAAAACGTGAATTTACGTTGAAATATCGAAATCAATTTTCTGCAGCACTTCATAACGTTTAGGTACTGAGTATAAATTTTCCGAAAAAATAAAATGAGCTATTTTTGAGAAAATATAGAAAATGTATGTAGAGCTTCAAGTAAAGTAACCTTAAAATTTAAAGAATTCTTTTCAAAATCCCAGGGATTCGAGTCGAACATTTTTTGACTATTTTTCAAATATCTTGCTAATCTTGAGATTTTTAAAATTTATTTATTTTTATATTTTTTATTTATGTTAAACTTTTACTCATCCCTTAACTATTTATAGTTAAAATGACGGGAAGGAATTCTGGAACTTAAGAAAACGTGTGCAGATATATTTCCCCACTTGGTCACATACAGTTTTTACTGTTTTTTTTATTGAATAAATCTAAATATAAGTCTAATCTAAACATACTCCGAGTTCGATTGTGAAGTATTCATTTTGGCAAAAAATGTATGAATAGTTTATGCGCTCGTGTTATTCACGAGACGGACGTAAGGACAGAAGGACGGGCGTTATAAAAAATAGCTTTTTCTTTATTAAAGTATTGAAATCTCGAAACTAATTTCTTAGAGCATTACATAACTTTTTTTAAACTACGTTTTTCTCTGTATGAGTAGGTATAGGAGACAGTAAAAATTCTTGCTTTGACCATGGATGAGAAAGCATGATTTATTTGCATTGATTGAGCATGTGATTTATGAAAACAATACTTCTTATGAGTTATTCCCTTTCTGAAACTTCTGATTCAATTAGTATACTGATTTTAATTTACTGTCATGTCATCATATTACGGTCAAATATTTACGAAAATACTAGGATTTATTCAAAATAGAGAACGCCATATTTATTTACCATACTTAAAAATAGAGAACACTAAAGATAGGAGTACATACCCGTCAATTTGAGTTCGACTTGACCATTCAGGGTGCTCGGGTCATCGATATCGTTTGTTATGAAGTTTTCAATTCCACTGTTAGTAGTATAATCTATCAGTGGTTTTCCATTGTCGGGATCTTGATTCTAAAGAAAAAAATATAACTCTTGTAGTTGTTTATATTGAAAATCACACTCAGAAATTGAAGTAATTGGGAGAAATGAAGAGCAGAATACTAAACACGAAAAAGAAATAAGATGTTTTGATAATCGCACATATCGAGAAGCTGTTCATCTTTATATTGTGCTTTGATTGGAGCCGCTCTGTGCCGCAATATCAAATTCTATACTGCAGGAATATAAATAACTCAACCAAGAGACATCAAACACTACGATAACCGAAAATTGACAAACAATAACTACTGATTTATTAGACATGATCAGCAAAGTATGAACTCACTCTTCTCAGGCGAATTACAGACCCGCTCTCTGGATATTCTATCGTCGGGTCATTCAGGTTTTCACCCGCCACTTTCAGCACATACACGCCCACACCAGGGTCAGACTTCTCCTCTCCTCTGTCATTCGCCTGCAAATGGACACAAACTGCGTAAAAATCAAATGTCAAAAATAGAATCTCAAAATTCAATTCATTTTATTACTAGTTTACTGTATAATATATTGCCCGAAAAAAGAAACTTCTGAGTGTCGTTACAGTCCCGCGGGATATGGTAGTTCAGCTTTTATATTCATATTCACTTTACATACTATAAAATCACATCTATTACATCAATGTATTCTGAATTCATGAAATATAGTCTAACAAATATCAGATACAAACAACTATAATTACTGTCAGGTTACATAAAAGATCAACCACATCGGCAATTCATTTTCTCTTTCAGCACTACACGGTTATTTTATGTAAATTCCACACAGTTGTGTATTCATGTAATTGATTGACTGTTATTCAGATAATTATCAATTATGGTACTAATAGTCAATCTTTAACTGTTTCTTCCATTAATAAATTAATTTAAATATGCTTCCATGCAGTATATTAAACTCATCTTTGAATTGTAACTATTTAATTTGTGTAATTATACATCTTAATTCACATTACTTGTGTTAAATTCTGTGTGATGGTAACTATTTCCCAATCGATTAGCTTTTCTGCTAGAAACAGTTTCCACGGGCCTTATTCCATGGTGATTCTTCAGAGTTACGGAAGGAGTGACGCAGAATTGGAATGTATTTAAATTAATTACATCTCAATCTACGGTTTGCTGCTTATACCACCTTCGCCAGTACTGGTCACCGAGACAGTAGCTTTGCTGCAAGAGTTATTCTCGGAAAACATCACGGAACGCTTCCAGCACGTGCTAATCACAACATATTTTGTATGGAACGGGGAATTTTACGAACAGAATGATGGAGTAGCTATGGAAAACCTGGTGGATCCGGTTGTAGGCAATCTATAAATGGAGAGCTTCGAGGCCATAGCGCTAAATACTCCGTCACTCAAACCCAGTTGTTGGTTACGGTACGTCGATGATACTTTCGTCATTTGGAGCCATGGAGTGAAAACGCTCGTGGATTTTCTTCAACATCTCAATTCCATCCACCCCCGCATATAGTTTACAATGGAGACAGAACATAATGGAAAAATACTCTTTCTGGACGTGCTTGTAAACAAGAAGGAAGACGGATCCCTGGGCCACACAGTATTCCCAAATCCTACCCACACGGACCATTATCTTAACAAACGGTCGAACCACTAACCCAGCCAGAAGAGAGCTACGAAGACGACACTCGTCCACCACGCCACCACATTCACCAATTCACAACTCGGTCGTCTGGAAGATGCTCTTTAAGGTAATGGATATTCTATCCAAAATGTGAAGAGACTACTACGACCAAATAACACCGCACGCAGTCCTCCCGAAGAAAACACTCACAAGGTCACACTGCCGTGCCTCAAGAATATCACGGACCACATTGGCAAGATTCTAAAAAAAAAAAACATCAAACCATTTTTACCCCCACCACTTAGCTCCGCAACCTCTTTATATCAGTTAAATACCGCAGGGACACACTAATGATAGCAAACGTCTACAGGATACTGTGACGTCATGGATACTCACAGCGACCACAGAGCCACAGAGCTTTCGTTATAACAAATATATTTATTAACAAGAAAACAAAACAAATATATACACTATAATCTACTTACACCCTAGCTCGAAGACCTACTATCCCCGGATCGCGGGACATCCAAACCCGGATTGAAGATGGTTTGATTGTGGCATTCGCCACTCCTACTTTTGAAAGCGCGCCCAAAAGCCTACTTCCGTGACCCGGATGTCACACTGGAGACACAAAGTCCGTCTGCGCACAACGCGGTTTCCTCGATCGCTAATAGGAGCGATTCTTATCTCGATTGAGAAATCTGCCGAATCGTGCACTCCAACCACTCTCTCACCTCGGAGCACGCACCCACAGCATCCGCTCCCCCGTTATCCAGTCACCCAAGGACATTACTAAGTCCGCAGCTTCGTCAACTAATGACTCCAGCCTCGCGAGTCTGGCTCGCATAATATGGCACGGTCTTTGGGCGCCAAGTTTAGTGCCACACGCTACGAGTTTCCCCACGTCTCCAGTAATTCCTACCTATCTGCTCTGACACTCAGTTTATATAGCGTAGCCACGTGACTAATCTACCGCCACGCCACCCCTCTCGTGCTTTGTCTATAAAACATGAAAAGCTTTTAAAAGCCGCGAAACTCCCAAAGCCCTTGTGTGTCTCCCGTTGCTCCGCGGTCTTCCGCGTACGGCAAAAACCCTTCTTCCTTGTGGCAAGGCTAATCCTCTGCCAAGCGTCCCCAAATAGATGCCACGAGGCACGCTGGCTAATACGTTACAATACACTGTTCGTATGGCTCTGTTTACATAGACACAACACAGCGTCAAGTCACCACTCGGCTCACCGAATACAACCGATATTGCGGCTTGGGATATACAGAGAAATCAGCAGTGGCTGAACAGCCCTCTCGGGAAGAGAACACGATATCCTATTCGAAGTCTTTGAAGTACTATCTACCACCAACCACTACCACACCAGCTTTCAACGGGAGTCTATTGAGATTTTTAAACATCCCAATAACTTCAACAGGAAAGAAGGTGCTCAAAATTAATTTGAACTGGTATCTAGGACTCCGCAACACAAGTATAAAACCATAAAAAAAACAGAATTGATCAATCCAGCCATAGCGGAATCGACAGCCAACCAGGAGCCACCCAGCGAACCATCAACCAATCGCAAGTTAGCCGCGCCCCCTCCCACCGGTTATAAAAGCGGCGACCGCGCGGAGCGTGACGCCAAAGGAACCCAAAGGAAAAATAAATTCCTGCCCCTCTAGGGCAACTGAGGAGGGGAAAATCGAAAAAGAGCCGCCGCTCCGGACACTGATCCCGCGACCTTGCCGACATTGAAGATGTCCACCGCAGTCGTGGATGAAACGTTTGGCCCTTCAATGCCAACTAGGCCACTGCCGGAAAATTTCTCTTATACTACGAGAACGTCTGCTGCATTCGGTAGTACCACTAGTCTGCAGTATTCGAAATCCTTTGCCTTTAGCCACCATCTTGATTAAGGGTTTTCTGGGTTTAAGACTGCAGAATTCGAAGTCTTTGCCTTTAGTCACTTTCCTGATTGAGGTTTTCTGGTTTTAAGTCTGCAGCATTCGAAATCCTTTGCCTTTAGCCGCCATCCTGATTGAGGTTTTCTGGGTTTAAGTAATCGCTTAAGGCATACGCCGTGATGGAACCTAATTATTTTCCTGCAGCCTCATCGGTGCAGACGACGACTTAATGTCACGCGATGCTTAGGATACAGTGTGATTGAGTTTGATATCATACAAGTACATTACACAAATATATTTTCTCTCCATTGCTAATAATGTAAGCACTGTTATGAGCCCCATGTCCTCTGGGGGACACGAATATTTACAGAACGGTCATAAAAAGTAATTTCTTGAGGCGGGAAATTCAAAATACATAATTTGCACCAACACAATATTGAGGATAACTACGTTAAGAACAAACAGTACAACTCACCTCATTAAAATTTCAATTCAATACCTTATACCATATTGTTCAGTAAATTTAGTGAATTTTCGATTAATTTTATAATCATTTTTCAACAAATAAATATTATTCGAAATAATTGTCATTTTTTCGAAATAATTGTCAAATGAACAATTTCTGGAATTTTGCATTAGAACTATACTATTGAAGCAACCATGCGATTCACGAAAACAGTGGACATTAAAAAAGGTTCCACATATCTAAAAGTTTAGGAACCGCTCTTATATAGTATTTTACTGAAAGTTCGTTATCATCATAAAACATTGTATTAAATGTCCATCCATTCATTCTTCTTCTTCTTCTTCTTCTTCTTCTTCTTCTTCTTATTATTATTATTATTATTATTATTATTATTATCATTATTATTATTATCATTATTATTATTATTTAAATGAGGTCCACATTACAACTAAAAACAATTTGATGCAACACATTCCATTATTATACTTCCTTATATTAATTTTCTAAATTACAAATTGTATTTGCGATATTTCGCTATTCTTTCATCATTCTGTAATATTCTTCAGAAATAGAAATTAAAGAAGACGAAATAATATACAAAATTAGGTAAATAAAAACGCAATCTTACCGTCAACTTCAGCGTATAAACTCCCCAGAGGCCTTCGAACTTCCGTGTAGCATGTACAGCGCACCTGTATTTGGTCACCCCGTCGACTACCTGCGTTTCTGTTTTCACTGTGAACAAACCATCAGGTCGACCCGCCGGCTCACTGGTAACTTCCGGATCTTCCTCACAGTCGATTACCCCGTTCAGACCTATGTCCTTATCCGTCACTTCCACATCGAAAAATTTGTAGCCTTCCTGCAACATGCCATAATTCATTCATAGTGGCCCAATTTGGTGACAAATCATGGTACTCAAAGAATATAAAGAAATACAAGCCGTTATTTAATATAAGGAAAATAAAGTTCAAGTAAAAAATAATTTCAAAATCGCATTTAAAAACATTGAGTGCAATACACCCAAAATCATATTTTGAATAATTTAAAGTTTTTCATATTGGTAAAAACTTGCGTTAGGCAATATCCGTTTCTGAAAAAAAAATACTATATAGGAGATAGTGTTGTTCCCTTGTGATGTCCACTTTAGCAACAAGTGAATGGCACCCGCCAATCGTCCACGCTGCCGCGCTGCGCATCGTTGAATTGAAGTGAATTGATACCTTCTTTTACGTGGCGAGACTCAGGCCATGAGACCTGCTCTTCCGTCTGACCACGCAAATTTCGCTACGCTCCTTTCACCAACTGGCAGAGAAAGGAGGTATTTCTTGGGCGAGAAACAGGCGATTTGAATTTAGCTCAGAGGTGTCATTTAGGCCTGAGGATCTTTTACATGCAATTAAATGCTACTAACATGGGACAGCCGGCTTTACTTCTCCGAAGGAAGGCGCACGAAGGATGTTTTCGCCCTTAAAATCTACAGCTTCGATCGGGTTTAAATCCGCCGACTTGGGTTTTATAGTCTTATACCGCTAACTGATACACCATCGTTCACAGACAAAGAAAGCAGCTCCTCTTATGAAAAGGTTCTCATTTGTCACCGCGCCTCTATGCACCAAATATTTACAGCACTGCAGTCCTTTAGGCTGCCTTCACAAGGAGCAATTTACATCTGCTTCACATCTAGCCCCCGAAGACAGTCACTGACCCCAGGAGAGGAAGCAATTTCGTGAAGTATTTCGTGAGCCGCAAGGCAGCCAGCAATTAAAAACCAGTTCAGTGGTACGTCCGAGTGGTCTAGTGTAAAGGCACTGTGGCGGTGCCGCGGACATCTACGCTGCTGGTGGTCGAAATTCGCCATCGAACGCCCTAGCAACGCGACCACACCGCTCATGCAAATTCATCCATTTAAACCGTTGCCTTTGTCAACAGACGCGCCTCCCGGAAGCACTCCTGCGTGGCGCCATGTGAAGGTTAGCCCTTAGAAGCGAATTTCTAAATCATAACCTTATATACTCTGGAGTTCCAATTTAAGCCTTCGCATTGGTCAGAATCTTGAAGACTGTTAATGTAGTTAGGTACGTGCTCACAAGGAATCACTACCAATTTTTTTACACCGACGGTATTTTTTACACCATAGCTGAATGAAACACTAATGAACGATTTTTTTAGTGATGTCTTGGCACGACTCCCTCTTTCCTCAGTAGAATACATTTTATTCAATTATTTGTAAAGAGAATGAACGAATAATGATACGTTATGGCAGAAGTATTAAATGGAATGGACTTAATGGAATAAAGACCGATTTGCTGGGACATTTAAAAGAAATTTATAACGAGAAAACCTGAATAAAATACAGAAAAGAGAATGTTATTTTACTTTCAAGACAAATAGGAAGGAAGTAAAATGAAGTAATTAGAGATCGCTAGGTTTAAAGATTTTGTGTCCTTATGTAAAGCATATGTCAGTTACCAAGAATATAAAGAAATCTCTAGCCATCTTGGTGAATCTATGTACTTTAGTTAAGGGGATCACACACACAAAATACAGTAGAGGGCTTACAGAACAAATGTTGGAAAATTTTCTTCTACTTACAGAACTAATACGGACTGAAATGAGTTTCCTGGGCAGTCTTTTAACCCTTTCCTCAAAGTATTCAGAGGTAAAGTATTTAATATTAGTTAATAGTTTATTTTATTAATTCATGCCTTAGGCAGTTATATCTACATAGTATTTCTGATTAACACTGCAGTAAGGAACATGAATTCTTTGAATACATTATAATAATTAATAATACAATGTTCTCTTTCTTTTACAAGCAAATTAATTTCTCAAATATCATAAAACATTGAGGTGAAAGTTGACTGGGTGAATAGCATTGTCTAAGACATTTTTCTTACCTATTTCTTACACCTCACCGTGGTGAATAGTTAATAAAAACACGTGTGCTGCAGAGTGCACTCGACTGAGTCGGGTTTTCCAAATAACGCCCATCCTCAACGAATCGTTTTACTCGCGACAACTAATGTTTACCATGCCAACTACTTGGAACAGCTCTAAGATTCTGACCAATGAGAAGGCTCAGTTTGGGGTTGTAGGATATACATGGTCACGATTTAGAAATATGTCTCACAAAAATTGGTTCTTCTGTCAAAAAATTACCGTTTTTTCCGCAGCATTACATAATTTTCTCTTTAATATGTAAGTTGTAAGCGAGGAAATAAAAATATATTGTACATGCTTAAAAGAAGATTAGTATTTTAATAAGCAATTATCAAAGTAACTCAAAAGATAAAAGATTTTTGATTTACTCACTTCAGGTAGAGTTTCTGAAGAGTCCCCTACTGGCCCCTGATTTTGAAATATCGGACTATTGTCATTAATGTCCTCCAAATTCAATGTTATCGTCACAGTCGGTCCAGAATTACTTCTCCCTGTAAGTACAAAAAAAAGGAAAATAAAAAATATGTATGAACGTATACCATTGTGGAAGGTGAGATGTCACTAGCAGAAAAAGGTAAATAACATTTTCTCCGATTTTCAATACCCTAATAGTGTAACTGTTAGGGTATTGAAATGTTACAGAAAAACCTAATCCTAAATTAAAATTATCATTGCAAACGTTTAAGCAGTTTAAAAAAATGTTAGGGAGTTTTTAAAATGCGCAAGTTTGAATTTATATTTATTACAATTAAATTCATTACAGTTTTCGTGAAACTTATAACGAAATTATTGAAAGCACGTCAACTCACAAATGCAAACACAATTAATAATGTAAACCATAATGGAAATATTACCTATTTGAGAAACATTAAACAATAATTAATTTCATTTTGAAAATATAAAAAAATGATCAAAACTGTATTAACGGCATGTTACTCAGCGCTTAATTAAATATATTTAATTTAATCTTATTAATTAAAGAACTAATTGGAAAGAAAGAAAAAATTCATTAAAAAATCACTATTTTCAATTTTGTTTTTTGTTTGGAAAAAGCTGAAAAAATACAAGTTTTGTAAATACAACTTCTGTTAACTTCATAGTTAGCATTGAAAATCTAACCAACGACTTCTTTTTAAGTATATTTCACTCTATTGTTACCAAAATATCGAAGAAAAATGTTGCAGCTATTTTTCAGGAAATTGTGAAAATCTCCCTGGGTTTTTATGTTAGATATCCCCCAAAATTAAAGGATGGTTTTTCAAAACTAGAGCCACGAGTCGGACCAGATCGATTAGTGATCATTTTGAAAACAAATCCTAGGAATACTTTAGACGCTAGTGACATTTATAGACGGATAGTCTGACAGACGGACCTCTTGGAAGAAAAAAAAAGAAAGAAATACTTTTTTGGTATCAAAGAAATACTTTTTCGTTGAAATCTCGAAATCAATTTTCCACAGCATAACTTTCTCTAAGCAAGAAAGGAACAACAGCACATATTTTCTTGCATTATTTCTAAATTTGCAATTTTCGAATATTTAAACAAGGATAGTTGAACAAAAATTACACCTTTGTTTTTTTTACGTAACCTTTGTTCTAACCGTGAAAAAATTTTGAAGAAAACATTTGAAGAGCGATTTTTGAATTTTTTTAAATCATTTGAATTAACAAGTAAGTAGAAATTACGAAAATACTACTAGTTTTTTTTCAAAAACTTGAACACGATCTTCTTAAAGATCTAATATTTTTGAACAGATTTCACTGAAAACAAAAGTCTCTATCTCCAATATTATACGGTGGCATACACGCAAAAGGAGTCAACTGTTCGTCAAATGGTCAACAACAATGTTAACCTGCAAACAAAGTACATATCGTACATAATTGTCACATTTACAGTCTGCCAAAAACAAGCCACTAAGCCCGATACATTGAACACAGCAGGTTAGCATGAATGAGTTCGAGACGGAAACCGCTTATCTTCAACATCTTCACGAAACCATACACTGAGAAAGAGGAGGCGTTAGTACCTCTAACATATAAGACGGGTGTTTGAAAGAGATTTCTGCATATGGGAATTCCTTCTTCTGCCGTCATTGTTAAAGGCACTTGAGAGTAAATCTAAAGAGCTGCAGCCACATAGAAAAAAATGTAGTTTCGTCTTCTCAGTATCACTTGTAGGAAATAATATGTCTCTGAAATCAATATTTTGTTTACTATCTGCGAAAATCTCTTGTAATCGTGTGTCGTGACAGATCGCTTGTCTCTTGTAGAGGGTTCTCTTATAATGGGATTTTTTGATGAGTACGAAACGCCCGTCGGAATAAACAACTAAATAACAATCACATTTTAAACACGAAATATCCGTAATGTATTATTATGCTGGATTTTCCAAACGATGCATCACGCGGGGACTTACATAACATTCGATCCTCGTAATTATCTCGGGAGAAAACTTCTATCTCGTACGTTTCTTCTCCTTCGTCGCGATCCATATCAGTACCATCCTTCGCCCAAAGGCAACAAGATTCTAAAGTTTTGCATGGACTCTCCATTTCGAAAAGCTCGACGAATTTTCCTTCAATGAAGAAGTAAGTGATGGTGTGGAAATCCTCTGAAACAAAGACGGAACAGGATGAGTCACATTCAGCCTAATAAAAATTAAAATCTTAAATTTAAATTGAAGAGTACAAATGTGCGCACAAATGTAAGGATAATTTCACTTTGAGCAAAAATATGAACCACTTGTTTTTTGTTTTTCTCAAATGTTATTTTTCGAGATTATATTAATGTTCAAAATTTTCGAAAAAATACTCGCATCGTTAAAGTTAATCATTTTTAACTTGTGTTATATTTTTAACATAAATTTAATATTTACCAACATTAAACAACATAATATTCTTTTTCATTTGATGTGTGTATTGAATTCATTAATTTTTTTAAATCATTTTTTGACTTTTTTTAAATTTCGCCCAAAAATCGACAGTTTAAAAATTTGAAGAAAAAAAACATTGTAATTTCTGAAAAGTTCTAGACAAGTCTAAAAAAGTTACAAAATGAGTCACCGAGATGATTTTGAGAAATTAAAATGCAATAGAAAAGTGTTAAACTGATATAATTTAGTGTTAAATGGATGAAATATTTATACGAATAAGAATATGTGATACAATTAATTGAATTGATACATCCTTTTCTTCACTTTAAAGAGAATATCGTTAATTGACTTTTTCATTTAGAATTTTTTTCTCAGTACCTTCTACTGCTTTTTATGATATCATTGTTGCAATAGTCCTTTCTAAACATTTAGCGTTGCTAAAAATATAATGTTCTTTAAATTATCATAAACCCACTTAAAAAACTTCCTCGGCAAATTAATAGGTTCCAGTAATAATTGAAGGCTAGCTTTAATTTACCATATCATAGTTGTCCCCCTTCCCTCGCTACGTAGCAAGGTCCCAAAAGTTGCGAAGCGAAGTATTGCCATTGAGCCCTTACACTGAAGACATCTCTGTGAAATCATAAATTGGCATTGTTTTGTAGTATCCGAAAAATTTGTTTGTTAACATTGTCAGAAACGTACTTGTAAACTGTTATGAGTTTACACTGAAAAGGGTGAATTAAATTCGTGTTTCAGGCATCCAGAAAAAAAATTCCGTTTTTAAAGTCTTTGCTTTCTTTTAATTATAGCTCAAAAGGATGCAGAGTAGCTAAGAAATTAATCCACAGTAGACTATGAATTACATTTTCAAGTACGAAATAATAATGATCGTAAAAAACCACACTGGAAATGAAATTTCCCAGCGTCAAATTTTGTCTGATAGAGAGAGCAAAAGACGAACTTTCTTGATAAGTTTCTTTATTACTCGTATCAGGTGATAAGTTTGGGTGACCAGGGCCAGCAGTGCACGATTATTCATTGCCACTGCCCAACATATTTGGAGCATTAACAAGTATGGTCAACTCGCACTTTCTTGAAAGATTACATCACTTAATTAGACAGGAGAAGGAATTCTGAAAACTAGTTTTTCCAATATAACTTTTTGACAGCAAATAGTCAATTTCCAACATATCTGCTGGTTGTAACAACCTAAACGTACAATTCTCCTGCGATTATAGATATTCATATTAAGAAAATGCAAATAACAATAGTATTGATATTGCAAGGCTATCTGTGGTTACTAACTTCACAAAACAACGTATATGCTTAGCGGATTTCACTATTTACACAACTGACTCAGTCTATCTGAGAAATAAAGTTGCTCTGTTTCAGGTAGACTCTAGCAGTGTAGTGTTCTGTAACGATGTAGAAAGTCTTCTTAAAAAGTTGTGTTTACAGAATATAAGTCAGATGAATGGTGACTTTTCAATGATCGCTCAAGGGGAATTTTGAAGTTAGTACTCTTACACAACTGCAATAAATATTATTCTGTTCCATTGTTCACTCGATTTGCATGAAAGAAGAGTACGAGACTATTTCTTTTCGTAAAAATATGTTAATAAAATGTTAATATTATTGTTGTATCCCACCCGGACGTTTGAACGTGGCGCGCGACAGAGTGCGCACGACTGCATCAAGCGCGTGACGGGGGCTCTGCCCACGCTCCGCTTGCGCGTGACGGGGGCTCCGCTTCAGGGCTCTTCACCGACCCTCCGGCGACGACGGACAAAGGGACCGCAGCAGGTACCCGCTTCGGTCCCTTTGTCCGTCGTCGGCGAAGAGCCCTGATGATTCACATTCGAGTGCTTCTGCCGCGCCGTGGGAAGCCGCCCTAAGGCTGGAAAATAGACCCGGGCGCTGAGAGGGTGAGGTCAGCACGGCGCCGGGGAGCAAGCGCTCGCAGCCGGCTCGGGCAGTCTCCACTGGAGTGCTGAGTGATAGTTATCGTTGCTCATCTGCGTCTTTTTCTCTGTCGCCGAGAACCTGCTCTTGCCCCATCTTTACGATCCTGGTATTCGAGAGAGCTGACGACTATCCCTGGCTTGGCATTTGGTTTTCCTTCTGGATTGTGGCTCGGCCCCGCTCGTCCCAGGCACGCGTCTGCATTCGGCACGCTCGTCCCGCGAGGCTCGCCGTTCCTTTTCCTGGGTTCCCGAACTGAAACGCGTCTGTAGGCCCGCCTACCCCGTCACCGCCTCCATTCACGGTCTACCGGCGACTCGCCACGCCGCCTCGGCGCCCGCCCCTCGCCAAGAGGCAGCAGCTCTTTTGTCTAATCGCATCGGCCAAGCCAGCACACGCCGATTGCCCTGCGCTGACGCTGAGCTAAGTCACGTCACTTGCGAGCCGCCTCTGCAGCTCGACGGCGCCCCCGTCTTCTTAAGCACATAACCATCGAGGCGTATGGTAGTTTGAGTGTTCTGTTGGCTGAAGAATGAACTGTATTTTATGTTTTGTATGTATCTCGTGGTTTATTCAGGAACGCCACAGTTATGAACATCTGTAAGTTTGTGTTGAACTGAAGATGGTGAATTTTCTTCTCGGTCAAGAAAGTAGCTACTTCAACTATACCTGCTTTAAGGAATTCGCGGAGCAGCTCGTCCAATTCCGAATAGCTGATGTGTTCGGCGACTGTTCGCTCCCTTTGATGTATCCTAAAGACCGACACGCGCTGGGTAGGGCGAATACCGAACGTTCGGCGCTCGGCGAATCGCATGCAACCCGTCCACACCATTCGGAATTCGGATAGAGGTTGCTGCGGATTCGTCGAATGTAGTGTCGCCTTTATAAGTAGGTGGAATAAAAGATCCAAAAGTGAATATTGGTTGAGAAAAATTTGGCCTCTGAAGAAATATACAGTTGTAGGGGAAAACAACGTGATCAATATACAAGATCAAGTTGCTAGAGATAAAATTGCAAATCAAGCTAGACTTGATAAAGCAATTGGTACAGACGTTGGGGATGGGATGGTTTGTACTTCAAGTGTATATTACGTACATTTCCGGGAGTTAACAAAGAGAAATTGAGAGCTGTTATTTTCGATGGTCTTCAAATAAGAAAGCTCGTAAAAGATTCAAATTTCTTGGACTCGAGCAAAATTGAATGTGCCTGATCTTCTTTTGTTCATGTTGTGAAAAAAATTCAACTAAACATATTGTAGAACACTTTACACAATTAGTAGAAACAATGCTTTCCATTTCCACGTGCTTGGCTGCAATATGAGTATTAAGGTCAATTACCTACGTAGCCACTTGAATTGGTTTCCAAATGATCCTGGTGGTCTAAGTAAAGAGGAAGATGTATGATTTCACCAAGGTATTCATGCAATGGAAGAGAGACAACAAGGAAAATGGGAAACACACATTATGCCAGACTTAATGGCAAGACTGCTATTATTTCTCACTCAAATGTTTGAAAAGAGAATTTAGGTGCTGAATAAATGGTTAATTTTGTGAATTAAAAAAAGGATAAATTAAGCGATTTACATTTATCTACTTAATATATTTATTTTAAATACAACAATTTTTTTTTTTTTTAAAACGAACATCAGTCAAGTAAATATTTTATGTCTATATGTCATTGATTCTCCCAAATTCTAGCACACACAGTGTGGAAGTGGGGTATATGCTGACAATTCTGTATTTACTAGAGCTGATAGGGCAAAACAAATGTATATTTTATAATCGGTGACATCGAAATAACCAGGAAAAAGTGTAATGTAAGACACTAAAACGTATGTTGAAGAATGTAATAGGTTTAGTTGTACATATGATTTTTCGTTTGGGTTTTTTATTCCGCACCCAGATTTTGACCTGGGTGTCCTTGGAAGCCTACCTCCGACACGGGTTATCGAAGTAGGCGCACCACGTGTGCGATCTCCTCACTGCGCCTGAGATTTGACTCTCGCTTTCTCCACCAGATGTCCCTCTCAGTCTTAGTATCCGAACTGTCTCGTTGGGAGAAAGTAAGATCTCGTAAAGGCGAGAAATTGTCAGAGGGATTTAATTGTGCCGGGCATACCGCCAGCGTATTTTATATATGTCACAAGAGTGACATGGCTACTGTGTATTTTTCGCTCTTCGAAAATACACGCACTGGGAGTTCAGAAGCCATAAAGCTAACTCCTCGCCCACCGAGACACACACATGTCGTGTATATTGTCATTACAACATTCAAGATTTCTGAGTTTAGTTTTTGAGTGAATTTATAAGTAAATATAAAACAGTAGCCGGTGAGAGTTTTAAAACTTAGGTTTTCTTCGTAAGGTACAACTTACCAGAATAGTCGTTATCTACTCCTTGAATGCAACTAAGAAGTTGAGGACCAGGTGTATGTTCTTTAAATGAAGTAGTATTCTTATAGCCCTCTGGTTCTATTACGTCTGGCAATACGTCGTTTTCATCTTCGATGTATACGGTAATCTGCAATAATAGTAATAAATCATCAATTCAAAACTTTATCAATGTATATTAGAGACCGTTCAGAAATGCACAATCTGATACAAAATAACCGAGTCACACACTACTTTGCTTGAAAATCATATCACATATTTGACCAAAAATACTACCTTATTAATATCTGAAACTCAGAAAAACTATTTTATAATATGAATGAGTGCAATTCATGAAGTTCATTGACGTAACACTGTAATTTCAAATGGTATTTAATATGCAATAAACTATAATTCAATAAACTGAATTTATACAGCACAAATTGGAAATATATTTAGATTTATTCAATAAAAAAACAGTAAAGACTGTATGTGAAGTAGTAGGGAAAATATTATCTGCGCACGTTTTCTCCAGAATCCCTTCCCGTCATTTTAACTATAAATAATTGAAAGATGAGTAAAAGTTTAACATAATAAATAAATAACAAATAAATAAATAAATAATAAATAGTAAATAAATAATACCAGCCCTGAGGAAGACCACGACAAGATGGTCGAAAATGTCGGCAACACAGCCTTCGACGCGGCGTCACTCGGACAGCCAAGATCATGCACATGACTCTGGCCGCGGAAGCCTACGACTTCAAAATAGCAACTCGCTCTTACCTCTACTCCTACCATTACAAGCAAAAGGAGAGTTCAACAAAATGTGCGTAGAGTGATGCTACATTTACGTCCAGAAGCAAAACAAGAGGCCTTCTCAGCATTTGCTCAATGGATCAGGGAAACTGGACGAAAACCTGATCGAGTTGGGGGTCATTGACCCGGAAGCTGAAGTACATTATTTGTTACAAACATATTAAGTCTTTAAAAAAATATACAATACAAACTGTACACTAATTTAATTATTATCACTGTTTTGTTAAAAATAAACATTATTTTCTTTTTGATAATCAGTATAGTCTCTAACTGTATAGAAACAGATGTGCAGCAGAAAAAATTTACTTTAACTTAAATTTGGAACTGACTTTAATTGTTTAATGTCTCTGGCAGTGCGTTGGTAAAGTAACGTACATGTATTGTATGTGATTTCTGATAGTGAGCTGTTCTACTGACACTTGATGAACGTGATTTGTGTGTTGTGTGAACGTGTGTTTAATTATAAATATCTGTATTGCATGAAAATATGTTCCACCGTTAAGTAAGTCACTTTTGACAAATATTACAGATTCGTAAATATATACTTAAGGCAGTAAGAAGATTCCAAGTTCAATAAAGAGCGGCTTGCAGGGATTACGCGGATTGAATTTTTTCATTATTCGAATAATTTTCTTTTGCAATCTAAAGGTCTGAGTACTACATTATGAGTTTCCCAGAATTTTATACCATATCTCAGGCGGGAATGTACATTTTCAAAATACACGCAACGAGCTGCCTGAAGGCTGACAGACTTTGATAGAATTCTGAATGCGTAACTTAATGAACTTAATTGTTTCATTTTGTTATGTGTACACTCCATTTGAGGTTTGACTGAATTGACAGACCTAGAAATTTTGTTAGCTGAGCATCACCTAATTTCATATTATTCATTTTCAATGGAGCATGCGATTGCTGATTTGAATGGCAAAAATGCGCTGAAACTGTTTTTACTTCATTAACTATTAATTTGTTATTACAAAACCAATTTGAAACTTCTAAAATCGTACTATCTATTGTATCTTTTTTGTAAAGAACATTCGTGTCATCGGCAAACAGAACCGATCTTTCGTTTTTAATCACGACAGCACATCGTTTACGTATAACAGAAAGAGGATAGGACCTAAGATCGAGCCTTGGGGAACCATATATTCAATTGATAAATAATTTGACATTTTGACCTGTTTCCACATTCTGCCAGTTCGGGGGCAATGTATATGCCCAGGTAGAAGGTGCGCTCATGGGTTCCCGTCTATCGCCGATATCTGCCAACCTCTTCATGGAGGCCTTTGCAAATGAAACTTTGGAAAATGCAAGGCTAAAATCCGCCATGTGGGTCAGATATGTAGAGGACACGTTCGCTTTATGGTAACACGGACAAGACACCCTTCAAGAATTCTTGGATCATCTGAACAGCGCACATCCCAAGATCACGTTCACCATGGAGGTGGAAAAGGATAGCCGATTTCTTTTCCTCGACGTCTTGGTGAGCAGGCGTGACGCGGTCCATAGAAAACCAACGCACACCAACAGCTACCTCCATGCAGAATCGCACCATCCCTCTGCGACAAAGAACGGAGTTTTGAAAACTCACCAACTGGGCAGCCAGAATCTGCGATGAGGCTAGTCTTCCAGACGAGCGGGAAACTCTTAAGAAGACTTTCGCTGAGAAAGGTCTACAAAAGACCCACCATCCAGAGCCCTATGACTCACCCACCACCCGACTGCTCCCAGACAAACCTGCACCACAGAAACGGAAGGCAAGGCAACAGTGGCTCTCGCTTACACCCAAGGCCTAACAGATAGGATTGGCCAACTTTTGAGACGGTTCAGGGTGAGAACTATTTTCAAGGCCCACCATAAACTCGGCCAATCTGTAATGCGGGTTAAGGACCAGCTCCTGCCACTCCAAACAGTATGAGTATACGCTGTACCTTGAAGTTGTGGGCGCAACTACATCGGCGAGACTGGCAGAACGGTAGAGGAAAGACTGCCCGAACACATCCGCCACTTCAAACATAAGAATGCCAAACGCTCCGCTGTCGCCCAGCGCGCTTAGGAAACCGGGAATGACTTCTTGTTTTAAGACACCAGTGTGCTCGCCAGAGAAGACCGATGGTGGCCCAGGCATTAAGGAAGCGATGAGATCGCCAGGCACACCCGGAATATCAACGGTGACCCGGAGTTGCGCCTCCACGATGCCTGGCGGCCTTTGCAATGGGCTCCCGCCCGGTCGCCTACTGGACCGCACCGCTCCACGCCGTCCGACCCCGGACCGCACCATACATAACGAACGGAGAATGGCCCGAGCCGTTTGGTTTTCTCACAGTTTGGTTTTCTCACCTGAAGTTCTTCAAATTTAGTAAGTTTGTCACAAGAAAGCACATTTTTGGAAATTTTTGAGAATCTTTTGGGTGGATCACAAAACAAATTATCAGTTCTCAGTTCCCCACTGAGAGTCTGAGGCGCGTCGAATGACACCTCTTACGTTTCGATTGATTGCACGCTACAAAGTGACCCAGCTGTCCAGAACCGCACTTCCAACTACGAACCAGCAGACCACGTGGAGCGGGAGTCAACATCGCACATAGCTGCAACCCGGCTACGTTTGACCTGTCCTTGTTCCCCGCGAATTGTTCCGGCGAGCACTCGCGGAAAGCAACCGGCGCTTCCGAGAAGAGGCGCGGCTTCGGCCGTTGCCCGACTCGGACTCTGAAGACGAAATGGCTACTACAATGGAAAAATCTATGGACGTGGAAACCAGCGACGACGACAGCATGAGACTGACCATTGATGAAGACCAACCTCAGAAGACGGTAAACCAGCACACATCCGCTACAGCGCAATATCCTGCTACCGCTACTTCAACCGTAAGACGACCTCACGACCCCTCCCCCGACAGTAACTCAAAGAGATTAATGACTGAAGATGGTTTCCAGCTTGTCACCAAACCCTCCAGGACTAATCCCCCACCCGAAACCCAATCCTTACCCCTGAGCAAGCGCTTCACCCCATTGCAACAACCTGACTCCCAAGCTTCTACCTCCGGCTCCTCAGACGACAAGATTCCAGAAACCGCAACTGAACAGGAACAATCCCAACAACTAAAAACCCCACCGACCAAAAGCAAGATAGGACAATTCAGAATAGACCTCAGATCCCTCCTCAACCCCTCAGACCTGACCCAAGACCTACTCAATCACTGCCATAATGCAATGACTGCCAAATGTAACAGGACTCAACTACTGATTCAACACCTAACAATGACTGCATATAACAAGATTCGAGACCGACTGGAACTAATAGCTACAACTGACCTGAAAGACATATTTTGTCAATATTTCTTATTCCTACAATAGAGCGACAGAAGAGATCAGGGAGAAATTTCTCCTAATTGGACTCCCCCCTAAATACGACCTCGAAAGATTTAGGACAAACCTCCAGGACTTAAATACCCCTGTTTCCACATCACAGAAATGAACCGACGCGACGTAAACGGACACCTTACCCCACTTGGACTCTACGTAATTGAGACTACAAAAAGGACATGACTGAGACCAAAAACAAACTCATGTACATTGACTACTTCAGGACAAGGATCGAACATTACAGGAACTCTGACCGTATCCCTCAATGCAAAAGGTGTCAAAAACTTTACCATACTAGGACATACTGTCGACGACCAGTGACCTGCGCCCCTTGTGCAAAATCCCACCACACTGAAGAATGCCCCTCCTCATCCCTAGACCAATGCACCCCCTTTACATCCACCTGCTGCAACTGCAAACGCAACCACCCAGCTTATGATCCTATCTGCCCATACCTCACCAAAGCCAAAGAAATAAGACAACAAACAAAACCTCCTACTCAAGCACTACCTCTCAACATGTCCTCAAAGTCATTCCCACCTCTCAGACAATTAAATAAATCCTACTCCTCTGCCTCCGCCCCCAACCAACCCAATCCAAACCCACAACATACAACCACCCAAGACATTAAAGACCTCTTCTCACTTCTCCAATCACCAACCCTCAAAAAACTTCTGCCCCACCTACGAACCTTCATAAACATCCTGAACGACCCAGAGGACATCCTCACAAAATTAATAACTGCAGGCATTAAACTTCTAGAAATACTAAATTAATGTCTCCCCCAGCCCGAATCCCATCCTTTTCCTCGTGGAACGCACGTGGTGGTTTTGCCCCAAAAAAACATCCTCGCCCAGTCCCTAAAAGACTACTCCATCGGGATCCTACTGTTACAAGAGACAATGCTGATACCTACTAACTCCTTCACCATCCAAAACTACCTCACTTACCGGAACGACAGAACCTTTGCCCCCGGAGGCGGCACGGCCATCCTCATCCGACGATCCCTCCCGCACACCCCTTACCAACTCCCTCAATTCACAGACCTAGAATGTACTTCCATCCTACTTGAAACCCCCACTATTCCCATAATCATCATCTCAGCCTACAAAAGACCCCATTCCTCGTTTCCTACCTCTGACCTGAACATCCTTAACAACCTACCCCATCCCTCTATCCTTGCAGGCGATGTCAATTCAAAATTCACCGGATGGGGCTGCTCGACTAGTAACATAGCTGGACTGAGACTTGAAGACTTTCTGAACAACAATCCCCAAATCCACATTAAATATCCCCCTGAACCCACACACACAGTCAACGGAAACCCTCACGATATCCTCGACTTCGTCCTGCACTCCTCCCAACTACATGTCACCACACCGAACCCCAAATATGACCTTTATGACATTTCCGACCACTTCCCAATTATATTCACCTCCTCATCTACAACTACCTACATTTCCCCAAAAACCCCAACCATCCACAACACCAACGGGAAATCCTACAAACATATCCTATCCAAAAACATTCATGTCCCAGACAACCTCCCAACAATACCTTCCATAGATAAATCTATTGAACACCTGAACCACCATATCCTTCGCACCTACAAAAGAACCACCACTCACACCCAGCAACTACACCGTACCATCCCCGACGAAGTAATACTAACTATCAGACTGAAGAGACCAATACAACGACGATTCTACAAACACAGACGAGACGAGGACAAAAAAATTCTAAAAAAGACTCAAAGACAAGTTCACTTACTTCTACAAAATTACGAAACAAACAAATACAATGACTTACTTAATGACAAGAGCAGCCCCAATAATATTCACAAAGTGATTAAGGCAGTACGAGATCCCCCAACCCCAATTTCCCCCATTTATACAAACCAAAACTCCCTATCCTTTGACCCTCAAATTATTGCAGACACCTTCGCCCAAACCCTGGCCGATCGTTTCCGCGACCCCAATATTCCAATTCCCCAAAATGTACTCTTAAACGCCTCGAGAACCCAACCCTACCCCTCAATCAGCAAACGACCTGGACGACAAACGACACGGAAATTAGCTACTGACAATGACTAATCAATCAAAAGCCCCCGGACTCGATGGAATACGTCCCACCCAACTCCGTAACTGTCCGCGTACCACATAAAACAAACTCAATGTCCTGTCCTTCCCGAGCCGTTTGATCCCGGAACGCGCCTTACCGCCCGACGGACCGTTCCGCGCCGTCCGATCACGCGCTCGCCACCCGACTTGACCCCCTCCCGATGTTCAAGTAAGGCCTTCTGATTGGTGGGCTGTAGCTGCCATTCGTACAATGGACGCCATATATTATCATTATATATATTATATATATTATTATATTATATATATATTATATATATATATATATATATATATATATATAATATACGAGTGCTGAAAGTCCGGCGCAAAACGGGAAAAGCGATCCGGAGCGCCTTCCGTATTTCGCCGCGACCGTCTCATAGAGTTCCTCAACTTTTCTCTATACAATCGCTGAGGCGAGAGGAGAAGGAAGTTTAAACAGGACAGTGAGGAACAGATAGAGTGAATTAAGCGAGTAGAGTATGATGAGAGAGAGGAACCGATAGACCGAAAAAACGAAGGCAAGTGAAAGTGACGAAACAGGTAGAGTGAAAGAATCTATTGGAGCGTGATGAGAGGGAGGAACACATAGACCGGGATAAACAGGAGGGAAGTGAGAAACAAGGTAGAGCGAAAAGAAGCTATTGGAGCGTGATGAGAGGGAGGAACACATAGACGCGGGAATAAACAGGAGGGAAGTGAGGAACAAGTAGAGCGAAAGAAGCTATTGGAGCGTGATGAGATGGAGGAACAGATATACAGAATAAACAGGAGGAAAGTGATAAACAGGTTGACCGAAAGAAGCGGGCGGAGGGCGACGATGCCGGACTGGACGTGCGGAGAAGACAAGAGAAGATGCTTAACTGGCGATTGAATTATCCGAACAACGTCGAGTAATCAGCTAGTGATATAATACTACCTAACCATTATCTATAATACAAAAAAGTATGTCCTGTTTTACGCCACTAGTTTTTGTAAATTGAATAATAATTATATTACTTATATTTTAGACTTACTTCTTCGGTGGTTGTATAGTTTTTATCAGCTGCGGATACTTTATACTTGTATATTAATGTTTGCCAATCATCGCAGTCAATTGCCTCATCCGTAGTTGACAACACTCCAGTGTCTGGGTTGATGACCAGACGAGGTTTTTCTTTGCCTGCCACGAGCTCTGGCGGGAAAGAAGGTCTGAAAAAATATTGCACTTTCATTCCTATAGTATTGTAAACGATATTCCACTTCGAATATCTTAAAATTCGCTCTTTTTTGAAACATATCACATTTTAATTAAAATATGATCTGTGACATTTTGGCCACAATTACCAAAACTGTGCCCTTCAAACTCGGGAGTTACACCGCACCAAATCCAATTTATGTTTGAACAATATGATTATATTCAGCACATTAATACGAACAATTTGGACATACCAATGTTATTATATTTTTTTGTAGAAAAGGACTGAATATGGACATAAACGGTTCCTAAAACAATGCCTTTAATAAATACAAAATGCTAAATTTGCCGTTTTTTCTATTTTTGAGTAGGAAATTATTTTCATGAAAAGTGAAAATTGTTAATAGTCGCGTATTAATGGATGTATGCTAGTTACTATTTAAATGTAACAAAGGGATCGAATTAATGATTATTTGTAAAGATACATATACTGATACAAAATTAAGACAAATTAATGATTATTTGTAAACATATACGATTATGACAATTTGATAAGTAAATTATTTTCCTAAAACTGAATTTTTTACGTCGTCTACAATGTAATTTGTAATATAAATCTGTTTCTCAATGACATTGTCACGCTTATCTCTTTAACAACAACGCAAAAATACTTAAGGATTAAAATCTATTAATTTATAAAATCTACAGAAAATATTGTAAAATAAAGTATTTGTAGAATGTTTCAATTATCACAGTGGTTTAGATTTTTTGTCACATTGACAATCAGGGGATTGTGTTTTACACAAATGTAGTACATTTTTTTACATCATTTAACTATTCTGTGCTATAACAGTTTAGGGGAAATGAGATTTTTATAATATCAGAAGGGCATAACGTCTTTTTATGGAAATTTTGTTAGAAAATGTAGAGCTGTTTTTGAGAAATTGTGAGTTGAGCGTTTCTAAAAATGCCCAATTTGCTGCCCATTTACATGCACAAAAACTTTTGAAATTCTTATAAACTTCATTCATTTAAAGAACTTGTGTGTGAAATGCTATAAATGAAATTCACAAGAAAGTAAATGTTAACGACGTGTAAAATATTTAAAAAAGTATACATCTCTATTATTTTCAAAAAATAATGTAAAAAAACAAGGCATTCAGGCTTAAGGTCATTCAATGATTTTAACTCTATCAACAGATAATAATTTAATGTAAAAAATATTGTTTCTGAGGAAATTTGTTTACAATATTTAAAATTCTCCTTTCTAAATTACTAATATTTTTGAAAATTGTGCATGACATTAATTCATTATTGAGTTATGAAGAAATATTCATTTAAAACAAAATCTCTATCTTCAAGAAAGTAGTTGTGTGAGAAGTCTCCACATTTTAAAAAAAATTGCATTTTCCAAAAATTCATACGTAACAGTGAAAACAAAATCTGGGCCATTTATACTTTCTTGTATACGTACGTAAATACGGGGGTAATACACGTAGTAAAGAGAAGTAATTAAAAAGTGTTGCGGAAAACAGCGATTTTTCACCAAAAAAACCCTATTATGGAGGGCTGATACAGAAAAAAATGTATAAATCCTGTTCTAATATGTAATAAATCCCTCCTTCTAACACGTAATGTAGTCAAATGTCACGAATAGTTAGTACTTGATACCAAAAAATACCAGGTATTACCCACCAGCGGAGCACCGCCCCACAGTGGGTGATTTTCTTCATCTAGCGGTATTAAAATATTATCAAGAGAACGGTAAAGCCGACGGTCTTAAAAATTATCAGAATTATCCCTTGTGCCATTTTCCATTACATTGTAATGTAGGGACGAAACATAATAATAAATTAATTGCCCTCGAGTCTTGATAAGGATTGCCAGGTGATCAATGTTGGGACTACTTAAGAGACAATGCATGCAATTGCCTTTCATTGAACATTGAACTCAAAATGAAATATTCTGATTCTAATTCATTCCTAACAGCGCAAAGAAAAATTTTAAATTAATAACAAAGAAAAGTTACAATAGTAGACATTAATCGCTCTCTGAATCTATTCCACATTCACGTGGCACATCACCTCGAGGAACATACACAACTTCAAAACTTCCGTCGGTAGCTGTTCAGTTTCCTTAGTTGATAGTGTCCGGATGCTTGGTATTACAGAGTCAGAAGAAATCAATAGGAAATGAAGCAGATCTTCATTGCCACGTATTGTCGATGATTTTCGAGTATATCTTTCCCGGCATGATTTGAAGTCTTGAAGATTTGAAGATCTTGAAGTCTTTGTGTCGGGCTTCCAGCGTGTCTTCGGACAGTTGTCCTATTGGGACAATCATTTCATTAATGACATCAGCGCCATGAATTAATGTTTTATGTACTGTTACAGGCGTGAAGTACCCGTCCGTATAAACTCACATAAACTGTTGTTGTTTCAAATGCGTTTTTTTAAAGCTTCCATAGTCACATCATATCCGCTCCTCAATGCTTGTAAAACAACAGAGAAGCGCGAATGATACTTTCATCTAACCCAGTGATGTTAGTATGCTGCTCTAAATTTTGGAAAAATTAACGAACAGTGTTTTCATCATTCTTCATTTCCTTCTTTTAGGATGTCTATAAGGAGTCCCATTTTCTTTCAAAAATTTGGCAATTATTTTCGTTTTCCTAGGAACTTACAGTATCTTTTCTTCATATCGTCGAACCCGCCATTTTATAAAATATAGTCAGTAAGAAATGTGAAGAAGAGACTCGAAGAAGCGAATTTGAGCGTGAAAGACCAAGACAAAAAGCTTCCTTTTGCAAAGTTTTTTTAAATAATTTGTTTCAGATAATTCATTTGTTTTGGAGATGCATCATAAATTAAGAACTTCTGAGAGAAGGCTTTAAAATAAGTGAATTACACTTTTCTCTCATATATTTCAATAATTTGTGATATACAGGAATATCTGCATCCTCAATATTCAATTTTGTTGCTTGAAGCTTCTTAATGTTTTCTTCTAAACTAGCTATTTCTGCATTTGTCCTATGTGATGTCACCTTCACAAATTCTAATTTAATGGGTCTGTAAAATCTCTCTGTATTTTTCGCCTTTTTGTTCTCTTCGAACATGAAGACAATTCCTTTTCAGGTCTACCTTTCGTCGTTTTCTGCCGTTTTTCCTTGATACACAACATTTTGTCGCCCAGTCATGCTGGGTTCCTTGCCGCGAATCTGTCTACCATTCTGCTACAAGCCTTCCATTTGTCAGCAATCTAGCAGTTGAATCTCGGTATCTTCTCACTTACTACTGCCTCTGGAATACACCCTCAAGCAAGTGCTCGAATAGCTCCCGTCGAGTGACTGTGCAATCATCTGAAAATAAATCGATTTTTTCGGAAAGGGGCAAATTCGAGCAGAAATGTTTTCCACCATTTTGTTTCAGAAGGTTTAGATAATACAATCGTGCAAAGAACATTATTGGCAATTGCTGGCAACTCACGATAACTCAGTTTAAATTTCCGATCACTAAGAAACCAGTCTCAAATACATGGTGATACTTTCGCATATGAAATACGACTATATATATCAAATTTTCTATTAAACGTTAGTGCATTTTAAAGAACATCCCTTCTGGCTTCTCGTCCATATCGAACAATCAAGTTACGCTTAACAATTCAATAGCAGTGGCCAATAACACCAAGCGCGTCAAAGTAGGACTTGGACACGGCTGCGCGCGCTTCTCGGAAACGCTCTCTGAACATACCCCCCCCATTCTTCTGAGAAATGAATGTTGCACTTATGGGGACTGGTACAGTCCTGGCAAGACTATTAGGAACCCGCACACGTAGGTTTTCATTAGTTTCGAGCATGTGCATTTTTGATTTAAATACCACTAGATTGTGGAAATGAACCACTGTGCGCCCCAACCGAGACCAGCTCTAAACTCACGGTCACTCGGTATCTGAGGTAGTGTAGTGCATGTAAGTGTGTGTGCGTGTGTAAGAAAGGGGATGGTGTGTAAGAAAGGGGAGGATATGACAAGGAAGGAAGAAGAAGGAAAGATCGCGCGAGGTCCGTGGACCGTTTGTTAGGTTACTGCTCCGGTATTTGACTGGTTTCGATCGGAGAAACCACGGAAAACTACCAATAAGAGCAGCCGGTCGCTATAATTCTCCTCCAGACACCGACTGAATCGACCTAGCTGACAAGAGTGTGTTGAAAATACTGCTATTGCCGAAACTCGAACCGTGAGCAACCCGATCAGAGGTACTGCAGTGACATCAGTTGATGTCCTTAACCTGCCGTCCCTTGCGCCTTACTACTAAAGCTAAGCCATGGCTGAGGTCTTACTTTCAAAGTCTTTTGAACCTTAAAAATCTAAGTGTCTCAACGCAATAATTCCAACACGAAATTTTCGAAAATTCACAGAGATTAACGACAATAAGACTGCGCCATTCTTTTAGGCCCTTATTTTATACATGAAAAAATTAAAGAAACAAATTGAAGCAGTTTTTGGGAACACGTTATTTTTATAATTCTTTTTTCTAATAATAGTCCATAATCTTTTTTAAAGAGCTGATGACTTAGAACAGAATTTCTTTAAGGCAAAAATCTCTATCATCAATTTTGTAATGTTAACTTTTTTTACTTGTCGAAAATATGGAGAGCTCACCGAAAATGGGAAAAAGTTTTTATTCACATTACGAAGTTTTGCGTGTGATGACAGCCGAAACATCGTAATGTGAACGTCGATGTTTTTTATTAATTACCATTGATTGTCTTAAATAAAAGGATAATTTTGTGTTTTTAACTAAAAATAATAATATTGATAAGAATAATAATAGTAATAATAATAATAATAATAATAATAATAATAATAACAACAACAACTCACTCTATTGAGTAGGTGATCTTATTATGCTCTGGGCTGTCTGCGTCAGTGGCGGTAAGAGAACCAATGACGCGACCGGCCTTTGTATTTTCAGTCACGGTGAAATTATCTCGGTTCTCTTTATCCACGAATACCGGGGGATTATCGTTTATGTCGCCGACAATAACAGTTAAGATTCCTGAAATAAGAAAACTTGTGATAATGCAGACACAATTAAATACCTGTTACTTCCCCTCCATCAAACACAACGGATTCTACTATACCTTATTTCTTCATGATAATACGGAATGCATCGCATAGACCGGAAAGAACAGAAAAGTACATTTTTGTATTCCAGCATTAAAAAACGACCGTTACAAGAAATAGTTCATTAAATGACATCGTACGGCACAGATTACAACGTATTAATTATCGTGGCAAGAATAAATGCGCCATCACTTTCAGGCAATCGCAGCAAGAGAATAGTGTATGTAGCGGTAAATTGAACAGACGAGCACTGTTGTTTCGCAGAGATGTCAACTTGTGACGTCACAATAAAGTTTTCAAAATTTAACTTCGATTCTCTTATAGATTAAATTTATCATGCTGTTATACAAAAAATAACTAAAGAAACTAGTTTACAATGTTGCTTTGTTGTATTCGTACAAATTAAAAAAAACTAAAGACGCTTGTTTTTAAAACAAGAACTCATGCAATAAAGTTTAACATAATAAACTAGTTGCATAATATAATCTTAAAAGTTACGAGAGAAGTGTGAGTGCACACTGTATATTTTTGGAAGTAAATGCCTAAACAATTATTTGATTCATTTAACTATATGTGACACAATGGTACTGTTTGTAAAACATATTACTTACGGAACATTTACTGAAAGCTTATTGTTAAAAATAGATTTTAAATGAATAGAAAATGATAATTTACAATAGCTAAGAGTGTCGTTTCTGTAATACTTTTACTATTCAGAGTATTATTAGAGATGATAGAGTGTGGTGCACTGTTTATAATATTCATAGCATACTACATGAAGTATCTCATAACTTCTAATTAGGCCTGCGATAAAAAAAATACAAGGGAATTGATAGCTGCACTTTGTGTATTTTATGCTGATTAAAAAAATAAAGAAAATTGTATATCACGACAAGTTTACTTCAAAAATTCAATTTTACTTCGATTTTTCTGAATATTTACCATAATATGCTATGGAGCGTTGAATTACTTCCCTCCCTGCCTGCCTGACCGTCATTCTACCGTGGTAAAATCTACAGAAACCCATTGTGTCCCTTCTCCGTCGCTGTCTTTCCCGCGTCGCTATCTCCACCCAATTGCGTCGCGCGAAGTCTTTTATCAGATCCGAATAGGCTGTCAGTTCATCTGAAATTTTACTTTCTCGCTACGGAGTAGAGAGAAAGTTATGTAATGCTGCGCGAAAAACGGCGAATTTTCGTAAGAAAAACTCTTATTACAGGGCTCCGGTAACGAAAAAGTGGATAAATACAGTTGCTAAATTTATTTTAAAAAATCCTCTAAACAGAAAAGGTGTAAACAGAATTAATATTGTGTGTCCTTGATACCGAAAAATCGAATGACGACAAAACGTCCGTCCGTCTTGTGAACATCGCTAGCAGCTAAACCGTTCAGCGTATTTTCTCCAAAATATATACTCTCTAATTGAACTGGCTGATGTCACCGCCTCTTGAATTTTAAACCAACATATTAATTTTGGAGGTACTTGACATAAAGCGTCTGGGGCATTTTCCAAATGTTCAAAAAATGGCGCAATAGTTCTTGATTAAATTGTGTTGTTGGATAGTGTGAATAACATTTAGGAGAATGGTGCAGGTCTCGTGTTTGTTGAGAACCCTGATTTTTCGAAAACTGCAAAAGTTCAAACGTTTTTCGAAGTCTTCCTATCACTAAAATATTAAAGATATAGATTTTCCCTTAATGAAATCTGTTTCTCAAAGATAAATTTTGAAATAAGATCTTGAGTCTTAAAAGTTGAGTACTTTCCTCGTAAATTTGCTTGAAAATACGGGCGAGAAAGTTCGTGCTGTTTTATTCTATCGTGTGCAGTGTCAATCCTGCGCTGATACAGCGACAAGTGGAAACTGCATCACAGAAACAATTCTAATGGTTGCTTTTTTTCTGCGCGTTTCGTGGAACGTGAGTTCAATTTCGAGACGTGAAAATTTATCAGATTACTTGTGTTACATACCTGCTAAATACACGTAGTCTTATTAAAAATCGCACGTGCGTCAGTACACATTATGTAAGACTTTATCTTACGTACATTGGCATGAAACTCTGAGACAAAGAAAATCGTGGGTTCCTCATAAAATTTGTGTGCAGTGTATCAATGATGTACTCTTCTGGCTCAAAAGTAAGAAGATTACATTTGGAATTCAATTTGCCTTAAAATGAATCGATTATCTTGACATAGACTTACGTGAATAAAAACCAGTTACCAGATACTACATGCAATATTTTTCGAAAGAATTCCTTTTCATATAGGATTTTAATAAAAATATCGATGTCGATTTTCCAAAAAATATTGATGTGATAGAAAACATTTGAGGTCATTTTCGACATCAGCACACCAAACATAAAAATCACAGGAAACTCGAGAATTTCATATTATTGAAGTTATTATATTACGTCTCCTCTTTAATCTACAGGTTTGGAAAGGAAAAACATAAAAGCAATAATCACTCTTTCAAGCAATAATTACTCATTAACAGTGTGAATTGGACCTATGTCACCTTTATAAGTGTATTTTAATCTATTCTTACAAGAAAGTTAAAGAAATAATTTGGAGCAATTTTTGAGAAAATTTTGAAAATGCTTCACGGGTTTCATGCATAGTAGCCCAAGAAATTAATGTTCATCAAAACCGCTGAGTTTTTAGTGAGGCCAGATCGACGGGAAGTATTCAGTTTGGAAAAATTACCACACATAGTTCAGGCGCTAGTACTGTTCACAATCGACGGGCGGACGGACAGACGGACGGACAGACGTTAAAAAAAACATTTTTGGAATCTGTGTATTTTGCTCTATTCTTTCAAAAAATGGAAGCAGTTTTGAGAAAAAAATTGAAAATGTCCCAGAGGCTTAAAGTCAAGTACCCACACAATTTAAAGAAGTTTAAAAAAAATGGTGGAGCTTCGAGTGGAGCTAGATCGATTGGGGAATATTCATTTTGGAAAAACTCGTACGAATAGTTTGAGCACCAGTGTTGTTCACATATGGACAGACAATTAAAAAAAACACCCTTTCGGGAGGGGACCCCAAAACGTTATTTAAGTTGAAATCCGCAATCCATATTTCACAGTGCAACTTCCTCTACGCTCTGGCATAACTTCCTTTACTAACTCCTCCCTTACGTACGAATATACGGAGTAATGCACAACATACATTACTCCATATATTCGTACGTAAAGGAGATAGTAAAAAGTTTTGCTGAGAGGAAATATTTTTGCAAGTTTGTGAAATATTATAACTGTATCAGTTAAAAGTAATGCGAGTACATGCTGTTACGTGCTGTTGTAACACCACTAATTTGAGATTAACATGACAACATACCACTACTTCTCTCATTATGTAAATAGTCGGGATGAGTGCCATCATCTATGACAGTTATTTGTAATCTCAACGTATCAAACTTTTCCCAATCAAATTCCTTGCAGTTGGCAATCACCAAATGCGTCGTCCATTGTCCATCTTTAACTTCAGTTTCTGCCAGTTTGACCGAGCTGCAAAAGCAAAGAAAATAGTTAGATAATGTGATCAAACTTAATTGATTTTATAAATCGATTTATTATTATATCGGTACCAGACGTAAATCAGCCGTTACGGTGTCATCCAATCGGGCGGTCGAATGTCACTACAGTGACATCACTATAGTGACGTTCAAGCTACCGATTGGAATACATTATAACAGCTGAATAATGTGAAATGCAATAATAAATAAATCGAAGTGTAGGCATGTATTAACTCTATAATCCCCAAGAGAAATGTTTCTCGATTTATAGTGACCTGGAGTGAACAGGAAAATTACACTTATCTTAAATCCTTTTGATTGAAGCTGTACTTGAAAAGCACAAGGCTAAGAAATGTTGCCTTCTTTTATGAACGGGTACTTTTAAAAAATGCAAGTTGTTTAAAGTTCGTAAAACCGATCCAAATATTCAGACCAGCTGCCGGGAGGTGATACGGTGACTTGATTTAGAAGAATTAGAGACATAAAGAACACAGACAATTTTTGTCTCGAACTCTACACTTTTTTTCTTTTCTGTAATTTGAAAATAAGTTTAAAAAACGTGTTTAAGTAGATATGTCACCTCTAAACACTTTCTCTTAAGATAATTTCAGTACAGAAATCAAGAAATGTAACACCTCCCTCACAGCAAAACACTATGACCGCCGATACAAGAATATAGTTCCAAACACAGAAAAAAATCAGTCAAAATAAAGGATATGGAGAAAGCTGAAATGAAATATCTTTCAATGCCTCAAATAGAAGATAGTGGTTTTATTAACAGATAATTTCTCCCAAACAATAAGTATGAGTGTATACATGCAATTCTACTCGTTACTCAGGGCGATCTGTCAGTTGTGCGGTACGCGCGCTCCTAGAGAGTGCAACCGTTACGAAACGCCTTAATATCTTCTAATGACTTCATGTCAGATCCACACATACAAGGGACAAGCATGAACTGGATATACTCGGGAAATTTAGCCAACAAAATATAAGAATGTACGTAATATTTAAGTACCGACAAAAACCATACAAGCAACCCGAGATTGATGAGAACTGAGTATTGAATGACTCCATTAAGATTAAACGCCAAACAATAAAAAAAATTAATGTATTCCAAAAAGTGTCTTGATCTTTGAAGATAATAGACAGCTAGGTTACTATTACTAATTTCTCTCATGTAATCCGCGTCGAAGACTATGCCAAGTCCAAGGGATAGAGAGAAATGTAATTCGATATACTCAGTTGCATCTAGTGATTAGAATAATAGCTTAAAGATAGGTAGATAAAATTGCTTCATTGTTTTAAAAATAAGTTTTCTTTGTAAATAAGAAAGAAACAAGAACGTGTGGTGCTGAAACAGCATTCATTTACAGAACTATTGGTAGCGATTAATTAATATTACAATATTGCACCTAATGTCCTACTACCCTTCTATCCTACACTTCAGCATCATTTGAAATAAATCAAGCATAACTAGAAATTGCATTAAAACTACTAATGATTTGAAAAAATAGTTGTTAAAATAAATTAATGCTATAATACTCAGGAATAAACCTAGATTGCATTGAAAACATATATAACTTGAATAATGTATTGGTAGGGTGGTAAGGAAAAATTTGAAGTTTTGTACTTACAAATTTTAGACGTTTTAATGAAAATATGACGTGTGCAATATTATTAAGCAAACGTTGCTCTATCTTAGCAAATAGTAAATAAGAACAGTGCAACAGTTTTTGAGAAAATGTTCCTTATATTTTTTTACGAGTATAATTTCATTTAACACGATTCATATTTAATTAGTTGTAAATGTCATGTTTTAAAGAAAGAAGAAGAATATATCACATTAAGAAAACGTTCTATCTTCTATAATTTAGTTCTAGGATGGAGTAAAAATGTATACTTCAGATATTTTCCAGATCTGTTAAAGACCATTTAATAATTCTAAATGAATATGTGAGTACAAGAATTGCATGTATGTATATGTATATATATATATATATATATATATATATATATATATATGTGTGTGTGTGTGTGTGTGTGTGTGTGTGTGTGTGTGTGTGTGTGTGTTAATGGCCTGCAATTTTATTTCTGCTGTAAAGTTGAGTTTTAAGTATGCTTCTGATTCTTTGCAAAAAGCTCTGTTTCAGAATTTGTTTTATCTGCATATGATCAATCCCTTTGAGTTGTTAAATTCCAAGATATTTATATTGAACAGAGATATCAAGATCTTTTATCATGTTTTCAGGTGCCACGTCATATTCCTCTCATGTAACAATTTTTTCTTTAACAAGGTGTACAAATTTGCACGTGTCAAACGCAAATTTCACACATCCTACTGAACCGGGTGGCAATGTCAAGTCGTTTGTGTAGCTGTTCTTTTGACTTTGCATAAATTTTCGAATCGTCCATTTACAAAAGGTGATTGATCACATAGTTTTCTTTTGATGGCGTCCATATGCTGTATTATTAAATGATTCACTAACTGGGTTCAGTGTCATACAAAACAATAAAGCGCTCAGTGAGTCTCCTTGGAAAATGCCTCTGTTGATCTGGATGGTTCTTGTGGTTAGAGTGCAATGATTGGTAAAAAGGTGTAGAACAATATTCCATTCCTGCACTATATGTTTGAGAAAATTCATTAGTTTTGTGTTCACTTTATATCGTCTTCTGTATTATTTACCTCATGCGCCTCTGACACGCAATCAATCTTGACAAATGAGGTCTCTAATGAAAGAGAATTTCACGGAGACGTAATAAATTGCACTTGGATTGTCCCTCACACCGTAATTTACAGGATGAGATACTTTTGGACTTTCTATTAAATTTTTGCTCGTTCGGCAGTTATTGATACTATCAATGCCACCAAAATTTCAACTCTTGGTAATGGTGTCCATCTTTGTGACGTCTCGCGTAGGTTTAGATTCCTATATCTTATACTATTTACGCTCTCTGTGTACACCGTGGTTTGCGCAGACTGACGAGGTTTATTTGCATAATTATTGATTCAACATTTGTTCTCTCAACTAGAAGTACTATTAAAAGTTGCATGATACCGATGAAGATTGTTTCTTATGCGTATAGTGAAAACATTCATTTAACGTTTTGCCGAGGTCTTCAAGTGCTGTGTACCTAATTGTGGAGGGATGTTGGTGTAGAGTGAAGAGTGAAGAAGAGTCTTGTTAGGTTTGATTTATGTTTCACCTGTACCAGTATTTTCGTTATCAGCAGTGATTCGATGAAACTTTCAAGTCAGCGTGTTCAGTCATATAGCTTTCTCAAGAATAAAGAGCTTTTTTTATAATTTTGTGACTAGCACGAAAAGTGAAAAGCTGTCGAAGAATATTGAATAATTACTTCAAATATTTTTAAGGAAGTGCTGTGAATTTTTCCAAGAAATATCGATAATAATAAATCTTTAGCAAATATTTCTTTTCCACATCAATTGCATTGTTTTTTATTTATATTTGATATTGTGTTAGTACAATGGAAGTTACCTTTATACAGTTTTAAACAAATAAATACGTTTCGTGAACAACTTTCTATCTTAGAATGGAAATAGAAGATTAGAGTGTGGGATTAACATGTGAGTTCTCGCACGGGTACGCGGAGGAAGTAGCAGAACATTTATGCTATGGCCCAACACTAACAATAAACTTTTTCAATTAAATAAGTAAAATAGCTTTAAATAAATGAACAGCTAAAATCAAAACGCTCTAGCCTACAATACTACGTGAATTAATTTAAAAAAGCAACCAAATTTAAAATTATTGAAAGAACGTCATTTGACAACTGCAAATGATCACAATCGAGACGCACGATTTGAATGTTGGCAGTATCTGGAAGTCTGTATATCAATGCCCAAAGAATTATGTAGTTCAATTATTAACCAATCAAAATGAACATGGTCCGCCTTGACAATTAGAAGTGGGGATCACTTTTACATTTTTTGTAATAGACCATTTCGGTTATTTCATAGCTATCAATGACCAAGATTTTTGGTGAACACTATCCATTCGATTTTTATTGATTTTTCTGATATAGTGGTGCATGAACAATAAAAGAATTTTGCCAACTATTCTGAGAAATAGTCACCAAGTTTAAAACGTAAATATTAATGTCGTGCCAAAAATAAAACTATTTTCCTTAAATTTCTGCAAAATCAAGTTTACATCAATATGACACTTACATAACATAATTTAATGCATAAAATTATATTTGAACAAAAAAAAGTGTGGAGCCACTTTTGAGAAAAAAATATATTTTGGATCATTTTGGAATACTGACAAGATTTGATTAAAACTTACGTCCAAATTATTAATATTTTGAAAAATCAGTTCACAGCATCATTAATAGTTTTTGTATTACAAACTCGATTGAGTTAAGAATCTGGCATCACTATAGAAGGTGAAGGATAGGTTGGAAAAACTGGGCTTTTGCAATTTTCAAAATTTGGATGTTTTGTCGATAATATTTACCATTTACTAATACCATATTATATTCAAACGGAAAATTATATAAATTTGGAACCACTTTTGAAACCGTTTTGAAAATGTTCTACGAGCTATATGTTATGGAGTTCCCCGCAAAAGGAGAATATACCTATTTTAATGTCACAGAGCCTCCAGCTCATCTTGGTTTATCGAAGAACGTCCCTTTTGGAGAAAATACTGTGAATGGTTTTCGCATTTATGTTGGTCACGGACAGTCGGACGGACTGTTAGGAAAATAACACTTTGTGTGTTTCTGGTTCCCCAAAATAGTATATTTGCCTCAAAATATCGGCATATATTTTTGCGGCATTACATAAATTTCTCTATTAAATCTAAAAAGTGATGTTTAACTATTCAGCAGTACGTGAAATGCTACTTTAGAGGAGAGTGAACAATTTTCATTTTGTCTTCTTTTAAACAGTATCGATACCTTTGTTCCTGTAAGCTTCGGCGGCTTGAGTTCATGAGTTCTTGGCTCTTCTGGTGAAGCCGCGACGTTGGCTGAAAGGTTGACGTCTCGCCTGTCATGTCGCATGACAGGCAAAACGTCGGCCTCTCAGCAAACGACGCGGCGTCACCCGGACAGCCAAGAACTCAGTATCCATACCTATTCAAGCAATATTCTATTCAAAGACATTCATTCAAAGACATTTTTGGTTGTTTGAAATGGAAGCAATATAAGTTACCACTTACGTCTTATATATAGTATCGTCGAATATTTCAACGCCTTGAGTGTAACCCGAGGAGTTCTCCCAATCTATTTCAAATCTTAGTTTTGCTTCGGTGTCAGGGTCAGTGGCCGTAATGTCGTAAGACGCTGGGGTCCCTACCGGATCATGCTCATTAACCGCCAAGCGGTTGGGAGGCTGTAAAAAGCATTGATTTGTAAACGTTTTTCTAATTAATAAATAACACATGTACAAATACAGTAGAACCCCGGTATACCGAACTAATTGTGAGTGTGGTCAGTTCGGATTCAAGAAATATTCGGATTATCCGAAAAAATGTACCGTACTAGCATAGCGACATGAGCAATGTTGCAAACAATGGAGTACAGTTCAAAACCGATCGCTTGCGGTGGTACTTGCTTCACTTTTTGAAAGAGTTGAATCACAGTTTGTGTCGCTGCTGTTAACGGTTCCGGGTATTCTATTTACACGGTATTCGGAACACAAGGTAGGCATACACTGTGTTCACGACTTTTCGTTCATAAGTTAAATTATTACAAATCAGGAATTTTTGTTTATTTTTTCCTTCATCTCGAATTTCGTTTGAATCATCCGAAATATCGGATTTGCGGGGTTCGGATTAGCGGGATTCTACTGTAATAAAGAATACTGGCTTGAAACATCAGATATAATGGAACTGCACAATTAGGTACAGTGATAAAATCTGACCAACTTAAATATTAATTATTTACAATTACATTAAATCACTATACCCACATATCTCGAACACACTTTAGTTAGAATTACCAGCACTTAAAGGATTTTTGAAGAAGCCTTTATTGTGAGTGAGTATGAGATCGTTTAGTTTTTATTAACACTTATACTTTTTTAGTTGACATAAATATCAGGCCGCATATTCTTTTCTTATTAATTATTGAAGCTTTGCTTAACGTTGGCACTTACCATTATCAAGGTAGGTTGCTCATCATTTATATCAATTATCTTAATAGTCACTTGGCAGAAATCTTTAAAATTACCCGTGTCTGTCGCTACAACCTACACACAAGAAAAAAAACAGAAACTACTATTAACATTGTTATTTTCAATTGTAAATCATACATTTCTTCAATACATCATTGCAAAATAACAATTTACCCTCAGTTCATGTTAACTTCGTTGTCACACTCTTGGTGAATGGACCAGTAAAATTCACTTTTAATTTTTTATTATTCGTAGCAAGGAAGTTAAAACCATTTTATTGACACAAGGGTAAACCGCCAAAAATACGAAATATAATCTCATATTAATAGTTTATTACCAAAACCCAATTCCATTTTTCAATACTAAATTTAAGGTTTATACAACTTCAAACTTGCTCCTTTTCTAAACTAACATATTATAACTGCTGTCTTCTAGGGAACTGCGAAGCGATTTCAGTAGCGCAGAACCCAATTAAATTTTATGCTATTTTCAATTGTTTTCACTTCCCATGAAAATCTAAATTGCTTTCATTGCTACAGTCAATCAATACACAATGCGAATACGGAATCAGAGACTAAGTCCATTGTGATCCCATAAACTTCACGCACGTGCGTGCTGCCCGCTCGTATGGGCATCTTAAAATTCTCTGCCTCGGTCTTATGTCTCCAGGGTTGTCCGCCCCTGTAGGTTATGTTTTATTACATTTTATATCTTTTTGTAGTTCATTTGTTTCCACAAAATGTGTACTATTTGTACTAATTTATACTATTGTATATTAAGTATGTTCTTCGTATTAATCTTTGCTTTTGGAATTTTACTAATTGATTGAGAACTGACTACAGATGAGTCAATATTAAATCACAAGCTCTATTAACATTCGTTTTCCACACTTAACAAGAGTATTCATCCTGTCTTTTTCAAATATTACACAAAATGTGTTTGTTCCACAATCATTTTAAAAGTAGTAACGAAAATGTCTACTGTTGAAACGAATCACATAGACCCATTCACAACCGGAAGGTCAAATACGCTTACATACCTGAAAACTCATTTCCGTTTGTCTTTCATAGTCAAATGCATTTGCGGATTTAGATGTAATGAGACCGTCTTCATCAATTTCCAATAATGTATGTGTTATAGTATAGCTGCAAAATTTAAATATTTTATTAAAAATGGTAATATGTTTCATATATGGGCAAATTTATCCATGTCAATACATAGTCAGTAACAGCCACATCAAATTTAACATACCTAATAATGTCGTTTTCGTCTGGATCTTTAGCTATCGTTTGCACTACATGGAAGCCTTCGGGCTGATTTTCCGTAAATGACACAGTGTACTCTTCTTTCTCGAACTCTGGAGGCTCATCAATCAAATCAAAAAGTTCAATTTTCAGTACAGCCTTTGATACGTGTCTTATCTGTTTCCTCCTCTGCTATTATCTGTAAACAGGAACTAGTTTATTAAAAACTAGAATAACTGTGAACTTTTACCTCTTGATTATTCATTGTTTTAATTATGAAAAGGACTAAAATATTGATGTGACAGTTGGAAAATAAATTCTTAATAAAATGCATTTTAAATCATTCTTCTAAAATTTTCTTAGTTTTAAGCTTACATACGGGCAGGAAATATATTTCAACTTGAGAATGAAGTGCGTAACTTTCATTTTTATTCTAGCAGAGATACAAGACGAGAAAGAATTAGAAGGCAAAAGAGACGAATTTCCTTGTTGGTTTGTATCACTTTCTTCATTATGTCCATCACCTTTTACTACTCCTACTCTAACCTCCATATAAATCGCTAAGGAGAGATGAGGATATTTTGGAATTTATAGAATACCAAAACACTATAAGTATGCTGCTGCTGTTGCTGAAAGGGGATGAAACCCCAGTCTTGCTTCCAACAAATTTAAGACAAAAAAATACGTTTGCTGATTAAGCAGACATAACTGATTATTGCAACACAAAACATTCGCTCTTTGCTCGAAAAGTATCCGTATAAGACCTTAAAACCAGTTTTCCTGTTTCAAAGGGGACACGTCTGATGAGATAGACGACTTCTGTAGAAAAACGAGTTTTGGGGGACGAGTGGAGAACACCTGAGTAAATATGGGCGCTTCTAAAATATGCTCATGTGTGAAGCATTCTGTGATAATGGGAGCTCGCCTCGACTTCAAAGCTTCGGAAGTTTACTTGTAGATAGGTACTTAATTTAAGTGTAGTCCCTAACGACAGAATGGAATGCAAAAACAAACGATTTAAAATAACACAATAGTACTCATCATTAAAATTAATAAAAAGTACAAAACTAATTCGGATAATTCGTTTTCAAAGTCCTTTGCTAGTTACTTCATATTGGAGCAAGAAAACTCTTTCATTGTATCTCGGAGCCACAAAGGGAGTTTTTCTGTCAAAAGAATCGGCACTTTTCTTCACAACATTGCATCACTTTCTCTATACTAGGTATATTACTCCCTGTATACGTACGAGAAAGTACAAAATTGGGCATGGTTCATTTTCCGAGAACTTTGTGTTTTTTATTGCAAAAAAATTACGAACGCACAACTTCAAAATCGATAGAGATTTTTCTTCGTGAAATATTTTCTTAACAATTACATCGTTAATTGAGATCAACAATTTTTTTGGAAATACTAAGAATTCTTGTAATTATTAACTTCAGAGTTTTAAATTCGAATTTCCCGTGCTCCCTTTACTGAAGACTATTTTTCGCGCTATGGCAAGAAGGTAGATTGTCCACAATTTGCAACATTATAGGAATATTACGTGCCCTCTACACATAAAACTATAACTTGCTGTTGTACCCTTCTTGAAAATAGGCCTGTTAGTAGTTTTCTTATAATTGTGGCCGTAGCTTAGTTCATATCAGGTCGCAATAATAGAATAGCAATGCTGCGACACGGTGGTTTGAAATTAATAGAATTTTTTCTCATTGTTTTGAGATAATCTCGGTCACTGTATGAAACACTGTTTTGCATTGTCGAAAATGTGCTGATGTATTAACTTTAAAATAATTTTTTTTCGGCTCTCTTAATATTGAATATTATAAGCGATGGCTAAGATGTGTTAATATAGATATAAAATGCAATATTCTAATATTAATTAATTTCGGTTGTAATTGCAATACAAAAAAGTTGCGGTTTTGGTACAGCAGATTTCTCAGTGAGATTGGAATGTCGCGAGGCAATGTACACCCAACGTGCTAGGGACATGCGGGGCAACATGCGAAACAAATGGCGCGTGTAGGGGAAAACTGCAAGTCATGATGAGGTGTACAAGTGTAGCGCGAGATATGTTTCTTTAACAAGTATTATTTTAAAGGAAACTCATTTAAACTTTCTTTTACATTTTTGGAGTTTTATTTTTTTCTCCGTTTCCCCGCACAATAGTTTGAATTGGTGGTTTTCGAGTAGAGCCTGAAAGCTATCGAAAAATTAAATTGGCGCATCTACGTTGCAAGAAATTCATCATAAAAGGGCATTTTACGGCACAAATGATAACGTAGTAGATTTTACGGCACGAATGCTTGGTTCATCACGCATTCAGACAATCGAGACGCGCAGATGTCAAATGCTCGAGATGTCTCGAGAAAGTTGTTATGCAAAATTAAGTTGGATTCTCTTATGAATGTATACTGACGTACTACAAAAAATAGCGTATGGAACTCGTTTATAATGTTTCTTTATTGCATTCGTACAAATTTGGAAATTCGTTCCTAACGTCGCTCGTTTTCAAAACATGTACTTATGCAATAAAGCATAACATTATAAATTAATTGCATAAACTAATATTCACTTCAGAAGCTGACCGTTGGAAGTTTGGATCCAATATGAAGCAAATTTCATTTTGAAAACAAATATATACAAAGTGGGAGGACTCGCACAGGTCCAGCTAGTTTGTGATAATGTCAGAAATGTTTCAAAGAAAATGCGCGCAGGACGAAATTTTCGATTTCAATAATGGAATAAATATGGTACGTTTACGAATTCTGTATCATGTATGTCAACTACATGAGATTTGGGAAAACATCAAATTTCTTTCCAAAAATCATAATTCATTTAAATCAAATACATATTACATTCTCTATAAATTTCATAACAATCCAATATTAATATAAAAGCACATATTTTAAAATTATAACAGTAATATATACTGTGTTACCGTAAGTTCAATGTTTCTCCATTCCGGGTCCTCATAATCCAAGCGTGATGGATCCAATGCTGAAATCGTGAGTGTTACTTCTTGATACCCTGATGAAGGAATCAGGAGGAAGTTTGAGCTCCAAAAATTTTCTTCCAGCGTTAGATGAAAGGTACCGTGGTCTGCCTAGAGACAAAAAATACACAGAAAAAAATTAATATTAACATGTTTTTTGTTATTTACGTCGGTAAAATACGCACTTAACCCCTTAAGCAACTATCTAAACAACGCAATAAGAGCTCATCCATAGCAACGGCCATTAAAATGCCCGATAGTTCATTAAAAAATATTTTAGAGGACACTCGGGTTTAGATTTTACCAGTGCTCACAGATTTTTGGATAAATATGTCTCTTTGGTCCCACTTGTTTCTCTAGGCATTTTGTTCCATTTCGTCCCTTTTGTCCCCATGTCCCATCTGCGCCCTTGACCCATTAGTCCCTCTTGTGCCCCTTTTCGGATTCCCCTTGGCTCATTTTGTCCTGACGTTTCCTTGTCCCATTCCCCCTTTGTTCCATTTGCCTCACTTTGTTCCTTTGTCCCACTTTTCATTATCCCGTTTTGTCCGTTTGTCCCACTTTGTCCCCTTGCCCCAGTATTCCATTTGCCCCATTGCGTCAGTATTCCCTTGTCCCACTGTCTAATTTGTCCCCCTTCCCCCATTTTGTTCCTCCTTCCTCTTTTCCAATTTTGTTCATTTTGTCTCCACTGTCCCATTTTGTCCCCTTAGAGTCTTCGTTCTCCTTTCCTCGCTTTGTCTCATTTGTCCCCTTTATCTTTTGGTCTTTCGGCGCACTGCGATTGTTATTTAAAAATGGTACTAAGACCCTGTACTAACAGCCTTTGCTACAGAACACTGAGAGTTATGATAATTCTTAACTCATCAAAATGTTAAATTAAATTTTGAATAACTAGAAATAACAAACAACATTTTAAGGTCATTTTCAACATTTTGGTCATATGACAACCACTGTGATTTTTAAACTGTAGGGAGAACACGTAACGACAACACAAATACACACAAAGGGTACTACTCTAGGAGGCGCTACTGTCGCCGGGTACAGCTGCAGGTTAGGCTCGCCAATTTCCGCACATAAAAATTAGTTAATTTGCGAGAATTAGGAAAAAATTTTAAATGTTCAATTATTCATAATATACGCATATAAGAAACCGACAAATGTATACATTATAATTTCAAAATACATGTCTGCAGATTTGTTGTTAAAGTATTTGTTAGACAAAGCAGTCTTGAAAAAAAATCAAGCGGCGGTTCGGTTGTTACAACTCAATATAACTATCCCTGTATCTACAGCATTATGTGAAATATATAAGATTACATTAAAGAGGATAAAGACATTCCTGTTCCGGCAACGCCACGGAGATGAGTCAAGCAGTCCGAGCGAATCTGCGCCGACCCCACCGAGCGGGATTTTAGAGATGGAGGCGTTCCTTAGAGCCCCTTCACACGTAGACACAGCAGCGCGCTTCCCAACACTGTGGCTGGTAGCAGAGCAATGGTTTAAATGGAGGTCTTCTCACTGGGACGACGCAGCGTTTTACCTGCTGTATTTCTTTGTTCGTCGTCGCGAGGGTGTGCGAAACCCACCCTCGCCGAACTTCCGCAGCGAGCGGCGGTGCGGCGGTGGCACCGTGAAAAGTGCTATGCCGTTTGTCGGAAGCGCTCGGCTGTGTCCACGACGGAAGGGGGCCTTGATAACCGTTTCCACAGCCACCTGACGCGATGGCGCCCATTTCAATGGACGGAACAGAACCACCATCACAAGGCAGGAAGCAGGTGCCAGTGACGATACGAGCCAAAATAACGATAATAACGAACTCGTCACCCACTTTTTCGTCGTTTGCGACGCCTTTTTCTACTGGCATAGCCAAAGCTCTGAAGCCTGCGAAAACAGCATAGAATCTTTGTGGCCACCCTACAAGTTTTATCAAAGTATGTTAATTCTTCCTGAGGTGGAAAGTGATTTCGAGGACCGGGAGAGGTGGCTGAAGTGAGGTGGAAAGTGAAGAAGTATCAACTGATGTCACTGCAGTGACCTTTGACCGTCGAAGGATGGCAGCATTTTCGTCACTAGCTTGTCAGCTAGGTCGAATTTAGTTACTGTGTGGAGAAGAATTCTGGCGGCGGGCTGCTCTGATCGTTAGTTTTCTGTGGTTTCTCCAATCAGCACCAATCGCATACCGCAGCAGAACCATAACATATGGACCACGGACCGTCCGCGATGTTTCCTTTCTCTTCCTTATCCCATTGTAACGTATTAGCAAACGAACTTGGGGCAGCTACTTTGGAACGTGTGGTAAGGGATTAGTAACAGGAAACCGCCTCGCCACAGGAGGGAGAGAAGGGATTTTCGTAATAGCACGCGGCAATGGGACACACGAGGCTTTGGAGTCCTCCGGTCTTAAGAAAGGGAGACCCAACCACCATGGCCAGCAATAGGGCGCAGCGGGGGCGGCGTGACCAAGTAGGTCATGTGAGTCTCGAGTATATAAGAGAGTGCACAGAGCCAGTGGGTGGGTTCTGGAGACAGTGGGAGAACTCGTGCGAATGCACAAATTGTGGATGGCATTGTGTCCTTGGGTGACTGCGGTCACATGGGAGCTATGCTGTGTGCGTGCTCCGAGATGAGGAGTGGTTGAGTGCCACGACTCGCAGCCGATTCTCAATCGGGTAAGATCGCTCCTGCGACCATCGCCACCTCCCGAGGGAAAACACATGGGAGGGAAACACTTAGGGGACTAATGACCTTAGCAGTTAAGGCGCCCAGAATCACTAACTATACATCAATTATGAATTCGAGGCCTCCCAAACTAAAACTATATTCATGCATATCATACATTCATTCAAAGCTCTCCCAACATTTAAGTTATATGAGTATTCGCAGACTCAACAGCATCTAACAGGATTCTACCTGTGATATTAGCTACACCCACTTTTATCTGATCTATTGTAAATTTTTAATTTGTTTTAATTTAAAGACGAACACTGCATCAATGTGCAAGTTGGCTAACAATTAATGTAATGACTTAACCACAAAAGAAAGTAAAGAACAAAACTCACCAAGTCAGGATCGTTAACAGTGATATTTCTGTCCGTGAAGGGTTGCTCTTCTGGGTACTCTAGGTATTCAACCCTTGTAGGTTCCATTTCAGGGATATTGTCATTCTTATCGATGAGCATCACCACAATATCGTTCGGCGTACTCATTGCTTTGAAATCTGGAAACTCTGGTGGTGGTACTTCCGTAGCCACAACAACGAATCTATAAATTTCCCGTTGCAAATAGTCTCTATTCATTCCCAATCCAGTCAAGACTCCAGTTTCTTTATCTATTGCGAAATATATATGATAATCTGCAAAAAAAAGTCATAATATAGTTTTACATTTTATGAAGAAGAATAAACATTCAAACTATCCAGCAATACTGACATTTTAGTAATAAATATTACATAGAATATATATATATATATATTTTTCTTATGATTGGTCCATTGATCAAACGTCCCAGCCTCTCACGCAGCTACACCCAAACACGTCCCCGTGACGTAATCGCACTGCTGTGGTCAGTGCGAAAGAGCGCAGCCTGGTATCTGTCTCGCCAACTCAGACAGCTGACTTTCGATTTACGGCGAGAGCGAGGTGTGACGTGATACCTCCCCGCAGGAGAGACGAACAGCTTCTTATTGATGTTGCGACCGGGCAGGTTGTTTAGTCGCCGTAGGGTTCGTTCAGCCAGAACACGCCATCTTGGCGAGTGTGAGAGGCAGTAGCAGTTAATAGTAGAACAAAATAGTTTAGAAGTGGTAAAGAAAATCTGATATTCAACTTGTGACTTTAATAGTTAGTGTGAACTATGGAACTTGAGTACGCTGAATAGTTGCCGCAATGTACATATTAAAGTTACGGTGAAAGGGCTGCGGCACCCATACAAACAGCCGTATAATGGAGAGTGTACCGCAGTCGATGCCAGGGACGGAAATACGTCGTTTGGCATACACGCGTAAGAGCTGAGTGATACGCGTCGGCGTGCCGAATGAGAAGAACGGCGGAAGAGAGAGGAAGAGGCTATTCTGTTCCGATGCCGGGAGAATGAAGAGAGAAGAATTCGGAAGCCGTTTCGGCCTGGACCTGGTGGAGGGCGAACGAAAACGGCGCTTCGGGCATGACTGCTAGTTCTGCAGGAAAGCTAGGCGACAGCGCGGCCCTAGAGTAGGCCAAGGTCGTGGGCCCACAGCGCGCCCTTCGCAGGCGAGATCGACCGCCGTAAGTGAGCGAGGGGCCAGATAACAGAATACACCGTGACGGAAATTGAGAGGCAAGGAGAGCGACGAGCGCCGGAGAGACGAGAGCAATGGTTTATTGTGGACAAATAGAATTCGCCGACCAAAAGAACTGAAGAAAATCATCGAAAATGAATTGCCAATTCACAAAGGAGATAATATGTACAAGGCTCAAGATTAATTACAATTCTAAAAGTAAAGTAAAATCAAACAAAGAATATCCATTCGTTTCCGAACAGAGAATACAATTACAAGGATCTGCACACAAGATTATTAAATATTACATGACGTCAAGTGCAAATGCTATTTTTAATTTGTAATCAGAAAGGGACTTATTGTATGTTATATTTGTGTTAAATGTTGATTTGTCATAAAGCTTCAACGGCAAACCAGAGAAAATAAATGGCGTGACATAAACAGTTACGCTTAAGAAAGTTGTTACGAATGCTTAGTATTTTATTTCAATTGTAGCGTGTTTTTTCATCGTAGATATAACCTCATTAAAATCAACCGAGACCTTGAATAAAGCGGGGTATTTTCTGACCCACTCATCTATTACACACAAAAAAACTGATATAAAAGTGGCAGAATGAAAAAATATCCTGAGATACAATTTTCTTTAATATAAGAATTTCTCTTGGATAATTGAGCTAGTCGAGATAAAAGTTTTGTGAGAGAACATAATTGTTTCATTACACTTACCAAACCCATCGTCAGGAAACTCTAGATGGTACACAATGGGCCAATTTAGACCATAATCACCATCTATGGCGCGTATTTGTTCGGTCTGCAAACGAAAATTATAACATAATAGGCATATATTTGTTCAAATATTTATTGAATAATAATCACCACCTCACCAAAATGTAATCACTATCATTGTCATTATTACAAACAGTACGGAAGACCTGATTCACAGATGATCATCTCAAAATAATGTAAATAACTAATACTAGCCATCACACATTGTCGAAACCAACGCTTTGTTATAATGAAAGAAAATTGTCATGAAAATACAATGCAGACTAATATTGTACACACCATTATGAGAAATACGGATGTGGAAACGAAGGAATAAAAATTACTGGAGTTGAAATGTGTCATTGTAAAATTATCATGACAAAAAATCCCAAATTTTATGTTCAATTGCACGACACCGGTTTATCCGACAACTTGTGGATATTTATACTGTCACCTGAATGTTCCACTAAAATTTACTAGCCCGGCGTTGACGTAATGTAATAAACAAGTCAACAGTTGTTAAAGCAGCACATTAACATTAGTTATGCATTAACATTTCAGTTAAATATAAAACGGTATCTAGCGTCGATGAATCTGAGTTAACTTTAGAAATGCCCACCACCTTTTAGTCTCGAAATGGAGGCTCCATCAAGAACATTGGCATTTTGACCTGTGTATAATGACCCTGCTTACACATCGGCAACCAAATTAATTCAAATTTGGCGTCTAATTTCAAATGTAAACAACTGTACTTTTTCTTTGGGCTGAATTAACAGCAAATAGCGTACATTTGAAACGCCCCGTGCTTGAGAGAGAATAATTTGCCTAAAAATTCACGCTCGAAATACTTCAAAAGCGACCGCTTAATCAAAATCCTTCAATTGTCGTTATTCGAAGAAATTGGTTCCTTTCAAATTAAGGCGCGAAGGGCGCTCAGTTTGAAACGCACCGGTAGTCATGGGTGGTGGATCGCCCCCTCTCACGAAAACCGAGGAAATATTTGAGAATCGAGTGTACTGAAACGTATTATTTACGTACGATCAGCGACTAATTTTCGAAGCTCGCTATATTTCCCGTTATTCCTGTATTTCCTCCATGCACAGCTCAAGTTTCGCATCACATTTGTACATCTGCGCATGCCCAGATCGATAGTGCTGTCCGCTATGGCGTGTACAATCTCCCTAACAAACCTTGATCAAAAATCGATGTTTCAAAACTGTTAGTTTAGTTATTTCTAAAATAAAATTCGTGAGCAACAAAATTTAATCCCAGAGTTACCATATTAATATAACTATAATGAAAATTAAACTGAAAACAAAATAAAAACAATGAGATCAAACAAACATACGAGCCGTACAAGCCTGATAGACTCATATCTGAAACATACTCAGTTTGAAAGCATGAGCGCCCACATTAATCTCCAACATTCCAGCTCTCCCACATACCTAGTTATTTCGAACTCTTAGCAGACCTTGTAGTGATATGGGGCGAAATGGGACTTAAATGGGTAAAACAATTTTAATAAGAGAAATCTTAATCTTAGAAACTAGTTTTTATTTTACATACCCAATCTGTCTTCTCGTCAACAGTCACGGAAGGTACGATCTTTTCCCATCGCGGAGGCTCGTCGGGTATATCGTCAACATCAACCACAAACTGAACGACTCGCTCCTGGTAAAAATTTCCTGCTAAGAAATCGTTTGGCCCAACTTGTCCATCATCCTGAAAACAATTTTATTTTTCTAAAAATAATAGTATTTGTAAAAGAACAAAAATCAGAATATCAATGACAACAGCAGTAAATAATAATAATAATAATAATAATAATAATAATAATAATAATAATAATAAATATTATTTTATAGTAATATCATTACTGTTTTTCTCCAATTTAATTAAATCATTTCATTTATAAGATTTGTCTCATAATAACGAGACCTAATCCACAAATACAATATATGTACAATTAGCATTACACTAACATTACAATACATGTGCATTTACATTTATAATACATTTACAATTTTCAATTTGATATTGTGTGGTTCGATTCTAACTTTCCAACTGACCTCACAGTATAGCGGAAGGTAGGGTAAAGTGGAACTACGGGAGAAAGTAGAATTTGCGTTTAAATCCCACAGATTTAGAATCTTTCAGTTCTAGAACAAGTATTTTGTCGGGAAGAGTGTATGCCCCAGGGGTGGGGCAAAGTGGAAAAATTGCAGACTCCCAGAATATTAATGAAAGTAAGATTCAGTTTTACTGAAAGCAGCACATACTCTCTATATATTGAAGCAGAAGATAACTAATAATTTTTGAATGTGTGTCAATATTTTTTAAAACAATAAGTACTCTGAATTTTGCTAGGAGCATAATGGATCAACTATGCTTCACGTTCCCTACTAATCTACTCCGATAGAACGTCGTAGTAGAAAATATTAAATAATATGGGAAAGAGCTGATCATTTTGGGTACTCCTGCATCAATAGTAAGTGATGTTCCAAAGTATTCCAAATATTACATTTATGTTCATATTCCAGTTTCAAGGATAATGCGTTCTCCATCAAGACTGGTGTGTTAACTACTTTAAAATCTTCATTAAAGAACAATATCTCTTTGATTGCTCTTCATTAAAGGAATCTAAGATTAATTAAAAGAAGTATTGTCTATTATCGCTTGTTTTTTGAAGGTGACAGATATAAGCACTGGTGAGTATTGTCAAAAATTATAAGATAATATTATATTAATTTAAAATTTTTACGTTTTTTGTTTTATTGTAAATGGATAGATTCTTTTAATTAATTATCATAATTTATTTTGTTTGCATTTTGTTGGCTTATGTAATTGGTAGAACTTGGGATATAAAATTTCATACTAGCCATTCAATGATGAGTATTTTATATACAGATGTCCCCCACCAGACGAAAAAATTCCTTTGAAGCAAGTTGAGAACAGCAGTGCGAATACTTTTTTTTCGTGTTAACAGTTGAATATTTTTGATAAAATGGTATCCATTTTTTATTACACTTAAAAATATTTACGTTAATGCTACCTCCTCAAAAACGTATCTTCTTCTGTTCACTTAAAATTGTCAACAAATCTTTGAAATAATTTTTACATTTTGATTTTGGGCTGGCAGAACTGTAACATTTTATATGTAACTGACTGTACAGGGAAAGTGGAGTGATGGATAAAATATAGGTCAGTGCATCCGTGGCATTCCCTTAGTTACCAAAACACCATCATCCACTGTTGTTTCGAGCCGTCGACAAAGAAACGCCGACATTAAAAAAAAGACGAAAAGAGTGAAAGTTCAAGCTCTTTGCTAAAACGAAATCATAGGATTCGTTAACAACGCGGAAATCTGTTGATTTCTTTCGGGTCTTGACCAATAAATACAACTTGCCTGCGCATTTACATCGGAAAACGTATGTTCGAATTGACCTTCATTCACGCAACTGCACACCAGCACGCGAGCAGCGATGTCCTTCAGGGCTTTCAATAGCATAATTTTGTTCATACTGAAAAGGTATTTGAAGTGAATGTTACGATTCACAACCCTTCCACAGCGTGTCACGGCGCACCAGTACGACCAACGTTAAACGTATTTAGGAATAAAGACCGAGAAATTATCGGTTCAAATGATAATGGGGAATTTTACTGAGAAATAATTCCTTATAACTATGCATTGAAAATAATTCTTAAAAAAGTGTTCAGATAAAAAAAAAAGTTGTTTAGAACACGTAGATTTTAATGCCAGTGTTTCTTTTCGCAAGTCAAGGAACTTTGTTCAGTTTTTTTAATTATATATTTGAAACGAAGACGTTTCACATGATAATTAGCCAAATTGATATTATCGTTATAAGTAAAGAGAAACGCTGAATCGACAGCGTAGTGACGCCGCCGCGCGCCTGCCACCAACGTCCAAGGGGGGCCAGGCGCGCGACGCGAGTGACGGTTGTTAGTAACGGCCGGGGAGCCCACGAGCGCCCGGGTGTAGTATTTGCCAGAGGGGCCGCGAGCGCGGGTGAAAAGTTAAACGGAAGGGAGGCCAAGGGCACCTGCGGATGGGCTTGTGCTGCCCCAAGCAAAGTGTGTTGGAGAAATAAACTAAATAGTGTGGATACTGATTAATAGCTATTGAGTGGGAGAATTAGAGGTGGCTTAAAATAGATTATCAAATGATTAGGAAGAAATGGAAGTGCGCACCAGGACCGGAATTTCCGTGCAAAACATTGATAGTGAAAGTTTGAGTGAACTGAAAACAGAGCACGCAAAAAAATTCATGTCCCGCACGGGTGGTGATGCAGCAGGGGCCGCACCGTGCGAAACAGTCGAGTGGGGATTGAAGAAGAACGGCGGTGATCGGAGCTTGCCGACGGGGACGCGCCCATTGCGCGTGGTGCAAGCACGGCAGAGTCGACGGCGCCGGGAAATCGGTTTTTCCTGAACAACTTCGGGAACGGACCGAAGTTTGCCCGAGCGCAGCCCGCCGCCATGCCAGGCGGGCCACGCTCGCCTCCAGCCAGCCGGTGGACATCGGAACTTCAACGGAGCGTTACTCCGTGCACGAAATTATTAAAAGGCCTTTGCGCCACTGGAATTTGTAAGAATTTCATGTATATGGTGGTGTTTTTCAATCATTAAACTGTTAATTGCACAAAAAAATTCCCTCGATTATTCTTTAATGCACGTCCATTCCCTGGAAGCCCATTCACGAAAAATGTACCCGTCGTTATATATTTCTTTTCGCTGAAAAGGTAACTCTGTTTCCAGTTTAATCAATATATATAATTGTTCAGTGCGGACATCGAAAATGACCGTCGAATCAATAATTATCAGTCTAAATTGTTGAAAGATACGATACATTGCCATCGCGAAGTATCAAGCTTTGATTATATTGGAACTTGTGCTCCATTCAGACAAAATCTGGAATTCCGTTTCTAACTGATGTTCCTCTTTCAACACAAGAAACCTGTCAAAACAATGTCTTCGTTCCATGCACTCTCAGTATAATTTTTTTACCAACAGTATCACTCTCTAACGGCGACTGGCGGGATGGTCTACTTATTTAAGAACATTTTTTATTAATTTCAACTTGCTATGAAAGAACTTCACCTACTAAATCCCGAATATCATTAGTATCAGCGTCAATATCCCTTCGGGCATTATCTTCCGCTCAGCTCTAAATTTAAAATGCGCAATTTTAATATTTAAATCTATTATTGGGCCTTCACACATTTATGCCTGCCCGGTATGGCATAACACGGCCAAAACACGGCCAAACCATTGAAAAATTTGAGATTATATAAAACAAACTTTTAAGGAAATGTTCGAAAGTTCCTTGATTCGTTTCTAATACACACATTCAAAGAGAACTTCAAATAGAGCCTCTAAACGAATATATAAGAAATAACTGACACCTTTTTTCCACTTCTTCCATCTACTCCTTACAGTATAAAATTTACAATGGGGAAAACATTAAACATTTCCAAGAGAATACGCTCACAATATCCGAAAGATATGTTAAAACTCCCATGAAAATAAATATTCACTGTAAGAATATATGATAAAAATCAAAATGTAAACATTTTCACTTCAATTTTAAGATAATTTTTGAATGTTTGTTTAGGGAGTATCTAGATTTAAGAATTAATGTTGCATAGTAAAAATTTGAGTATTATGTGTAAATTGGTGAGAAAAGTTAAAAATACAAGTATGAAATCATGTAAATTATCGAGTAGTAAGACAGAAGAGTGAGAGGTTGCATGCCCAAATGCTATGTATTAAAAATTAAAATGTACAAACATCTGAAAGGCAAAACTGCCGAACAGGAAGAAAATAAATTTAAAAAAGGGCATTAGATTTAGATTTATTATAGTAAATTATATAGTAAAAACTGTATGTGACGTATGGGGGAAAAGATTATCTGCGCACGTTTTTTTGAGTTCGAGAATCCCCCGTCATTTTGACTATAAATGGTTGAAAGATGAGTAAAAGTTTAAAGTAAATAAATAAAAATAAATTTTAAAAAATAGAGAGATTAGCAATAATTGAAAAAATAGATATTTTTGTTTCCGAGTTATAAAAAACTTATTTGCATCGGTATTTTTATTTTTATTTATAATTATCATCACTTCCCGCCCCATTATGTATGGTACGTGGAGAAGGATTCGTATATTGAAGAATTCATCAAGAGAAAAGTAACTGGTATTTTACCATCCCTGCTCTTGCGAAGTCATTGACAATAGATCAATTATAGTCGATACAATGTGCTTTCCGCAGGAGTGCACAACTGTCGACTACAAATGCAACGTACGTCTGCATCGTTTTGTGTTGAGAAATCGTTTTGTGCAGTCCTAAAAAAGTGCTAAAATTATCAATTCACATATATTCAAAAACTTCTCATTAATATCCATACTAATCGTAATAACGTTTGAATCCATATAGTACATAATTGTTTATTTAATAATATTTTAATTATTTTCAAATATTCGTATGTGTTGACATTTGTAAGATTTTTGTTTATTAGTGATCGTCTGCGTTATTGGAGGCACTCATATGATATGTACTTTTTTATTGACGAATAATTGTTATTTCGTTCTTTTTGTGTAGTTTATTATACTGAAAGATTGCATTACTAATATTGATACTACAAAATATTTTAAAAAAATGTTATAGGCAAAAGTGATTTAATGTTGCAATATTGCAAAATTATATTGAATTTTGAAATTTCAAATTCAAGAGCCGTCGCAATATTAGATTTTTTGTTGTTTTTTTTAGTTGGAAACGTTTTTGCATTGCAATTACTGTTACACATGGTTCGAACGAGGAGATGCCCAGGAGCTAATGCGATCTTTCCGTGACGCTCCGAACTAATAGGAAGCAGTTGACAATCTATGTGAAGGTACTTAGTACGAAAGAAGTATTTGGTCAACAGGGAAGAGATTCGCGCCTTTCCTCTGAAACGCCTTCAAAGAACATCAAAAGTGCCCCATTAAAAAACAAGGTGCCAGATTTGGAGCAATTTGGCGGTCAATGTCAACAATTATGTTTATATGAAAGTCCTGCGTGTCTCGTAACTTAAACGTACTTCTATAAAATAAAATAGCGCTTTTCAAATAATAAATCTTACCTCGGCAGTAATCACCAGGGAATGCAAACGGAATGTTTCATAGTCCAATTCACTGTCCACGTGCAAGATGAAAGTGGCTGTTTTGCAGCCTTGTGTCTGTCCGCTAGATAGATGTAAGCTGAATTTTTCATCCTGTAAATAATACTGAGTATTAATAACTTATTCAATAAAATACAACATTGCACAAAACAATAATAAATCAAAAGTGACATTAAAAGTGAAATTGATTCTAAGTTACATTACAGAGAAATTCAATTACAAGAATGTCATCTGAACTTAAAAATATTTTGGAGATTGTGATTTCAAAATATCGCGTGGAAGTCACTCAGAATAATATAATCAGACAATTCCCTTACTCAGAACATCAAAATTAGAAACCCGCTTGGTATTTCTCGTACACATATGTATTACAGAGTATTACACGTAGTAGATAGAAACTTTTGTACTTAATATTGACAAAATTCGACATTGATGTTTTAATGGAAATACATGTTTTGGGATCCTCTGTCACAAAAAAAAATGTTTTCTATACAGCTACTAGTAAAAGTGTTTACCATCAGGGCATGCACAGTGTGTTGTAAGTTCAATTGATTATAACCAGAGTTATAAACGTTTTCAGTTGCAAGAAAGGGTTCATAAAATGGGATTTTGTGTAAAATATTATGTCTTATTAGCTTTTTACAGCACGAATAATTGTGTCATCACATACTACGTCTTAATTGCGTCGCAACCCATTTTTGAAATAGATTCTAGAGTTGTCTTTTTTTAAATTCTGAAATTGTTTGAACAGTAACCAGCCATAGTTTTTATTTTCCTCTAATTATACAAAATAAATCCATTAACTACAAATTTTTTTACACGTATTTTATCACGTTAATATTAATGGAACTGTTTGTGAGGTTCTGGAAAGACAATGAAGGAAAGTAATCAGTTACATTAAAAGTTTTAGTTGATGTACCTGCTATATTATTTTTATCATTTCACACAATTCTTCGGGATATGTCTTCTTGGGTTACTACATTACGATATGTTACTATTATACATTAACTGGACTAGTCATTAGGTTTTTGGATCATGTAAATAGCACAATCAATTAATCGTAATCAATTAAAGACAGTCAGGTACAACTGCTACCACTTGGCGCGTATGCAGCTTGGCGGAGCACGTCTCGGCACTCGCCGCTTCGGTGTGAGCAACCTCCGGACCGCGAGTCAGCGGCTTCACGTCACCACCTCTACAAGAGGAGTCGGTCAGAGACACCCTGGCAGTCCAGTGGTCAGGAGCCAGTAGGAACTCAGTTCCGTCTCATAAGGAGAGGAGGGAGGAGAGAAGACAGAGGAAAGGAGAGAGAAGAGAGGAGAAGAGTGCCCGAACCTTAGCCGGAGCCCATTTTCAATGAAAAGTCTTGAGTTTTGGAAAAACATAATTGGAAATCATTTTAAGAACTTGTATTTGCAAATGCAAGCAATAATATTAAATCACCGTAAAGTAAATACGACGCGAGAGATGTTTTGAAAAAATGAGATTAAAATAAAGTCATAATGGCGTTTATGTATTTTAGTCATCTCATTTACCTATAGCCGTACAAAAAGTTTAAAGATAAAATTTGAAGAAGTGTTTGAGGAAATGACATTTAGCCGTTTCTGAAAATTTAGAATTTTGATCTCATTTTTAAAGAAAAGTATTAAATTTTTAAGAAACATTATAAGAGATCAGTTGAAGAATTTTTACTCAGAAATCCAATATTGTATACAAGTTGCCGGATATGTAAATATATGACATTTGAGATATTTTAAAACAATGTGTATTTTTGGCAAAAAAGGATACAGCGAGGTGATCTTTATGTCGCCTGTTACAGTGCAATTAGCACTATCCTTAAAAAAAGTTTCAAGAAAAAAATTGAAGACATATTAGAGAAAATCTTGTGACTATTGTTTTAAATATTGCTGTTATTTCACCCAAAAGTCTGTGAACACTATTCATATTTTGAAACAAGTGTTAACAGCACGTACTTTCTCGTTATTAGTAAAAATTATGTAATACTATTTAAACCACAATTTCTCTCCGAACTACATCTCAGTCAAAACATTTTGTAAAACTCATTTGAAATCGTAGGACATGCGAAAATGAAATAGTTTTAAGCAATAGATTTTTCAATCAAAACTTTAAATGGAAACATATTTCTGGCATTGAATTCATTGTATTAGGTATGCAGTGTATTCACGAACATATCGGATGAGTTTTTTAGCCTTACAATGTTCTTCGTAAGCAGTATGCGAGAAATTAAAAAAAATTAAAAGTTAATAGATAACATGATACTGATAGCATTAGCAAACAAATGCAAAAAGATGGGTTTATTTGGTGGGTAGTATATAAAAGTATTCGTTTATATTAACGCGAACGAAAGGCATCCGTCATTATCGCCTTCTGATATCAGTGTGGCGTTACAACAACGGGTTATAACAACTAACAATGACTAGGCACATATTCGTTTTCACATTTAGAACAATTAAAGAACGCAATTTAAAATGAAATAACATTAATATAATATAAATGTAGTAAATAATACAATGAAAGATCTTTACATCGTTATCTTTAATACTGAGGAAGTAAGAAGACACTGAACAAATTTTAAACATTTGCAATTTTCGCAATTTTAGGTATCTCAACAAAACTAAGACCAGCGCCAGTTTTGTAAGCGTCCTTTATGCTATCCGACGTCAAAGTTTAATTAAAAAATTGGATCCGTATTGAGAAAAAAATGAAATGGTCCTTAGTCAAGAAAAATGTGTTGACACCATTAACCTTTCGGCATTCAGAATCCACAAAACATGAATTAACTCCTTGATGTGGTAGAGGAAGTAATTTGCTACAATTTGCAACATAGATTATCCACATTTTCGGGGTCATAGATCTATAATACGAGTTTTTCTGTTAAAAAATCGCCGCAGCAATACACAGAGTCTTTAACTTAACCCGCAACCCATGTCAGGAAACACCACCTCTTCTTTTGGCAATTTGGCAACGCAAGAAATACCTTTGGCTTCCCCTTGTCCTTTAGCGGCCAACGGCCGCGTGCCCTCAGATTTCGGAGTGACAGAATGTGGCTCATTTTAGTTGGAAGAAAGAGAAAGCACTCACGTCCTTGTCCTCAAGCACTTGTGTCCTTGTTAGTCTCGCCGTAATGCATCCACTACACTGGAAGGAGTAAACGTCTATCTCTTGGCAAATGGTGGCCACTTTACGCATTTACGCGACAGACAGTTTTTTTTGTAAGTTGACAGTTTTAAGGAAATTTTATTTTTTATTAATTATTTTCAATAATTATTAATTTACAACTGATTTACGTTTTATTGGTATTTTTAATAATTTTATTATGGCTTTCTTATTTTATTTATAATTATATTCAATAATAATAATAATACATTATTATTGTTATAAATAATGAAGAGTTTGGCGGTAATGTTTCACGAGATATCTTTCTGACTTCTCCCTGAGCTGACTTTCATTAAATAATAATTATTGTTACATTGGTGTTAATAAATTGATAAACAGTCAACTTCTCTCCTCATCTTCAGTTTTACAGTTTTGTTTCTTCAGCGTACTGGACAGAATCGTCTAGAGATACGTTTTGTTTCTGGTTCATGTCTCTGCTCACCCCTCCTCGCCCCACCCACTCTGAGCAGCGCGAAAAGCTTCCGGCGTGTGAGCCGCGTACCTGCCCGCCGACGTTCTTGAATGTGAAAAATACAGAAATAGGAAAGTTGCTGCAGCTTATGACCTGACGGTCGTCTCCTCTGCTGTCTCGGCGTGCGAGGCACGGCTGTCTTGAAAGGTGTAAAAAAACACGCATTGCCAAATCAAGAACAAGTGCTCTCAGACATGGGGTGCGAGTTATGCTAACATTCTGTGTAACTTCCTCTACTCTCTCTGTACTACATAATTATGTAGTGTGCGAAAAAGTAAAAAATTGGTCATTTTTTGAAAAGTTTGAAAATTTCCTTGGGGCTTTTTGTAGAGCATTGAAAGATTAGTTTAAAACTCACATAGCCCTAAGTGTGGTCACAAGGATTTTCTCTTTCGTTGAAGATCGTCACGGTTTAGATGCTAGTGTTGTCCACAGACGAACAGACAGACCGATAGGTAGTCAGTCGTTCTGCTTTTTCGGTGCCATGGTCCCGAAAACGGTTAATTCTTCTACGTATTCGAGTATCATATCTTGATATTGTGAGGGAAATTAAATAAAAGTACATAGAGATATTTTTTGAACTTCTATGCCAACGCTTTGTCGTTGAACGAAATGTCGAAAAATGTTGTGTGAAATAAATCTCTCGATTATATGGATTTAGTTGATACGCTACGCCATTTAATCAATCTGAAACCGATGTAGTCAAGTTTGGCTTGTCTCCTTCGGCCTCACGAGCAGTACTGAACGGTTTTTAGCACATTACGACACGTCAGAACTTGTTAAAAGAGAATCCAGGTTTATCGAAAAGATAATAAACAAATTTGAACAGCACCAAGACGATTCCAGCTTTTGTTTAAAAACTTATTCTAATACTCAAGTTGAAACAATGGTACTTTATGTCATAAGACCATTTATATAATAAGAATTATTATTCATGCTTTGTTCATCATACAGAAGGAAATTGAGTACAAAATTCGTCTTACAATTATTTAACAAATATTAACAGTAATTACAACAAAGACAACTATGTATTTTATCCCTAGAATATTAATGCTTATTTACACGTACTAAAAATTAACTCGTAACATACGAACACATAATGAAATGTGCTTTAATGAAAATTTTATTCCATGCTTTGGCATAAATTGTCATTGCAATTATTCGTTGTCTAAACGAACAATTTTAGAAATAATTCAAATTAATCATCTTGGTAAATTCAAGTTTTCGCAAAATTGTTTCTGAAAGATATTGTTTATTTTCCAGATTAAACAGGTTTTAAACAAGATTTTCAAGATTAAACAAGTTATTAATGATTATTTGCCTCCTCTCAGATAATATCAAAACTTTTCCTTCACATGTCACTCGTTGTCTTAGTAGAGAAATTCACTTTACGTCCTCGCCGAATTAAACAATCAAACTAGACTTGAAGAAGCAATTATTTCTT